TTTAGAGTTAATTTTTTGTTTTAAAAAAAATGTTTTTATGATATTTTCGATGTGATTTTTCACACTATGAAAAATCTCTATTTGATATAAGTAGGTAAAATAAAATCTGACTATGAAAAATCAAAAAATCACATCGAAAATATCATAGAGAGAAATTCTTTTGAAATAAAGAATTAACTCTAAACAACATTTTTGGTAATGACATATTGTTTTTTGTGTTAAACATAACTCTTTCTCCTCTATTTAATGCAGCTTTCTTCCTTTCACTGTCAGCAGACAAACGAACAGAGATCCTTTTTTTATTTTCAGAGTTTTCAACTTTCTTTTTCTCTTTCGCTTTCCTTTTCTAGCTCCCCTGTTTCACGTCTTCCATATCTCTTCTCTGTTTCACCCGTAAAGCTCGCAGCTTTATTCCTCCCATGGCTTCCTCCTCTCTCCTCCTTGTTTAAAACACCAGAGCTCTGTTTTTCCAAACTCAATCGAATCTTAGAAAAAGAAAAAACATTTCTTTTCAATGGAGGACAAAAACCAATCAGATGATTTCTCTTCCCACAAACATCCAACGCTTCCACAAGTCATAGATGAGCTAAAAGAGCTCTGGGCCATGGTTTTACCAATCACAGCAATGAACTGTCTAGTCTACGTACGCGCCGTCGTCTCCGTCCTCTTCCTCGGCCGTCTCGGCAGCCTCGAGCTCGCCGGAGGAGCTCTCTCAATCGGATTCACTAACATCACAGGCTACTCTGTCCTCGTGGGACTCGCCTCGGGTCTCGAGCCAGTCTGTAGCCAAGCCTTTGGGAGCAAGAACTGGGATCTCCTCTCGCTCTCTCTCCACCGCATGGTCGTGATCCTCTTGATCGCCTCCGTGCCCATCAGCCTCCTCTGGATCAACCTCGGACCCATCATGCTCTTCATGGGCCAAGACGCGGAGATAACCGCCACGGCCGCCGAGTACTGTCTCTACGCGCTTCCTGATCTTCTGACTAATACTCTGCTTCAGCCGTTGCGGGTTTATCTAAGGTCACAGCGGGTGACGAAACCGATGATGTGGTGTACGTTAGCGGCTGTGGCGTTCCACGTGCCGTTGAACTATTGGCTTGTGATGGTGAAGCGTTGGGGTGTTCCTGGTGTGGCGACTGCGTCTGTGGTGACGAATTTGATCATGGTTGGGCTTTTGGTTGGTTATGTTTGGGTGAGTGGGAGGTTGGGGAAGAGAGTTGGTGGGTCTATGGTGGTGGAGAGTGAGGCGTCGGCGTCGGTGGTGGAGTTGGTCGGAGGTTTGGGACCGTTGATGAGAGTGGCGGTTCCAAGTTGTTTGGGGATATGTTTGGAGTGGTGGTGGTATGAGATTGTGATTGTGATGGGTGGTTACTTGGAGAATCCAAAGCTTGCGGTGGCTGCGACTGGGATTTTGATTCAGACAACGAGTCTTATGTATACTGTTCCTATGGCTTTAGCTGGATGCGTCTCTGCTCGGGTACGTGTGTCTTGTCTTGTCTTTATCTCTCTGTTTTGTTTATGTTTGATTAACTTAGTCAAAGTTTTGATGATTGAGTGGTCAATTGTTTGAGTCAAACAATTATTGACTAATGTTTGAAATTTGGAAGTGTAGATGAAACGTCTTTTAGGCAACAATAGTGTTTTGATTAGATTGGAGAGAGTAGGAGTAATAATTTAACTAATTAAAAGGACTTTAAAGTGTCGCAACTTGAATATGTGAAAACAATTGACCTGAGGCAAGAATCGTTACTGTTTAAGAAATGATTTGATGTACTTTGTTCTTGTTATAAGCATAAGCTTGTTTTTTTCTTTCTTTGTTCTTGTTTAGAAGTCTCTTTGTTTCCTAGTGTGTTTCTTGAAGGGATAGAAATAACGTGCAGATGAAAACAAGAAAACATTTTTCAAGAAAGATTGTTGTAATTTTGCTTCAAATTATGAATGTGTAAGTTCTTGTTATAGGCTTTAGTAAATCACTTATTTTTAGCTTTTTTTGCGAAAAAGTAACATAAAAAGAGGGTTAAAAAACGTGCAATGTGCTGTGTTGGTTTGTGAAAAATATTTGCGTCGACTTCCATTAATAGGCCACACCGTGCTATGTGATTGGACATTAACAAACCTAAAAAAATAAAAAATAAAATAAAAGAAAAAAGTGGTTGAAAAGAAAGTAGTCAAGTGTGGTCTATTTTATTGTTGACAATCTCTCATGACACTCTTCAAACCTCATCGGAACCCACTTGTTGTCCTTTTCTGTTTCCTTTGCATGTGACAAAAGCTTGGCTACAATATCTAACTTTTAAGATATTTGATTTTTTTTTTGGGTTGCATTAATATTCGTAGGTTGGTAACGAGCTAGGTGCAGGAAGACCGTATAAAGCGAGACTAGCCGCAAACGTGGCTTTAGCATGCGCGTTTGTGATAGGAGCATTGAATGTGGTTTGGACCGTGGTGCTAAAAGAGCGTTGGGCTGGTCTTTTCACTAACTACGAGCCACTTAAAGTGTTGGTTGCTTCGGTTATGCCGATAGTCGGGCTATGTGAGCTAGGGAATTGCCCGCAAACCACCGGTTGTGGGATTCTAAGAGGGACAGGACGGCCTGCGGTTGGTGCACACGTGAATCTTGGGTCGTTTTATTTCGTGGGGACGCCTGTAGCGGTTGGACTAGCGTTTTGGTTGAAGATTGGGTTTAGTGGGTTGTGGTTTGGGTTGCTTTCGGCTCAAGCGGCTTGCGTGGTTTCAATATTGTATGCGGTTTTGGCAAAGACGGATTGGGAAGGAGAAGCTGTGAGGGCGATGAGGTTGACGAGTTTGGAGATGAGGAGAGTTGGGAGAGATGAAGAAGAGTCGTCGTTGTTGTTGTTGGATGATCGTAATGGGAATGATGAGAAGTTGGGTGGTGTTTTGTAATAAATTTGAGAGACTTATTGTTTGTTTTGGTGGTATTTTAACTAGTGATGAGTGTTGTTGACTTGTTTCGTGTCCATTTTCGTTTTTTCTAGTGAGTTTGCTAATAATCTTGAAAGCTAAATCCTTTTTAGAAAAAAAAAAGAAAAAAGAAAAAATCCTTTTTAGACGTTGTTGAAAGTAAGACTGAGTAATAATTAAATTGAAAAAATCAAAAGGAATATCGAATATGGCTTTTTTTTTGCCAGAAATGGTTAAAAAGAGGAATATAATAAAAGTTTGTAAGAAACCATTTTTGGCCATATTAAGCTAAACACCATTGAATGCATGCCTATAGTGTGGTACTTCGTTTTCATGACAATAAGAAAACATTATTTGTGTAATTATGAGAAGTTGGGCCAAGAAACGATGATGATGAAAGTGACATACCATTGCCATTGAGAAACCACAATGATTCAAAGTCCGACACAGACAGAATTGTTCCCCAAAAACTTTGGGACATACCATTGCCATATTATCCCATACAAATTACAATTGACACCTCTTTTTGTCGGACACTTAAAGTCTCAAGTCTATGGAATTATAAGAAACATGTCACACAGCCACTCACCAATCCGATTCATACATTCTGAGCTCGAAATTCAGATCAATCTTGGAACCAGCCAAACACAATAGAATTTCAGATATTGGGATTGTAATATGATTTGATGAAACTCTTGAAAAGAGAGATGAATGAATTGAAAAAATAAAAACACTAGAATTAAGAGAATTAATAATTAATACCATACTATTTTTTTTTTTTAAATGTTTCACAAATTTGTAAAAATATTCTTCTATCACTTGTCGTCGTCAGAGGAGGATTCTGAGGAGGAGGTGTCGTTGTCGTCAGAGAAGGTAATTTTCTTACCGCAGAATTTTACCTTCGGTTTCTTCAAAAACTGTTCAGTCTCCAAAACATATTCGTACCTGGATACATCAAAGAACTCTTTGTCATCTCTCTATGTATTTATACCAAAAAACTTAACCCAATGTGCTATTTGGTAACAAAATTAAAAAATAAAAAATAATAGCTAAATCTCTTACCAAAGCTTCTCTTCAAAGTTGTACCTAATTAGCAAAAATATTAGCGTTAAATATTTATGTAATAACAACATCAAAACTAAGTTAGAAAAACAAATCTCCAGATGGAAAATAAATTTACTTGGCTCGGAAAGGATATGGAGCAATAATCTGAGCCATGTCAAGAAATATCTTATAGCCGAGCAAATATTTACGGTTCTTCTCTTGCAACGCCTACATTATAAAAAGATTAATCAGCAATTGTACTAGTATAATTTTTCATCATCAGTATATATTTACTTTTCAAATGACTACTCTACTTTTCATCATTAACTATTTACTACTCTTACCTTATTTGCTTCGTCAGGAGAAGCAAACTCAACAAAGCCACATCCCACATGCTTACCCCAGTGGTCTACAATAAATCGAACTCCAACAACTTCTCCAACATCTTTGAAGAAATTGATGCTGTAAAAAATGGAGGATAAAAATATCAGTCATGTAAAAACTTTCTACAAGAAACAAAGGAGGAAATATTTAAGGTGCTACTTACATATATGATATCTTAGTTTTGGGAGGGAGATTTGCAATAAAGAGAGTCTTATTTCTTACTGCAACTTCCTGAATTTGACAGCCATAGTGTGTAAGGAGAAAATATATAACTTAAATTGCATAACAACAAAAGTATAGATTCACATTTCGACTTTGTGGCAACACTTGTGTTATTAACGCTTACCTCAGAAAAATCAGGAGTTTCTATCATAAGGCTTTCTCGTCGAAGGTAGTCTTCGTACCTGGAATATTAGAAAACCCTAGTGATCTTAATTATCTCTCCGTGTATACCAAAAACTTCACTCAATGTGCTCTTGATAACAAACGCAAGAGGCAAATAATTAAAAACCATTACCAAATCTTGTGATCTATGCAAGACCTAATAAAAAAAAAAAAAAAAAAAATTGTTAATCTTCTGTAATGGCACCAAAACTCTAACAATATGTTACAACCATTATGGAAACAAATATCCATAGCATAAATCAAAATTACATGGATGGGGACTGAATCCATTGGCAAGGAGCTGGCCTAAAGACATCAACTTTATTCTTGTCATTGTGTAAATATTTACCGTTCTTCTTTAGTGCCTACAATAACAAAAGATTTAACCAGCAACAATCGTGCTTTCAAAATTTCCATCATAAGTATACACTAAAATACTTTTTATTATTACTATAAACTACTCTCACCTTGTTAGCTTCGTCAGCAGAAGCAAACTCAACAAGGCCACTCCCATAATACTTTCCCTTGCGGTTTACATTAAGTCGAACACGAACAACCTTTTTTCCAACATCTTTGAAGAAATTAATGCTTAAAAAAAAAAGGAGGATAAAATATTAGCTCATGAAAAAAAATTCTCCAAGAACGAGAGAGAGAGAAACTAAAGGTGCTACTTACATATCTGATATTCCAAAGTAGTCGGGGCAACTTGAAACAAAGAGAGACTTACTTCTTACGGCAGCTACCTGCGTTTAACAGCAAAGTGTGTTACCACGACTCTAAGAAGTGCATAACAACAACAAAAGTAGTCTCATCTAGAGAATAAGTCATCTTTCAAAAACATGTACCTCAGCAGGATCGGGAGTTTCATCGACTCCTTTCATCAAAAAAATCTTATGATCGTGCAAATATTTACCATTCTTCTTTTCCATCGCCTACAGTATAAAAGATTTAATCATCACACACATTATTTTTTTAAATTCTTTTTCCATCATTACTACAGAACTACTCTCACCTCTTTTGCTTCGTTAGCAGAAGCAAACCCAACAAAGGCATAGCCCACATGTTTACCTTCATGGTCTACAATAAGTTGAACACTAACAACTTTTGCAACATCTTTGAAGAAATAAATGCTGTAAAAGTGGAGTGGTAAAAGCATCAGTCATGAGAAACTTTCTCCAAGAACAAAGGAGGAAATTTAAGGTGCTACTTACATTTCTGATGTTTTAGTTGTTTGCGGAGAGAGACTGGCAACAATGAGTACTTTCTGAATTTCACAGCCAAGTGTTAGCACGACTCTAAGGAGAAAACGACTTAAGTTGCTTGCATGGCAAGAAAAAAGGTAAGAACAAATACCTCAGTAAATTCGGAAGGTGTCTCATCTTCTTCTATGGGAAGGCTTTCTCGTTGAAGGTAGTCTTCGAACCTAAAATATCAAAAACGTCACCCAATGTTCTCTTGATAACAAACTAAGTGGCAAATAGTTAAAACCCCTTACCAAACCTTGTGATCTATGCAAAACCTAATTCACAAAAAAAAGTAGCGTTAAAATCTTCTGTAATGGTATCAAAAACTTTAGCAACAAGTCACATAAACAAATCTCCATAACAAAAACCAATTTACTTGGGTGGACGGTATGTATCTCCCTTATTAGCCACATCAAGAGTAATCTCACGATCGTGCAAATATTCACCGTTCTTCTCTTGTAGCGCCTTAAGTTCAAAAGATCTAATTAGCAATCATACACTTGCATATTTTTCTTTTCATTGCTAGAAACTACACTAACCTTCTTTGCTTCGTTAGCAGAAGCAAACTCAACAAAGCCACAACCCACACGCTTGTTCTTGCTGTCTAGAAGAAGTTGAACACGAACAACTTCTCCAACATTTTTGAAGAAAACGATGCTGTCAAAAATGGAAGGATAAAATTATCAATCATGAAAAAAACTTACTCCAAGAACCAAAAAGAAAGAAATTATAATGTGTTGATACTTACATATCTAATATTCTTATGTTGTCAGAGAGATTGGCAATAAAGAGCGTCTTTTTTGGTTCGACAACTTCCTGAATTTAACAGCACAAGCAAAATTGTGTTATTAAAATGCTAAACGTTTTCGACATATTTTGAAGATTATTAGAAGAGGCACCTCAACAAAATCGTGAATTTCATCAAATCCTTCCACTGTGTCCTGTTATTTTTTAAAGATGATAAGAAGAAGATGCTTAATTTAAACATAACAAAATAACTAACAAACATTAGAAAATTTAGTTCTTTCAAAACTTTATTAAGTGAGATAAAATTAGCTTGATCAAACTTTGACTCTAACAAGTCGAGCCTTCTTTTGATCTGCTGGAGAGTATCAGCAATTCCTTTCATGGTTACGTCCTTAGGCTTCTTCAGAGTCCGTTCTGTCTCCAAATCACCATCTTCAGGCTTTCGCTTACCCAATAGATTATCCATGGAGAGAAGATGAAAACAGCCTGACAGATTTTTTTCCCCGGGAAGAGTTGAGAGCGGCAATAAAATTATAAATAAACCCTAGCAAGGTCTTAATAAAACAAATTATCTTCTTAATTTGACACACCGCCGATATATATTTTTTTTTTATTTAGGAAAATTGCTTAATTTGGCAATGGATTTTTTTTTTAAGTTTCAATATTATATGTGTATAGAGTTATAAAGAGTAACAACAAAGCGACTCAAACAATCTTGTGTAGTCACATGCTACTTTGTCACAGTTTAAGCTACGTATTTTGCTGCTGTCTGTGTTTACACTCATTGTATCATAAAGGCTAATTCTTTATATCTACTTCTGACGAAACCAAAACTTGGGTGAAACAGATTCTTGTAAAGCTTAATTAACCAATTTGATTACGCTTTCTCCTCAGTCTCTAACCAGAGCTCCATTCTTTTTCAGCCACAAGCCAATATACTAACATGAAAATTCCCTATCATACTTGGATGGCAAGACAGTATCAGGGTCAATGAGAAACATGTTCTTAGTGATGTATCTCTCTGTGTAAACTTGTTCAGGCCTCTTCTTCTTCAATACCTTTTCCATCTTAAAATTTCCAAATTCGTCAAAAATACTCTGTACAAAATATCCCCATGACTGATATCCATTACTGCTAATATTCCACACTAACAGCTCAGCTACATGATATCATGAGTCTGCAAAAATCACCTGGAAAATTCAGTTTCAAGATCTGAGCATAACCAAACATTTTTTTTTTCATTGCAGTAGATAAGCTATAGAGCTACTACAGGAGAAAGCAACGAACCAGCTGAAAATGCAGCCACCGGTAAGTAAAGATTGATTCAACCTTCAAGACATCTCACTCCTCTTCCCCGTCGTTAACTTGACCTTGTTGCGCCGCCCTGATCGTGGCTTCTCCGGCGAACCAGATTTAGCCAAACTCCTCCTCCCTGCTCTTGACCTTGTATGTGGCTTCTCCTGTGAAGAACCCCACCTACCACCTCTCGGACTTGAATTCCTACGACCACGCTGGTTTTCATCCACTTCATCATCATCATCCTCCTCGTCATCATCATCAACAACATCTTCTTCACCCACATCCTCAATTTCAGAATCAGAAACCTCATCCTTTACATCACTCTCACAAACTTCTCCTTCCACCTTCCCTTTCTCTTCTCTCTTCCTACTAGACACCGCACTGCTCACTTTCTTAACCTTACTCATGAGTTTCAAGTAACGGTTCCTACTAGTCACCAACTCATTACCCTCCACCAACATCCCTCTCTTGTAACCATCTCTAAGCACCACAGTGTGAGTCCTAAGCTTACTCGACAAGTAAAACACACCATGATGGTTATGAAGAACCCTCTTAAACCTCGACCTCAACCCCATAAACTCACCAAGACGCAAAACCGCGTCTTTCTCAACCTTCTTCGACACAAAAAGGTTCAAGATCTCGTGCAATACAGCAGCCGCCCACTTATCAGACTCATCGCTCGTCACCGGCAAATGAAGCGCGTTCTCATACGGTGAGATATACGGCAGCTTCTGCCAATCGTCGAACCATTTCTTCATCTTCTTGTCCACGACGAATCCGTTTGTGAACTTCATCGGAAAAGCAATCGGAGAGCCTTTAACAAACCCACCTTTTCCGGAGATTTTCGCCTTCTTCTCCAGCGCGGATACAGAGTGCTCGTCGCTCCAGCAGACGAGCTCTAACTCGCCGCTACATCCGCGGAGCTTCGATTTGGTTACTCTGAAATAGTCGGGGAAATCGGGAACCATGGATTCGACGTAGTCCTGAGGCAAACCTAAATCCCATTTCAGCAAATCGAGGAGCTCTAGAGGGATTCTGTTGATTCTGTTTATCATGAGCAGTTTCAAGAGCCGATCGGCTAATCCCTGCTTGTAAGTCTCGCTTCCGTAAACCAATTGCTCATCGGCGTCGAGGTCGAGAACTTCCGGCGTGAGGCTGATGTGAGGGTTGATGCCGATTCCTGCGGGGAGAAACTCTTGGAATACGGTGGGGTAGCTCCGGGTGAACTCGATCGGACGGAGAGGGACTCGGAGGGAGTCTCTCTGGGTTGTGATGACGGAGATCGGGACTGATTTGGATGGCTCCGATCTGATTAGGTCTTTGATGCTGAGTAGGGGTCTGAGATTCTTCTCTCTCTCCACCGCGTGGTCGAGGCCTCGGTCTCTGACGAATATGTACGCTTCCTCCGCCGTATCGGCGAAAGTTCGGCTGCCGGTTTGTCGGCGGCTGGAAATGGACCGGAAAATGGATCTCATCTGAGAAGCGGCGAATTCGATTTAGGGTTTTGGGATAAGAAATGGAGAGGAGTCTGATGAGAGGGTTTATGGAGATGGAGGGGTTTTGGCTCTGTTTTTGTTTTAAGAAATAAATCAGTAACATTTTTATATTTTGGTCATCAAGTTGTAACACTTTCCATTTGATACAAAATTGTCGCATATCAACGGTCAGAGAGAGTGGACCAAATCAATGGGTCAATCTCAGTTTCGTAGGACTCATTTATCTCTAACCAAGTAACGAGAACACATTTTTTTTGTTAAAAGGCCTAATAACACATGTATCACAATTTTAGAACAATACCGCAAGAGCATCTTAAATTACACCTGCAAAGATCCGTTAAAAACCAGTCGAAGAAGATATCATTGGGGGGTGTTATTCATTTTGAAATCAATTATCTAGGTTATTTTTTTTTTGTCTATGGTGTTATTATGCATTTGAAATTCATTCTATAGGTTTTATAATTCTTTAAATTCAAAATTTTTATCTTATTTTCAAAATTCATATAAGTTCATTTTAAAATCTCTACAATATTTATGAATTATGTTTTTAATAATTTACTCATAGAACTCTACTGGAATTCATTTCAAATGATTGACTAAGCAAATATTTTTAAAATTATTTATTTTTGAATAACATTGAATTTTGAAATTGGATTTGAAATTTTGACTGAATAACACTAGATTTAAAAATCTATTAATGATAGGTTACAAATCATATATTCAATAACACTGTATTTGAAAACATAATTTCAAATCATAATTTAGAATCATTACTTAAGTAACATTGAATTGTATTTGTATTTCAAATACAACATATATATTAAGACTAAATCTCAACATAATAATAATGTAAGTGCATTTAGTGCAGTAAGAACGATTAAATTTTATTATTAAAAACATACATCTAAAAAGTAAAACTATAGTTTAACTATTTGACCCCAAAAAAAGTAAAACTTTGATTTCAGTTCGTAAATGACTTTTTTTTTTTTTCTTGAAAACTGAAGCAGTAATAGTAATTCAATCTTGCTATAATCAGATGCATGATATTATATATTTGCAATACCCTGTTCTTCTTGCTTTTCTAGTTCCCACATGTCTCGATGCTTCTGCGTAACCACACAAACAAAAATGTAGAATGCACGTTCTAAAAAAAATAGAATGTATAATACACAAAATCTCCACCGTACACTTCACTACATCCAGTCGGTGTCGAATAAGAAAATTGGGAACCATGCGATTCAGTTCAAGGCCGTGACTACTAACAGAATCCACAAGGGGCATTCCATGACTTTGAAAGCTTCCGAAGAAATGAACACTCGGCAGGGTTCTTGTAGTGTATTATTCGCGACGTCAAGAAGCCAGAATTCAGTCGCGAAGATCGCGATTGCTCGGATTTTGGGCTTTTTGACGGGATCGTCTCCCATCACCTTGGTCATCATAGCCGTCGTGCTAATTAGGCGATATCCGCCGCATATCTGATTAGAACTACGGCTACGGTGATCAAGGCGACGATGAGGTTGATGACGTTTATCAAATCTAAATAAGTAAAACTGTTTTCTTCCTTGTTTTGTTTTCAAACACTTATGGTAAATTGCATAATTAGGTGGATGAAATGAAATCTATGAAATTTTTTAAAAAGATACTACATGAACCACTTACATAATTTTTTAAAATTAATATAGTTAAGCTAATAAACCTCTCCCTATTAAATACTGACTATAATTAAAATGCTTGGCTTAGTAAACAGTAAATTTATACATTAAAAGAATATATAGTTATCAAAAAAGTATTTCACAAAAATAATCATAATATAAGTAAATTATAAGTATAACATAAGAAAATTACGAACAAAAGATAAGTAATTTATAAGCAAAACATAATAAATATGATAATATTGTCATGTTTTCTAATATATATATATATTCTCTTTTTAAAACCATATGCTTAACACTGAAAAACCCACACAATTGCTTTGTATAAATCTTGGATCTAGCAATAAAATATGTGTTATTACTTTAATGGAATATCTTTGTAAAAACAATAACATATATATGTTAAAAAAGTCAAAATCTATACAAATATAAGTTTTAAGACATATATTAATCATTGTAAAAAAAAAGATATATTAATCAATTTCAAAACCAGGCAAATAATTAAGGTGTTGAAATCAACTCCAACAAATTTGAATTACATCAGATCTTCAAAATTTTGGTTCATTAATAATGATTCATTATTCACTTCACAATCTATAGTATTAGAAATATCTTTAAAAATTTAGATATGTAGGTTAATAGTGATAATTATTGAATTGAATAAATATAATAAACTGATTACAGAATTTAAAGATAAAAATGTTAGATTTTGATTGCTATAATCTACACATGAAAATGATTTCAAATCCAAGCAAATTATTTCATGTGAAATCCGTTAAACAAAGTATATTAAATTTGAATAACACAAGATTTTAAATTATTTATTCAACTCCTTAATTAAATAGAACAAGATTTCAAACTCTTTTAAGAGATTATAAATACAAGAACCAATAATACTTGATTTTTAACTCTTTTAATAAAAGTATTTTAAATACTTAAACCAATAAGACTAGATTTTGTCAGAATATTTAAAAGCCATGATTGAATAACAATAAATTATGATTGGATTTAAACTCTATTAAAAATCACGAATGAATAACGCATTTAAATCTTTATGAGATGTTGCATATTTTGTTATATAGTACTCAGTATGTTTGGATTACAATAATAATAGATAAGTGTTCCTTTGCTTAAAAGCACCACAATATGCATATAGAAAATTTGAAATACTTTAAATCATGGTCATTGCCTCATTGGTCATCAACTTTAATTCATAAATAAAATATCGATATATTGGATGCTTAAAAATTAAGTCGCAGCATATCATCAATCTACGCACAAAGGAAAGTGGAGCCAATCAAAAACCTCAACTAAACCAGAAAAGGTCGTTTCTCTCCGCCGCACACGACGGGCAATCTCACTTCCTGCCGTCGCTTTCGATCCCACCGGAAATCAGCCATGGCGACCGCAAACTCCGGGAAGACGACTCTTTCCACCAGCTCACGCGACTCGAAGCGCTTCGATTTCTCATCCGCCGATGCGCCTCCTTCAAAGCTCTCCCTCTCCCCCGATCAGCTCAAATACTGTCACCAAGCTCTAGCGGTCTTCAGGGAAAAGATTCTAAATCCTGACTCGATCGCTCGTGAGTTTGCCAATTTGCAGGTTATAGATCTTCTTCTTCTTCTGTTAAACTGCTCTACTGCTGAAGAAATTGAGAAATTCCTCTTCCATATCGAACTATTTTGTTTCATAGTTTCGTATGTGATAATAAACTCTCATCGAACGCAGGCTAATAGGATGTGGCCATCGGAGATGTGGCTAATCTGTACAGTGGCTACGAACAGTGTCAATTCTGAGAAGAACAGATACACAGATGTTCTTCCATGTAAATTTCCTTTTCCTTTTTCCAGATTTTATAGGCAGTGTACGGTTTCTTCTAATAGGATTTTGCATATTAATCTTTTGTTCTGCTTTGGAATTCAGTTGACAAGAATAGGATTGTTCTGAATCCATGCAAAGACTCTCAATCATCTGCAGCGGGATATGTGAACGCTAGCCTCATTAAGGTGACACTTCTTAGTAATCTTCTTTCCTGTGGTTCTCTGAAGGTTTCTGTTGATTGATTTTTGAAAGATTTGTTACAATGGCTTTATGTTTTGCAGACTTCATCGTCTGAGAATGTTTCTCAATTCATTGCTACACAAGGTCCGTTACAGAAGACGACTGAGGACTTCTGGGAGATGGTGATTCAGCAGCACTGCCCAGTCATTGTGATGCTCACTCGATTGGTCGACAATAATATGGTACTTGTTTGCATTTAACTACAATCTTTATCTTGCTTGTGTGTACGAGTCTTGCTCTTTGCTGTTGTGTTGCTTGACATAATAAGATTGATGGCCTCAATTCTTCAAAGTTTAATTTGTTATGAGGCTTAACGTTGATGTTATCTGGTCGGTGTTGCTTTCCCTGGCTTTTGTAGTTTTTGGTTTGAGGCAATTTGGTATGAAACTATCTTAATGCTAGAGTCTCACTTGGAAATATGAAAGGATGTTCACAGACATATGAGCTGATCATCAAGGCCTCTATACTCTATTGCTGTATTTGATTTAGATGATATCATATTAGTATGATCTGTTGCAAACAATTAAGTAGAAGGGAAGGAATATTGGTGGAGTTGTTGTGAGCATTTGGTTTTGTTCTACTTACCTGTCAAATTGTCATTCCCATCAATCAAACATTTTATCATTTGTTAGCAAGTTTTGAATGTTTCATAAACAGTGATGACGATTAGATAAGTATCTCGCTGATGTTGATTAATGAAATTATGTGGATTCTTGTTACAGATGGTTAAATGTGGGGACTATTTCCCCGCCGATGAGAGACCTCGAGAGTTTGGCAACATATCTGTTAACACAAAATGGGTAAAGACTACTGATACTTCCTTAATGTTGCGGAATCTTGAGGTTAAACACAAGGAGGTAAAAAAAAAATCTTAGTATCAGTTTACTACTGTTCCTTTCTCTCTTTTTGACATGTTTCACCTAAAGTTAAAACTGTGTGGCGTTTTGTTACAGGCAGAGGATCATCAGCCAATGTCCGTGTTGCATATCCAGTATCATGAATGGCCTGATCATGGAGTTCCAAAGGATACTGTGGCTGTGCGTGACATTCTGAAAAGACTGTATCAAGTACCTCCTAGTCTCGGCCCAATCATTGTTCACTGCAGGTAACGATGCATGTCAATGTGTGTAACTATATGCATAAGTGTCTTTTAATCTCTTCTGAGAGAATTGGTTTTTATCTTTTCAGTGCAGGAATAGGTAGAACCGGAACATACTGTGCGATACATAACACAATCCAGAGAATTCTTGCTGGTGACATGTCTGCGTTGGATCTCGCTAAAACCGTGGCAACATTCCGTAGCCAGCGCAGTGGCATGGTCCAAACCATGGTAATCTTTTAATTTCTTGTTGTTTAGTTACCACATTCTTGTGTTGTTCATGGTCGTTGTATAACTTGTTCAAACTCTTGCTCTTTTTTACTTATAGGATCAGTACGTCTTCTGCTACAAAGCGATTGCTGATGAACTAGAAGATTTAACTGCGGAGACGAAAGCTGGAACGAGCTCGTAAAGGTACGCAATTTTTTAAACAATGCAAAGCTGAGTGTTGGCTTTAGATAATGGATAAATCTGTTTACGTAACTTTCTCTTGTTTTTCTTATCTTTTGATCCAGCTGAATGCAACATTTGTCGGTGTCGTCTTCTCTTCTGCATTGGGAAAAGAAGAAAATGCTTTAACGCAAAATGTATCTCATCTAATATCATATTCGTAATCTGATTTGTGGTGGAGAAACCAGTTTGTGGTGATATCATGTAGTGAAAACCAGTCTTCTAAAGGCTTTCGATTCATGTAAATTTCCATATCTGATTGGAAAAGTTGGTTTTTTCTCTCTTTTTAATATCTTTTGCTGTGAAAATGCTTCTGCAAATGAATTTGGCGAGAGAGACTCTTCTGCTGATGATGAACCGGTTTGATCAGGCTGGAATTGAATCCAGATTTAAACCGGTTAAGATTTGAACCGAGTTTCTCTCGCGGTTAAAATTGGTGTAAATAAAAAAACTGTCGTCTCACAACACATTTTGTCGAGTCATCGCGGGAAAATCTCGTAATGGCGGCGCGTGTCGTCACGCGCAGTAAACTTAACGCTATAATAAAAGAGACCCAAATCGGCAACAAGCGAGTCTTTCGTCTTTGGCTTTCTGGTGTTGTTGAAGAGGAGATATGATGGAGAAGAAGCATTCGAATTCGAAATTAAAGTAAAGCTATCATTTCATCGAACACGAAGCTTCTTCTTCTTCGTTATACCGTATTCCTAAATTCGCTAGTCTCTCAAGTGGTAAGTTTTTGATTTCTCCAGATCTCAAAGCTTTTTTTCCGACTTCTTCCGTCTCTCTCCCTCTGTAGCGCGAAATTTGTAATGAATTGTTGTGGATCCTTCCATATCTCTCTCGAATTGATGGGGTTTAGCAGGAATTGCTGTTTCTAGGTCGAATTTGTAGTTCATGATACAAAAGTCGCACTGTCATTCATGGTTTAGAATCGTATTGTGGTTTTAGGGATAAACCTTGATTTAGGCTTAAGGTAGCGAATGGTGCTTCTTCATTGTGTATTCTCTTGAATTGTTTATCCGAAAGAAGGTTCTCTGGATTGTGAATTTGTAATGATTGCCTTGTAGCCACAATTTGGCCTCCTTTTGCAGCTAAAAGTGGATTCTGGTATACAAAATGTTGATACACGAGTCTGTGTTATGTAAATTTCTCATTGATGGAATGTAATGAACACATAATCTTATCTCTGAAGAAGAGATTGTCATGATCTTAGTGTATCCAGTATCGCCGAGAGTGATGTTTGAATTTGGCTCAGATTTTTTCTTATGGATAAGCTTGTAATGGGGTCTAGACTCTTAAGAGGAATTTACTTTGCTGAATTTGGTAAAATGGGCTCTAGCTTAGTTCTTTCTTCTTCTTTCCCCTGTAGGTGGGTTCTTGCAAGTTGCTGAAATCCTTTGGCTTTTGTCAAAAATGCAGGAGTCCTAATAGAGCGTACTTTTCTTGTAACTCAAAAGCCACACACTAAGAATCTTCACCGAGGCAAAAGAAATGAGCTTTGCGTGCCTGGTGTGCCACAGTGTAGAGAGCCCTTCACACTCGTTTAGAAGCTACTCTGTTTCAAGCTCAGACAACGAAGGAAGATGCTCCGTGATCGCGAGCTGCCTCACGAGGAATTCACTCATCCAAGCTGCAAGATCCAACACTTTCCCTGCATCTTCCTCAAAGGTCACACCGCAACCCAATTTCCAGGCAGGTAATCTGATGATAACGGAAGGAGCCTCGCCGAGGTTAGTGCGAAGCCGTGCTGTGAGGAGAGACATTGTCAGAGACTGGAACTTCAACGAAAATTGAGTCTTGAGCTTTAAAAACTCAAAATCTGACTCATCTTCTCTTAGGAGTAGTGTATTAGTTTGTTCGTTTGCCCTATGTTGTTATCTTCTGAGTTCTCTGTTCAAACGATCTTAGTTTCATTACTTGTCAAATTTTTTGTATTAGGCTCCGTAATTTGCAAAACCAATAATCTTAATACTATCTTCTTCTTCTCTCTTTTCATTTTTTTACCCATTGTTTATTCAAATTTTTACCGTTTTCCTTTCAATGGTATATATTAACAGCAAAAAGTTTTAAATTTGTAAATCTTTTCTTTCATTACAAAAAGGGTTAATAATGCTTAATGACCCTCCTCAGTCCTCATAGACCATTGTGCAAACTCGTGGTTAGCTATTGGTTAGATGTTTATACATTGTGTCATGAAACATGAAAATGGCAATTTTACTGGGATTATTACCACAGATTGCGGAGGACATGTAAATGGCAATTTTTTATATATTTAATTTACAAATCTAATCCTCTGACAATGTGGGACCAATTGAATTTAGAGAATATGTTCAAACGTATGATTTGAGTAGTTAAATGAGAGATTTGTTTCTAATTTATTCGTATCTCACCATATTTTCCTTTATTGACAAGAAAAAAAGGAGTAAACTTTCTTTTACAATGTGGGACCGACCAATTGAATTAGCATTTAATAGGTTCAAACATTTGATCTGAATAGAGATTTGTTTCTAATTTATTCGTATCTTTTTACTTGTAAACGAATTGGTCAAACGATCTTAGATACTTTACTTGTCAAATTTTTGTATTAGGCTCCGTAATTTACAAAACCGATAATCTAATACTATCTTATTCTTCTTTGTTTTCGTTTCAGTTGTAAATAGTAACAGCAAAAAAAAGTCTTGAATTTGAAAATCTGTTCTTTCATTACAAATCAAACCATGCGCTAAAATTAAAACAAGAACATGGAAAAGCAGCCAAACAGACAATGGACAATATAGTTTCTCTTGAGTTTCATCTTAAAATGTGGTCTCGTGACGTGAGGAGGGGTTTAGACGAGGGAAGGCACGTGGTAGAATTTGCCATTGCACAAGCACTTGTAGACGAGAGGGCAAGCCTCGGAGCCAGAAGAGCACTTGGAAGTGACCACAACGAGCTTGCATGGCCTACATGGTCCACACGCGTGCGAACAGTCCGGTATGCTTGACCCGCTTGCCACATCTACATGGTATTCAAAACAAATACATAAACCAAGATATATATTATATAATAAAGTTTTTATCCTCTCTAATGTAATTGCCAAAATAATACTCACAGTCTAAGAGATCCAAACGGAAACTATTACTACTAACAAAGAGATGGAGAAGAAGAATAACAACCAAAGATATCAATTTCATTTGAACTTTTTTAGTTGTACTATAGATTCTCTTTTGAAAATGGAAGAAATTGTGGTGAAGAGATGAAATAAAATTAAGATATATAGGAGAGTGAGAGTAACTTTTTTTTTTAATGAAACAGTGTTAGATTCACATGATCCATCCTTTTCTTTTCAAAGGCTTTCACATTCTTTGATCCTTTTCAATTAATTTTAATCTCTTACTGTCTCAATTCATATTCTGGCAATAGATTGGAACAAACACACACACACATTTGTATCTGCAATATAAATTTGTGACTCATTATCATCAAACTTACATCAAGTCTTACCTGCCAGCAAGCGTGACTCTTAGAGACCTTGCTTTTAATGAAGTCCTCACTGTCTCTTTGTTACAACCACATGTTTCTTCACTCTCATTTACTTCCAAGTTCCAACATAGCCTTTTTCGCATTTTCCACATAAATTTCACGTCAAAAAAATTATTTACGTAAAGTTGAGCGCATCTTACTAGAATTCGATATGTGGCAAAATTATTTAGTTCACTAGATCGATGACACTTAACAAGACATGATATATCAAAAAAGTGAAAAAGCTGATATTGATTGAAAAGGATTTTTGAGTCATAATATCATTGCTAATCGTCCATCAATATCCTATAGTTTCAATTCACATAACATACATAAAATACAGTTTTTCTCTAATGAAGAAATTTGCCAAAAATTTGGAGCAGCCTGTGAAAATAGTACTGACGGCTAAAATAGCACGACAAGGGTCCAAAGCATGATCGAGATATGTTAACAACAGATCACCGTTAGGACAATCTATTCTGATTTGCGAAAGAAATCATCTGAATATTCTTTTTCTCTTTGATAGCTAATTATTTTTCAAAATTCAACAAGATACTATAGTTGAAGAAAAAGAGTTACTTTGAATCTATAAGACTTCCACGTCTCTTTTATACTTTTTCTAATTTTATTATTTCGTAACAATATTTTCTAGTGACAAATTTAGAATCCACTCAATCAAGCTAACTCGCATTAGCATATATAAGGCACATTTTATTTAATTAGCTACTTTTTTTTTTCTCAAAATGAAAACAATTAGATAGACGTGTTTGTGCTTACTTCATGTTTAAAATAGAAGTAATTCACTTCTTATTTTTTTTTGTCACAGTTGTAAAAGTTAGATATGAATGTCACTATATAGAGTAAAACTTAGAACACTAAACCAACAATTATACACTCAACCTACAAAAATCGAAACACTTCTTTTCTTCTTTCAAAGGAGCTTCTAATCCTGCTTAAGCCTATACTAGCACTACTTGTTATGCTCCTTGGTTTTCTCAAGATATACGATTTTCGAAAGAAATCATGTGAATATGCTTCTTCTCTTTGTTAGCTGATTTTTTTTTTCTTTTTGTTCAAAACTCTTTGTTAGCTGATTATTGCTCAAAACTCAAAAGTCAACAAGATACTAAAGTTACATGGAAATCGGATAGTTAAGTCTTAAAAATTTCACTTCAATATAAAGAATAAAAATTAGGGCTACTTTCATCAGTAGTTTTATGAATCTTGAAGATGAACGTCTCATTTATACTTTTCTAATTTTTCTATTACGTAACAATATATCTCTATAGACAAATTTAAAATTAATCCACTATCAGCATTCAGCATATACCACATATGTAAGGCACATGTTATTTAATTAGTTACGTTTATCCTCAAAATGAAAAATAAACAGACGTGTTTGTGCTTACTTCATGTTTAAAATAGAAATCACTGATTCTGGCCTCACACGCACAATTCTTCTTTTCTTGTCACAATTGTATTAGTAAGATATGAATGTCACTATATAGTGTAAAACTTAAAACACTAAGCCAACAATTATACACTCAACCAAAAAAAGAAAAAGAAAAAAAAAAACACTTCTTTGGTTCTTTCAATGGAGCTTCTAATCCTGTTTAATTCTGTCTTAGCACTAGTTGTTATGCTCCTTGTCCTCAGGATATACGATGCTTTTATGATCATTGTTTGGCAGCCATTTGTGTTGACCAGAAGATTCAAGAAACAAGGGATCTCAGGCCCTAAATACAAAATCTTGTACGGAAACCTCGGCGAGATAAAGAAGATGAAGAGAGAATCTGAGCTTTCAATTCTTGATCTAAACTCCCATGATATTTCCCCTCGCGTTTTTCCTCATTATCAACAATGGATGTCTCAATACGGTGCCGTTTTCTCCACCTTAAATCTCTTGTTCATCTTTTATCATGTTCTTTAGTTTTAGTACGGATGCGTAACACACACGTTATCTATGGTATATATATATATTTTTAGGAGAGACATTTCTTTACTGGAGCGGAACACAGCCGAGAATATGCATATCAGATCCTGAACTTGTCAAACAGATCTTGACGACCAAGTCGGGTTCCTTTGTTCAACCAAACTTGAGACCCGAGCTCCTTCAACTTCTCGGCAGAAAAGGACTTGCCCATGTCGATGATGCTGATTGGGTTCGCCATAGAAAGATCTTGAATCCTGCTTTCTCCATCGACAGGATCAAGGTTTGAATAGAGAAAGTACCCCTTATTATTAAGCATAACCTAATTAATCTAATCTTTCATGTGATATACTCTTCATTTTTTTATTGATCAGGTCATGACGAAAGTGATGGTGGATTGCACAGTGAGGATGTTAGATGAGTGGAGAAATGATAAAACAGAGAAACTGGTGATGAAGAAGGAGATGAAGAGAGAGTTTCATAGAATAACGGCTGATATTATAGCGACCGCAGCGTTTGGAAGCAGTTACGCAGAAGGAATCGATGTGTTTAGGTCACAAGAAGAGCTTATGAACTGCTGTGTTCTCTCTATCACTGACATCTTCATCCCTGGAATCCAGTAAGTAAATGCAAATCGCTCTCTTTCTTGTTTTCACTTCTCTGTTCAGACTTATGAAGAATATTGGTCTTGTTTCTTGTATTCCAAGGTATCTTCCTACGCCTATGAATTTTCGGATATGGAAACTGGATAGGAAAATAAAGAACTCGATCAAGAAAATTATAGATTCAAGACTAGAGTCAAAACCAGACTACGGAGATGATGTTCTTGGAATCATGTTGAGATCTTGCGAATCTGAGAAGAAGGAACAGAAGCTGAGCATTGAGGAGATCATAGATGAGTGCAAGACTATCTTCATCGCAGGATACGAAAGTAATTCGAATCTATTGGCATGGACAACGCTGCTACTGAGCTTGCACCAAGATTGGCAGGAGAAACTCAGAGAAGAAATTTTCAAAGAATGTGGTAAAGACAAGATTCCAGATTCGGACACTTTCTCCAAACTCAAACTGGTAACTAACTTATGTCAAAAGGGTTAATTGTAGTTGAAGAAAACGATTTCTTGCGGTTGAAGAAACTTGTTTTATGTCTTGCAGATGAACATGGTGTTCATGGAGACGCTTCGCCTATACGGACCAGTATCACATTTTTTCCGAGAAGCATCAAAAGACTCCAAGATAGGAGACCTAGAGATTCCCAAGGGCACAACCGTAGTTTTCAACCTTCTCAAGATGCAGAGCGACAAGGCCATTTGGGGACCCGACGCCGACAAATTCAACCCGCTGCGATTCGAGAACGGCGTTTCCCAAGCAGCCAACCACCCAAACGCTCTCGTCGCCTTTTCACTGGGACCAAGAACTTGCATTGGCCAAAACTTTGCAATGATCGAAGCCAAGACCGTCCTCACCATGATCCTTCAACGGTTCCGGCTTAGTTTATCCGACGAGTATAAGCATGCACCGGTGGATCATCTCCTTGTAATGCCTCAGCAAGGCTTACCCCTAATGCTTCAGCCTCTTGAGGATTGAAGTAAATGCCCAAAATGATCCATATGTCTAAATGAAAACTACTTCTGTTGTTCCTAATGTATTTATATCTATAGCCTCAATCTTTTTTTTTAGTTAAGTTCTTATAGCATGCATCCTTCCTTTGTAGCTCACAAAATGCTCCTTTTGGAGAAAGTGAAAAAGATGTAATAGAGGAGTACTCAGAAAAATGAAAATGGTTACTTTCACCAGTAATTTTATGAATATATATGAATATGACTTCCACGTCTCTTTTATACCTTAGTTTTAGACTTTTAGTATTACTTAACAATATGTGCTACAGAGAAATTTAGAACCCACTCTATCAGCATTACCATATATAAGGCACATTTTATTTAATTAGTTATTTTTTCTCAAATGAATATAATTAAACAGACGTGTTTGTGCTTACTTCATGTTTAAAATAGAAGTCACTGATTTGCTGGCTTCACACATAATTCTTCGTTTTTTTGCCACACTTGTAAAAGTAAGATATGAATGTCATGTCACTGTATAGTGTAAAACTTAGAACACTAAACCTCCAACTATATTTTTCGCATTTTCCACATAAAGTTTCTTTAGAAAAATATTATTTAAATTAAAAAAAATATTAACGGCTAAAATAATCTTACTAAAATTCGATATGTGGCAAAATTATTAGTTCACTGATGAGAGCATATGGAAATACTAACGGCTAAACTAGCACGACAAGTCCAAAGCATGATCCGGATATGTTATAACAACAAATCATTGTCAGGACAATTTGTTCGGATTTTCGAAAGAATTAATGTGAAATGCTCTTTCTTTTTTTTTAAAGCGGGTTATTGTTCAAACGTCATCAAGATGCTAAAGTGAAAGAAATAGGATAGTTACGTGTTAACAAATACACTTGCAATATAAAGAATAATAAATCTAGAAGACTTCCACGTCTCTTTCATACATTTTCTAGTTTTAATATTCCGTAACAGTATATGCTATCGACAAATTTAGAATCCACTCTATCAGCATTACCATATCACATGTTCTTTAATTAGTTACTTTTATCCTCAATATAAAATATTATCAGACGTGTTTTTACTCCATGTTTAAAACAGGAGTCGCTGATTCACTGGCCTCACACCTTCTTCTTTTTTTGTCACAATTGTATAAGTTATATATTAATGTCACTATGTAGTGTAAAACTTAGAACACTAAACCAAAAATTATACACTCAACCTAAAAACATCGAAACACTTCTTTAATTCTTTCAACGGAGCTTCTAATCTTGATTAAGCCTGTATTATGACTACTTGTTATACGATTTGCGAAATAATTAATGTGAATATGCTCTTTCTCTTTGTTCAAAAGTAAACAAGATACGAAACTTAAAGAAGTCGGATAAAGTCTTAGCAATTTCACTTGCAATATAGAGAATAAAAAGGGTTACTTTCATCAGTGAATTTAAGAATCTAGAAAATGTATCTCTATAATACTTTTCTAATTTTACTATTACGTAACAATATTTGCTATAGACAAATTTAGAATGCACTATCAGCAGACCATATCTAGATAATAAGGGAGGCACATGTTACTTAATTAGTTACTTTTATTCTCAAATGAAAAATAAACAGACGTGTTTGTGCTTACTTCATGTTTAAAATAGTAATCACTGATTCATTGGCCTCACACACACAATTCTTCTTTTTAGTCACGATTGTAAAATCAAGATAAGAATCTCACTATATAGTGTATAACTTAAAACACCAAACAAACAAGTTATACACTCAACAAAAAAAAACAAAACAAAACACTTCTTTGGTTTTTTCAATGGAGCTATTAATCCTGATTAACTCTGTCTTAGCAATAGCTGTTATGCTCCTTGTTCTCAGGATATACGATGCTTTTACGATCACTGTTTGGAAGCCATTTGTGTTGACCAGAAGATTCAAGAAACAAGGAATCTCAGGGCCTAAATACAGAATCTTGTACGGGAACCTCGGCGAGATAAAGAAGATGAAGAGAGAATCTGCGCTCTCGATTCTTGATCGAAGCTCCCATGATATCTTTCCTCGTGTTTTCCCTCATTTTAAACAATGGATGTCTCAATACGGTACCGTTTCTTCTCCACCTTAAATCTCTTGTTCATCTTTATCATGTTCTTTAGAATTTTTGTATGAATTTTCCTTAGAGGAGGATGCGTAACACACAAGTTATATATATTATCAGGAGAGACATTTCTTTACTGGAACGGAACAGAGCCGAGTCTATGCATCTCAGATCCTGAACTTGTCAAACAGATCTTGACGAACAAGTCAGGTTTCTTTGTTAAATCAAAGTTGAAACCCGAGATGCTTAAACTTGTCGGCGCCAAAGGACTTGCACATCTCGATGATGCTGATTGGGTTCGCCATAGAAAAATCTTGAACCCTGCTTTCTCCATCGACAGGATCAAGGTTTGAATTAAAAAAGTACAAAAGTACTCCTTAAAAATAAACATAACCTAATTAATCCAATATTTCTTGTGATATACTGTTCATTTTTATTGATCAGATCATGACGAAAGTGATGGTGGAATGCACATTGAGGATGTTAGATGAGTGGAGTGGTGATAAAACAGAGAAACTGGTGATGAAGAAGGAGATGAAGAGAGAGTTTCAGAGACTAACGGCTGATATTATAGCAACCGCTGCGTTTGGAAGCAGTTACGCTCAAGGAATCGATGTGTTTAGGTCACAAGCAGAGCTTATGAAGTGTTGTGTTCTCTCTCACACTAACGTCTTCATCCCTGGAATCCAGTAAGTTAAATCTCACTCACTTCTTGTTTTCACTTTCTCTGTTCAGACAAGATTCTTATTTGGTCTTTTGTTTCTTGTGTTCCAAGGTACCTTCCTACGCCTATGAATTTCCGGATATGGAAGCTTGGTAGGAAAATCAAGAACTCGATCAAGAAAATTATAGACTCGAGACTAGAGTCAAAACCAGACTATGGAGATGATCTTCTTGGAATCATGTTAAGATCTTGCGAATCTGAAAAGAAGGAACAGAAGCTGAGCATTGACGAGATCATAGATGAATGTAAGACTTTCTTCATTGGAGGACACGAAACTACGTCCAATATGTTGACATGGACAACCATGTTGCTTAGCTTGCACCAAGATTGGCAGGAGAAACTCAGGGAAGAGATTTTCAAAGAATGTGGTAAAGACAAGAAGACTCCAGATTCAGACAGTTTCTCCAAACTCAAACTGGTAACTAACTAATGTTCCTTTTATTTTTGCAAAGGGTTTGCTTGTGGCCGAATTAAAAGGTTTCTTGTTGCTGAAGAAACCTGTGTATGTGTTTGCAGATGAACATGGTGTTCATGGAGTCGCTTCGCCTGTACGGACCAATACCAAATTTTTACCGAGAAGCATCAAAAGACTCCAAGATAGGACAGCTGGAGATTCCCAAGGGCACAATAGTTATTTTTTCCCTCCTGAAGATGCAGAGCGACAAGGCCATTTGGGGACCCGACGCCGACCAATTCAACCCGCTGCGTTTCGAAAACGGCGTTTTCCGAGCCGCCAACCACCCAAACGCTCTCCTCTCCTTCTCAATGGGACCAAGAGCTTGCATTGGCCAAAACTTCGCCATGATCGAAGCCAAGACCGTCCTCACCATGATCCTACAACGGTTCCGGCTTAGCCTATCCGACGAGTACAAGCACGCTCCGGTGGATCATCTCCTTCTTATGCCTCAGTACGGCTTGCCCGTAATGCTTCGGCCTCTTGAGGATTGAAGTAAATGCCTAAATAAAAACTACTCGCATCTCTACGTTACGATCTGAATTTGGGAGCTTTTATGTTGCTAAATAGTTAGTTATGTATCGTGTGCCTAATAGTAATGTGTGCTACTTAACTAAGCTTCTAAGTGCTAATTAGTATTTTGATATAGCAGCAAAAGGAGAAGACAAAACTATTGATATTAAAAAACACAACGAACACAGATAATCACACATGTCCAAACCAATACGAGAGCTATTGCTTGTCTTTAGCGTACCAGTATGCTGCCTAAAGCAAAAGAAAAAGTTCAGCCCATTAAAAAACACTGTTTCATGATTCGAACCCGTGTCCGTAGCACCACATAGCAATGACACAGCCACATTGCTACTCAAGAAAATTCGAAAATCAGCGACCTTAAAATTTATTATATGTTGACAACTCTGAAATCTGGAAAAACAATTTAAGTTGAGTAGTTTTTACAAGTAATTTATGTTCACCCAACCAAAAAAGAATATTAACCTCTGTCAAAATTTCATTCAATTACATTAAAAACTACAAAATGTTCGTCCAAGAGTACTAAAAATATAAAATGAAAAAACCCAACAGATGAGTTAAACCTATTTTATCTCTATTCATTAATTACTTTTTACCTTATTCCTCTCCTTTTAATCTTCAACAACCACTGAAATCAATTAACTATTTTAGAATAGGTAAGAATATAAACTTTAGTTTGGTATGTTAACAAAATGTAATCAAAATTTTCACTTAACTGTTTCTTGTTGTTGAATAAATTGACAAAATAAGTGAGCATAGCTTACATATTGAAAATTTATATTTATGATAAATTACTTTTTTTAGTAAATTATTGTATATTTTTATATAGAAAAACTATGACCGCTTTATGTAATTTCTCTGTCTCTTGGTATATGAGGCAGCGCCGTATCCCAGGACGTTCCAAACGACCATGAAGAACGAAAAGGTAGCATTTGCGACTCGTGTTATTTAAGCGTCTCCGGCGGCTATATTGGCTAGAAAAGCGCGACAGGGTACTTGGAGAGTTGTTGCTCGCCATGAGGATCCAGAAACCGATTGCGGCTTTGTTGAGATTTATCAAATTTAAATAATTATGTTACAAGGAAAAACTGATCTTTTTTTTTATTTGTTTCAAAGATTTATGGTAAATTGAATAATTAGGTGGATGAAATAAAATATATCAATAATTTTTAAAAGATACTATATGAACGAATTACATAAATTTTTCAATTAATATAGTTAAGCTAATGAAAATTTACCCTATTAAATATGGATTCTAATTAAAATGCTTGGCTTAGTAAACAATTAATTTATACATAAAAAGATAGGTATCAAAAAAAAAAACAAAAATAAGCAAATTATAAGTATAGTATAAGCAAATTATAAGCAAAAGATATGAAATTTATAAGCATAACATTATAAATATGCCAAGATTATCATTTTTTTTTTATATATACTCCCTCAGTTTTTTAAATATAATTTTTCTTGTTTTTTTCATACATATTAAGGAAAAGTTGATTTTCAATCATCATTAGTATAGATTTTTGCAATAAAACAACTTTCTATAATTTTAAGCCAATAAAAATCCAACAAATACAATTCATGTTTTTTGATGAAAACTGAAAAAGTGCATCAAAAATCTAGAAAATTTATCTTTGTGAAACAACAAATAATATCTATAAAATTCATCTTTAAGAAATGGAGGGAGTATTATTTTAGAAAATTTAAGAAAATCATAGCTTTATATAAACCTTAGATTTAACAATCAATTACTCGCTGTTTAAGGTTTTTGCACACAGATTAAGAAGCCATTTAATTTTTGTACTTTTTGAAATAAAATATATTTTATCATCAATTTCAAACAATGAAAAAAATAATCTGTAGAATATAAATAATCAAAAGTAACACAAACACATTTAATTTTGCATAGAAACTCTAAAATCCTTTTTTTTTTAAACAAAAAGAAAACTCTAAAATCTCTTATATTTTGAAATTTGAAATAAAAAGAAAGCTCTAAAACCTCTTATATTTTGAAAGAGAGAGAGTATGTGTCATTACTTATTAGTGGGTGATTTCACATTTGGAATGTTTGATTTGCACTTTTTTTTTAAGTTGAATGTTAGATTTGCAAAAAGATTTTAGTTTGCTGTTTTTTTTGGCACAATGGTAATGTGTGCTACTTAACTAAACTTTCAAGTGCTAATTGGTATTTTGCATAGCAGCAAAAGGAAAACACAAAACTATTGATATTAAAAACACAATGAACAGTTGAACACAGATAATCACACATGTCCGAACCAAGACGAGAGTTAATAACAAAAATAATAATAACATCAAGAGCTGAACATGTGTTAAAGAAGTCTTCTCACTAGCCTATGCGACTTCGTTTTGGTACTCAGATGTCTCATAGACACGAGCAGTGTTATCCACAGAGACGGAAACAATGAAGTCCGTGTTTGTAGAGACTGAGATGGCTTGGACCGCGTCTTGGTGGCCATGGAAGGTATGGACGCAGTTGCCTAATAAGCTGTCCCAAACGCTCACTGTACCGTCTGCGCAGCCAGTGGCTAAGTACTTGGAGGTTCCTATCCAAGTCACGCATGTAACACCTTCCTGTAGCAAAAAGTAGAGAGAAGAATGGCTTGTGGTTTTAGTTTCATTCTCTGTTTTTGATTCTATCTTAAGAGAGAAACTATAACAAAGGTTTCATACCGCGTGGTCGCAGATGAACCTCGGAGTCGAATGTTGCAGATCCCAGATGATAAGCTTCTTGTCCATTCCACCAGTTGCAGCCATAGGAATGGTTGCAGAGCTCGGTGAAAACTTCACACATTCAACCGAATCTGTATGTGAAGCCAGAGAGCTCACAACCTGTTGATACAATTATGCACAAGTTAGTTGTTATGTCGAATAGGTATGAGAAGCACAAAGATGATCACCCTCTTAGTCCAAAGAACATAGCAGATCAAAGACGATTTGAAATAGAAACTTTTCAAGCATGATTGAGGTCAATATCACAAGCGTAGAAAAATACAGACCATCATGTAACAGAAGCAAAGTAAATAAGACAATTGGACTAACCTTTCCTGTGACTATATTCACAATGTGAACAGAACCGTCTTTGGAGCCACTGATAGCGAGACTTGAGCTCGAGTTAATGTCCAAACATATCAAACCTTCCGTATGATACGGATGACCTACAAGATATCAAAGGTTAGCGTTTCACACCAGTCTTAAAGGCAAAATATTAAGTTCCCTTGTGTACCGAAGAGGGAGTGAGTTTCACTTGCCTTTAACCACATGAATGCTTTCACAAGTTTTCGGGTTCCACACTATCAAACTCGCATCATCAGAGCCAGTACAAATTAGTTTGCCTACAGTTTCCACACACAAGAGTCTAAACAGTTGAATGACTTGTAGACAATCCACAAAGCATAATTAAGCAGAAGCTTATATTATACATACCATCAGGTGTGAAGTCACCGCAAGTGACACTTTGGTTGTGACCAGAGAACATATTGAGATAAGCCTCTTTATCAGCATTCCACATCCACATTGAACAATCTTCTGATCCAGCCAACACAATATGCCCTCTCGGATGCCACTTCACCCACTGAAAAACAATCACACACAGAAAGTTACAAGATTTTCACATTTTTGACATAAACCTTACCAAGGAGTGGTTTTTGTTGTACCTCGATTCCACCACCAGGACCGTCCAAGACGCATTTCAAAGCTCCTGATGAAGCGTCAAAGATCTGAACGACGCCGTCTAAGCCTCCGGATGCAAGTAACTGTCCATCGTAGCTAAAAGCTAGAGAAGAGACGGAGTCTTTGTGACCTGGAAGCTCAGCAGCCCAATCTCCGTTGCCGATTTTCCAGAGGAAGCCTTTGTCGTCTCCACCTCCAGTTGCAACTAGCGTAGGATCTGTTGGGCTACAAGCTAGTGCATAAAGCTCACCTGTCAAAGCAAAAACGTTCTTAGCTCATGAGAATTGCAAGTGATCAATAGAAATGACAAAATCTGGGATCAAATATACCTTTGTGACCAGTGAATGTGTGAATTGAGTCATCGTTTTCATCTACAGATTGAATCAAGTAGCAGATGAGATTAAGAAAGCGTAAATTTCAAAAAAAAAAAAAAAAAAATCAAATGAAATTTTGATTGGTACATACCAAATTCTTCGCCATCGTTGTCATCATCATCATCGTCAAAATCTGCGTCAGGAAGATCTGAATCGACAATAGAAGAGTTACGCACACGCATACATACAATAAAAGGTCGCGAATTGGAGATGAAGTTACCTTCTCCGTCGACATCGATTTCATGGAGGACATCGGATTCACCGAGGAAAATCTCTCCCTCGTCTTCTTCTTCCCCTCCTGGATTATTCATCTCTCTGTTACTCATCTTCTTCTTCTTCTCTCTTACTCACAGAATTTTCACAGAACGCAACGACGAGAATCAAAACGCGACAGAGGCGGCGGAGAGGAGGGTGTGACGTGTCACGACGATGAAACGCGAACACAGAGAACAAAAACCCTTTTTAAGTTTTTAGTATACGACGTCGTTTTCATATTGTTATAGCGCGAATTTCTTGTCGTTTTGTTTCTTCTTTTACATTAAACGCAAATCTTACACAAATGTTTAACAAGATTCTAAATTTTTCTTTTCTCGAACCACATAGCACAACGTACAAAATGTTAGTTTTAATAATTTAATTAAACAAGAGAAAACGAATAAAATACCGGTAAAAAAACTACCTAATCTTATAATTTTTCTCCCCTCTTTCAATTGGTTTTTTTTTTTTTTTTTTTTTTATAATTTGTTCTTGTTTCTCACCTTGGACCAGACAATTCAACAGCGTGCAAATTGTAAGTAGAATCAACAATCCAATCAGAGTTAAGATTAGGACTCAAATCAATCTCTTCCCTCAAAATCTCAACTTTCTGCCACTCGTCCCATTTCTCCGCAAGCCCATCCCCTTCAAGCATCCTCACAACCTCCGACATCTTTGGCCTCTCCATCGGAGATCCTTGCGTACAAAGCAACGCCACTTGAATCACCTGTTCCAGCTCTCTCTCCTCATAGTTCGTCTGAAGATCCGGATCCACTAACATCTCTAGCTTCTTCTCCTTCAATAACCCTTTCACCTAAACCAAAAACAAAAACCCAAACTTTTCAGAAAAGTTTACATTTTTACAATCAAACGCTGAACAAAAGTTAGTTTTTTTATTACCCAGTCAAGCAACATGACGTCGTCATCATTTGCTAGCCGAGCGAGATCGAAAGCTCTCTGTCCTGTGATCAGCTCAAGAAGCATGATTCCGTAACCGAAAACGTCTGTCTTCTCCGATGACTTCCCGGTGGAGAGATATTCAGGAGCGATGTGACCTATCGTGCCACGGACGGCTGTTGTCACGTGTGTGTCTTTGTAGTCCATCAGCTTCGCCAGTCCGAAGTCACCAACCACCGCTTCGAACTCTTCATCCAACAGAATGTTCGCTGCTTTCACGTCGCGGTGAATGATCTTCGGATCGCAGTGGTCGTGTAAGTAAGACAAACCTCGAGCTGAGCCTAACGCTATTCTCTTCCTCGTTGGCCAATCCAGCGGCGGCTGTGACGGTGGTCTCTCTGATGATGAAAAAAATTGTTTTAGAGATGGAACGAAATGAGAACAGAGCTCTAAAGATTGTTTCTTTTTGTACCTCTGAGGCATGAAGCGACGCTTCCATTGGCCATGTAAGGATAAACGAGCAATCTCTCTGTAGGTGTCATGCAGAAGCCTCTTAACCTCAAGAGGTTTCGATGAACGGCCATGCTTATCATCTCTACTTCTGTTTGAAACTGAAGCTCTCCGCCTGGAGTTCTCTCTTCCTTTAGTCTCTTGACAGCAACTAGAGTGCCGTCTGCTAAACGTCCTTTGTAGACTTTCCCAAACCCTCCTCTGCCCAAGATGTTCTTGTTGCTAAACCCGTCGCTCGCCACTTGTAGCTCCCGTAAAGAAAACCTCTTTAGTTGTCCTAGATGAACCTCTGGATCTTCTTCGGCTGCATAGAGGATTTGGCATTTGGAAACTTTAGCTTAAACAAAAAGGAATGAACAGAAGCTAGTGGGGATGATAAACTGACCAGGAACATCGAAGAAAATGTCGAGTGGCTTTCTACGACGCCACCAAGCAAAGGCTATTGCAGGAGCAGCAAAGAGCAATGCAGCACCTGCGGCAACTCCACCAGCTATTGCTCCAGTTATGCCGTACCCACCTGAAGTCAATTTAGTCGACAATTTGGTTATTTCTTCTTCTGTTTCATATGATGTAAACTATATAGAGGGGGCTTACTTGGGGTGGAAACTGGTGGAGGTGGAATAAAAGGTGGCGGAGGAGAAAATGGAGGAGATCCAGGACAGGGGTGACTTGTAACAGGTCCACAAAGGTCTAAGTTATTAGCAAAACTGCATAAAAGATTGACAGTAAGTTTAGATACTGATACAATGAGTGATATAGTTGAAAAAAAGATTGAAATATAACCTGATGGGTGTGAAGAGTGAGAAGGAGCCATTGTCAGGAACTGAACCAGAGAGTTTGTTATTTGATAGATCTCTGTTGTTGCAAGTGCATTAGCCTTAACTCAAACAAATCAGTTGACATAAATGAAAATTAGTGATGAGAAAAACTCACAACACTTGAAGGGTGGTGATATTGGTGAGTGACATGGGAATAGAACCAGTGAGACTGTTGTTGTTAAGCCGGCTATTCTTGCATGTATTCAAGAAAAGAGTCAGAAATCTGGAACTAAACTGGATATTGAGCAGGTGAAAAAGCAATTGTACTCACAGAAATCTCAGCTTTGAAAGCTTTCCCAGTGATTCTGGAATGGGACCGGAGAAGCGGTTTAAGTAAAGATCCAAGCTCACTAAGTTTGTCAGATTTCCAAGATTACTAGGAATTGGGCCTGTTATGTTGTTACTGTAAAGCTCCCTGTAAGTAAATAAGAAATCTTTTATAAAGATTTGAAGAACTATCTCCAATGAGTTTATTATTAAAAGCATAAGTGAGACTTACAAATACTGTAAATTCTTGAGCACACCAAGCTCTGGAACTAAATGGCCAGACAAATCTGCATTTCCCAAGTCACTGTAGTCGACAACAGAAATAAAAATGTCAGAAAGCAAACTGAGAGATTCAGCAAAGTTAAGAGAGAGAGATTAGTAGAAAGCTTTTTTACACTCTTATGACGCTGTTCTCGTTGTTGCAAGTGACGTGAAACCATGTGCAAGGATTCACAAGCGTAGGATCCCAGCTCTGCAAGACATTGTTCGGATCACCTAGAGTGACCCTCAATGTATGCAAGGCATCACCTGTAACGAGAACCACACAAATCTACAAGATCAGCATCAAGATTTTTGATTTGTAGACAGTTACAAGACCCACCACAAACGATATAAAGCTTCAAACTTTAAAAGACACAATCAAGAAATCACTAAGTGGCAACTTTTACACAGCTTTTCAATCCAAGGGGAAGCCTTTTGAGTATACAAAGTTGATATGGGAAGAAGAGACTGAATATAGTGATCTGAGCAACAGTGGATTCACTGTAATGGCCACTAAATCTAAACACAAAGAACACAGTCTTCTCTAAATAGAAAACAATGAACATAAATTTCAGAGCTTTATAACCAAAAAAAACAAACTTTCTAAAATATACACCATAGAATGCCTAAAGCACAAAGATTAACCATTTTCAAAATCAAAATGCAGACTCTGTAATAGCGATTCGCTCAATAAAACGAAGAATCGGGTCATGAATTGAGAAAGCAAGCGTTGAGTAGCTCACAAACCTTCCAGATTAGCAGAGGCAAGCCACGGTGTGTGAAAGATGAGCGAAATTAAGATAAACGCCACAAAACTCGTCTCCATTTCCAGCAACAATGCTAATTTCTCTTCAGATCCAACATCACCTCCGTCCGAGAAACCCTAACCCACCATTAATCCTTAAGAGAGGTAGCTCAGCTCAAATCTCTTCATTCATGAAACCAGCTTAAACCCCCATTAGCAGTAACACTTGAGTTTAAAAAATCGAAAACCAAAATCCTTATTCTCCGGCGTTCTCGTCGTCGTTTCTCAATCAGACTACACTCTCTCTCTCTCTCTCTCTTCGCTATCTCTCTGCTAAACAAAAAGTTTTTTTTTTAATAAATAAAAATTAGAAAAAGAATGGTGCTTTTGGGAAAATCTACGTGAAGTAATAATAACAAGAGCTTTTTGAGAAATTCTTATTAAGCCGCAAACAACAAGCCTGCCAGAGAAACTATGATTAGTGTTGTTCGTCTTCTCTTTTTCTTTCTCTCTATCTTTTTCTCTTAGTAAAATATTTGTTTGAAAATAAATAATGATTGTATTGCTGCTATTTTAGTTTATTTTATTTTAAATCTCTGACTCTCTCTCTCACTCAAAGGCTTTTTCTTTTATTTATGGGGGCATGCAGTGTGAGGAAGACGAGGAATATAGTAGCTGCCCGGAACGGTGCTGCCCGCTCTGCCCCTGTTTGGCAAAAACGGAGTTCGCGCGAGATCGTTGAAAACGACGTCACTTGGGTTTTGGTCTCTTTACCATTTCTCCTGGTCAAACATTTCTTCGGGACCCATTTTGTTTTCCTTATTTTAAAAAGTTCAAAAACCTTTCTCTTTTCTTGTCCGTCGTCAAATTTAAGAACCTTAAGCAACATTCGCAAAGAAAAAAGGGTTTAAAATGATTTTTAATCATGTAGGGAATCTTATACCAAAAATATGAAATACGCCTCAACTCTGTTAGTGTTTGAGGTTTGTCCAAATTCTGGTGGAAGAAACTGTACTGTAGAGACGAGAAAGACAAAATTTGGCCAATTTCCACTGTGGAGTAGTATGTCATGCGCTTGATGACTTTTACTACTGTTTCACAATACAATTTAACATAAAATTGTCTTCTTTTTCTTCCACTGTGGAGTAGCATGTTTTAATTTCTTCCAATACTTTCCCATTCACTGAACCATTATGCTTAGCCCCATGTGGTAAAATAAATTAAAAGCAAATGTTTTTATTACTCGATAAATATCACGCATTATGCTTAGCCCCATGTGGTGGACGACGACTCTTTCATTTCATTATGATGAAAAGGTTTCTAGAACTAAACATAAAGTAAAAGACACAAACAAAAGTAAAACATTTCAAGATAATGTTTTATTGATGAGATTTTGTGAGTGGTAAATATCAGCTGTTAGGCAATGAAACTCCTTTAACCCCATATCTGCTGACCGCTGCTATGTTCATAAAACACTATAAAACAACTTTCAAACAAAATACAGTTGAAGAAGATGTAAAAAGAAAGCAATGAAATCTAAAACCAATAGAAACAAATTCAAATTCACGATAACATATGGCCACAGAAAATTACTACAGAAAAATAATCTAGCTTAAGTGACAAACGTTCCAGGTCAGGAAGAGGTCAATAAAAAAAACTAAGAAAGAGAGAGTATCAAAGAACATATAGAATTTACAGGAAGAATTAAAGAAGACATGGACGCAAACGCCATATAATGGAAAACGCAAAACGCAGAACGTCGATCTAAGTGAGTTTTCGCCACATAGAATTTCCTTTGGCAGCAGTTAAGCACTTGACTCTCGGGAACACAAAGCCTGTCTTTGGAGGGTTACCATCTACGAGCGTGTTCTCATATATTTCTTTGCACTCTTGTACCACCTGTTTTCGTCATCACCATAACAAAACCATTTCGCAATCAAGAATAATTAAACAAAACGCTCTTACGTGTTCAAATCTCGTAACGAAACAAACCTCTTTTGTGTCCTTTCTTGGTATGCCTTCACGCAGTGAAACAAGCTTTTCAACAACCTCAGCCTGCGATTTTGTATATATATCAGAGATTATGTGTGTTGACAACAAATGATTTTGTTAAATCACGAGTAAGCTTTGTTTATTTGATCATTATTTACCGGGCAGTCAGGCTGGTGCTCAAGAATGTTCGAATACACGAGCGTGAAAGCATCGAGACTCTCTGCGGATGCAAGTTCTCTCAGATCACTCATTATTCTGATTCTGCTCTCCACTTTCTGTAACACAATCCCAGTTAATATATCAAGCAATGAGACAACAAAAAAATCATTCTTGTCAAATGCGTTTAAGTACTACAACAAACTTACAGATGCACTTATATACTCCCGAAAGAAGTCCATAAGAACCTCCTCGTCTAGCCTCATCCGTTCAATAGTCTCTTCCTTGATGTAGTTTTTCTGGAATTACACGCGTCGACCCTCAAGGTTCAGTGCGTATGAATACTAATGAAATTTACATACTAAATGGGGAAACAAACCTGTGTTAGGAGATGATCAACATAAACAACGACTGTTTCTTCCAGACAAGCTTCGACAAATCGTCTAAATGATCTTTCTTCGACATACCTGCAGCATCATTACCATTCACCACCAAGACCTTTATAGAGTTGTGATGATACCAAAGTTCTGTCACATGAAAGGGAACACGGAAAAGCTTACATTTTCACATCTGTGAAATAATCACCAAAAGTTGCCACGAGGTACTCGGTAACCTGTCCCTCGCACCATTCTGTAAAGTAAAGAGCAAGGTTAAGAGAAAAACTATAGGAGGACCAAGCCAAGAACAAGTATCGAGTATAAACAAGAATTAAGATGTCCAAGTGCTGTTTTAGGAGGAAAGGAGCAGATACCTTTCTGGTACAGCTTGACAAGTAATTCCTGAACTCCTGGATCCTCAAAGATAACACGAACTGTTTGGTGCACTGCTTCCTGCGATCAAAAGATTGCAAAATCAGGTTGATTTTTCATCTCAACAGCAATCCAGGCAACTACAAGCAAAGACAATACAGAGGCAAGAAGTACATTTAAATTGAAGCCAGGTGAGAAATAGGAATCTCTAACGTACCTTTGCCACCTCCAAGAAACCTTTGCAAGTGTCTTCAAAATTCACCTAACAGAAATACCACATTTTCTTAGCATGCAAACGACGGTGCACGCGGAGTATAAAAGGACTGAGGGTTGGCATGATGCAGTGGAATTCGACACTTCCAATCAAAAAAAAAAATTGCCAGAAATTGAAATCAGAACATGGCAGCTGGATTACCTGCTCCGCATAGTTCTGTGGAAGAGCATCTAAAGTGCTATTACTCAACTCCATTGCAAGGTCATAGCAGCGAAGGTTGTTGTTTATCTGTATGAAGTATTAACAAATATAATTTTTTGATCAAAAACAGGAGAGTGGTAATAGTACCAATTAAAAGAGTCATGTGTTCTGACGTACCATAGCGCAGAGAGGTTCCAGACCAATATCAGAAGCTGGTTCTTCAACTCTCTTCTTTTCAGCTGCTTGAAAATCGATCATAACCTGAAGTAATCACAATGTGAATCACTATGTTACAAAGCCTACGAAATTTAAAAGGTATACAAATTAAGACAAAACTAAAATCAGCTTAAAACACAACGAAGAGGAAAAAGTAGAAAAGAGAGAGACAGTAAATGGAATTGGACGTTAGTGTGGAATATAACGATTTGAAATTGCTGAGCATATATAGTCAATAAAAAGCCTGAGTAGAGAAATGAATTATCTCCAATTATAACCCCTTTCAGTTCAAAGCCAAAAAAAGAAATTTGGGAGAAACCAAAAAAATGTATTTACAATCTCTCTGACTTGCCTGAATAATAGCCAACGCAATCCTGTACAGCATAACATCGGTGCTATTATCTCTGACAATTTCCACTTGCTCTCCAAGTATTCTGAACAAATCTACTGCAGCCGGCGTGTATAATTTTCCCTCCTCTGTTTTCTTAGGTGGTTGCACTTTATCTGCCTCAAGAATATTCATGTACCATTTCTGCAACCAAAGAGGATAAGCAACTACAGTTTAAGCAAAAACAAATATTCTAATGGTAAGCCTCAAAAACCAGCAGGGAAGGTCAAACGTGCATATCATTACCTTCGTTGTAGCTTGCATTCTTTCAACATATGCATTCATTAGAGGGTCCATTGAACCACTCTCAGAACACACTTGAGCTAGTGAATCATCAACACCTAGTGCAATCAAGTTTTCTTGGTACTCTACAACCCAACCAGTAACCTAGCAAGATCCAAAAGAGAAAGAGAAGATACATCACTCTCTATAGGATATCTGATGCACAGAGACAGAGTAAAACGAATGAGGCATATTGATGAGCACACAGTGTTAAGGCATAAATACAAAGGTGGACTATAAATTTTTCAATGGTGTTCCCTGTCAGATAACTTGAACTAACTTGACATTTGCTTACATATCATGCACGGCTGATTAAAAATGTCAATGATATTCGGCCAGAAAACACAAGCTTAAAGCACCAAAAGAAACAAGAAACAACATGGCAAGAACACTACTAAGAAACAAGCTTTACACACACCTTTAATATCTCTATATTTGTCAGATCATTTGCCCTGTCACTGAGCAATCTTAGCATTTGTATGAATCTCTCGGTATACAGGTTCACCATAAGCTGAAATATCTCATATCTGCCAACAGGTTAAGATTGCTAAGATTAACACTTTTCCTTGGGGAAACAGATTAGGATTTTAAGCTGTAATCTTTCATTGTTCTAGAGGAAAACAAAGGAAGTTGGTAAAGGAAAAAACCTCGGAGGAAAACAAGGCGCCACATAGTCATATATATCTCCAAGTTCTTCTCCAATCTAGTTGTCAAACAAAATAGCATGAAAGAGTCTCAGTTAGTTAAGAAATATAATTGTGAAAGATAACAGAAGAAACAAGGTTTACATCAATCATTGAATAGTAACGTCTATGGAACAGGAACAGCTTTATAAGATGATCAGGTCTATTTCAAATGTTTGCGAAAAAATAATAACATAGTGGATCATCAACCATATTCATTAAAAAACAAAAGAAAAAGGCTTTTAACTAATCCAGTTAATTAAAGGAGATCTACTGGACGCCTAGTAGAAACACATATTTATCAAATAGTTGAGTAACAAGATCATGAACTTCAGAAAAGAGACAATGAAGAAGAAGAGTTTGCAAGAGAGGGGATAAGTCGCACAAACCATTTTAGCTTCCTCCAAAGCTGCTTTTAGGTCTTCAAATACAAGCTGGTCAATAATTCAGTGTTAGGATGACCTCTCAAAGAAACACATACTTTTAGCTATGCCACCAAGTGAACATTTTCAAAGATAAAGTGTTACCTTCAAAAGCCTGTTGAACCGATCTTCGACTGACTTTCTAATCTGCTCGTAGCATTTATCCTTGTAGCCTTTCCCTTGGAATTTGAACCTCTGTTGTGCAAGACCCTTTGACGAGGCTGACGTTGTAGTAGATTTCCTGGATTCAACACAACCAACAGTCACAAGTGATTATGTGCACTTCAATAAAACATCACTGCTTTTCAGGAGACTAGATCAGTGTATAGCTTATCTTAGTTAAACCCACAATGAAAAAGTGAGAGATTCTGAGACAACAGATCAAGAAGAAAATAAACAAAAACATGTTAGACTCACTTGCCAGGCCTTCGAGGATTGGCTACAGATGCCATCGCACCTTCTCCCTCAGCCTCTGCTGCTTCTTCAGCAAGTTGTTGGTCAAGAATTTCTTGCATCTCAACAACCCTTTGACAGAAGAGAGCATTGTAAGTTAGTACCAGCATAGGAGACATCATCCCGTGTGTAGGGAACTTTAAATGCCAACATAAAATTTCCTTAATATTGCAATGTACGTTCCATGAAACTAGAAAGAGACATTTTGCTTGTTCAAAATAACACAATAACTTCACTATCTTACTTTACCAATTTGGATGTCTTGATACTAATCACCAAAAAATATTTAAACAAAATCTTCCTTGCTTATATATATGCTAGCAACAAAACTAATGAAAAGTAGCTTTATTGGTAATATATGCAATAGACAAAGATGAAGAGTGTCGTTGGTGTGAAATCATACCTCAAAGCACGAACCAGCGTCTGGGGACTGCAGAACAAAGAGATACATCAGTAACAGAGTAAAAGTAGTTAACCAGTAATGTTGAGATAAACCAATAACAAATTGTATTTTGATATCTTAGCAGAATTATGAGCTTAACAACTATGACCTGCTTATTTCAACAAGGAGAAAAATCCAAATGTGTACTTAAGCCACAAGGTCTGGCTGACAACATAAAACAGAGCATTACAAAAACTATGTAATGCTCTGTTTTAAATGCTCATATCAAGGTACTGAATAAATGGTACAGTTCAACTACGTTCCTCTCATCCATAGTTTTCTTCCTTGATCTAATTGGTTTACTAGTCTCATTGTATCAAAGACCAGCAAGGATCGTAATACTAACTTTACGCGGTAGATATTAACAGAACTGGAATGAGACAGAGAGGTTTAGCATAACCATATATTTACTCAACATACCTTTCTTTAGAAAGTTTGTAAAAGTTGGCAACGTGACCCCATAGTGTCTTCTCAAATGTTTCCCATGTTCTATCAACGTCTTCAAAATACTCCCTGAATCCATCATAACAACTCTTCAGAAATTGTCGTGAAAATGTATAAAGAAAGATAGTCCAGAGGCGGGATCAAATCATGCACTATCAAAAGAATAAGATTTCCATGTACTGCTTATTTACTTGCATCGAGACCTAGTTTTCTTCATTTCCAGCTAGTAATCATTTACCAGCCCACTAACTCTTGAATTAAGACTTTCAGGCAGGCACGCTTCATGTAAGTACGAAAAGCAAAATAAGGAAAAGAGTGGAATAAATACAAACCTTAGCCTCCCAACCTCCTCTCCAGCAGCTGCTAAGGCAAATCTCCTTTTACCATCAAGTGCTGTTAGTCTCTATTGAAGAAGAAAAAGAATGTTATGTCTTACACCTGTCATTAACTTTCTCAAAAAATGATGCAGTTAGAAATGCCTGGAATCCATGGGAAGAAGACTCGTCCTACCTCGTACGTGTTAACAATTTCTTTATCATCACTCAGAGACTCCCGAGCAGCAGCCGCTTCAACAGAAATCGACATCATACCTTCTACATCCTAGATAAAGACGGTGTTGAATAAAATTAGTTGATATCAACTTGGAAGCATTTAAACAACTGAGACGACAATGCAAGCTATAAGTTTCCGAGAAATAGAATGAAAGCTCCTTGGCATATCTACCTTTACAGTTTTGTTTAGATTATTCCTGGCATTACTCAGCAGCTTTATTTGGTCATGATTGTCAATCAAAGTTTGGCATTCCTGACAAAGCCTGTGGCACAAGCAGTGAAGTTAGAGGGAAAACACACAAAACCTGTCAACTCATCAGCTTCACGAAACTCTCATCAAGCTAAAACATACTTATCGATAGAAATGAAATTATCCCGCAGTTCATAAATGGTTTTCTCGGATGAGGAAAGTGACTCCAACCCATCTTCAGCTTGTTCAACCTGCAGTTTTTCAGCATTGATTGTTTAACAAGAGACTGAAAAACAAAACAAAAAAAAACTTTAACACCGGATTAAAGCTTTACCTGCTCAGCAACCATGGTGCTAAGCTGTGCATCATTTGCCTATACAAAGAAACAGCAATACCACCAGTAAGTTCATACCAGTAGCAGAATTCAGGATAAATTCATCAAAACTCAACGATTCAAAATTTCAAACCCAGCCTCGGTCAAAATTAACTGATATCTTAGTGCAATCGATATATCTAAGCCAATTTAATTCCGATTGCAATTGAAAGCAAGACGGGAAACCTGTTGACGAGCGATGTAATCGGCCTTGATTGAAGAAATAGATTGCAAAAGCTCCGGTAAGGGCAAGAGCTTCGCAACTTCCCGTACAGCCGCCTCCTTCGCTTCCACGCCGAGATCCTCGACCATCATCTTCGCTCACCTTGTTTAAGAACTCCGATCCTAATTTGAGGATTGTCTCTGCGGAAAAATAAATTTATTAGAGCCTCCGAAACTATCACTGCGACGCAAATAGAGAATCAAGAGATCTGACACAGAGATGTAAAAGTGCATATGGACGCTACCGAAGAAGTCACTGGAGCCAAACTGAGATTCACGGCGTTTACTTCGTCGTTCTAAAATTCTCCTTAGCTGGTTTTGAAGATCCTTTTGAAAAGAAGGGTGTTGAAGATAGATCAGGTGGAAGGGCAACAACGATTTAAAACCTCCGGAACGAGTCTCGACTCGCGCGGCTCTGTTGGAAAGTTTCGAAACGCTGAAATCCTCACCTCGCTCGCTTTTGATTTTTTTTTTTTTCTTTTTTTTTGACAACTGTTGTGGATTTTTTTTTTTGATAATTTGTTCAGTAGCCATATTGGGCCTTTGATTTAAGAATATAGCCATGGTTTTGAAAAAATTAATGGACTAACAAAGAGAAATCATAGACTTTTCTCACCCTCAAACGAGTGGGAAACATTCCCCCAAAAGTTGGCAACCTCGGTGCCCTTCTCCGTGAGCGGGAAAATTCACCCGAATCTAACATCAACCCAGGAAAAGTCAATTCCGGACCGTCGAAGTAAACCCAACTCTCATAATCCACCCATATAATACAAATCGAAAGGCAAGTACCATAGATCTTCGAAATAATTTATAGTAGTCGGACTTACGATTACAGCGGCGGCGATAGATGTCGGCGGTCTGACGATCCAACTCTTCACGCTTCAGAGTGAAGACGACGTTTAGTAAGCAGCAATCGACAGAGATGAAGTTTAAAGTTTGGGCCTAACGCAGGCTGCTGAAATATTCCCGAGTTCGCCACCGGCTCTTCTAATTTTCTCTGCGGAATGAATAATGATGAATCTCACCGACGGAGGCGTAAACCCTGATTGAAAAGTGCCCTAAATTTTGAAAGTTTAAATTTCTCTCTCCTCCAAGGGGTTTTTTGTATATATTGCAGTAAATACAAAGAATATCGTAGCCATCATTTTGCGATAGTTAGATTCTCAATTACACCTCCAAATATAGTTATCTACTGCAATTTCGCTAAACTAGGGATAATTTGCTCAGTAGCCATATTGGGCCTTTGATTTAAGAATATAGCCATGGTTTTGAAAAAATTAATGGACTAACAGAGAGAAATCTTTCGTAGACTTTTCTCACCCTCAAACGAGCGGGAAACATTCCCCCAAAAGTTGGCAACCTCGGTGCTCTTCTCCGTGAGCGGGAAAATTCCCTCCGAAAATTACTTGTCGACGTCGCCAACTTACAGATGCAGGATTTACATCCACAAATTACTGCTGTCAAATCTATAGCATAACCAAAGAGTGTTAAATTAAGTTAAAGTAACTTAATTAAATTAATTTCTTCGTCACTAAACATGTGGTTATCGACCGTCCACAAGTGCTTTAAAAGGAGGATGTTCCTATACCATAACCCAACTCTTCATACTGTATTTCACGAGAAACAAAAATGGTTGACAAAGAAGACGAAGCAGTAAATACAAGAGCTCTAATAAAAAAGGTAACTAAGTAGATATGTATTGAGTTAGGTCAAGGCCTTGTGGAGTTATGTGCCAGTTTGATAGTATAAAAGAACCATTTATAGAACAGCATGCCATTAATTGCAATGAAGTTAATGCTTATCTTATGGAGTTGGTAATATGGTTTACGTACTAACAATGGAATGTATTCGTTTTTTTCCTGCAGATGACTTCCCAAGACCTAGTTGATCTCGTTGTTGGAACGTGGACGAGAGGAGACAACAAAAGATGGATCTTTGAAAAGTCAACCCAAGAAAAGTCAATTCTGGACCGTCGAAGTAAACCCAACTCTCATAATCCACCCATATAATACAAATCGAAAGGCAAGTACCATAGATCTTCGAAATATTTTATAGTAGCCGGACTTACGATTACAGCGGCGGCGATAGATGTCGGCGGTCTGACGATCCAACTCTTCACGCTTCAGAGTGAAGACGACGTTTAGTAAGCAGCAATCGACAGAGATGAAGATTAAAGTTTGGGCCTAACGCAGGCTGCTGAAATATTCCCGAGTTCGCCACCGGCTCTTCTAATTTTCTCTGCGGAATGAATAATGATGAATCTCACCGACGGAGGCGTAAACCCTGATCGAAAAGTGCCCTAAATTTTGAAAGTTTAAATTTCTCTCTCCTCCAAGGGGTTTTTTGGAACGTGGACGAGAGGAGACAGCAAAGGATGGATCTTTGAGCCCGATAAAGTTGATGTCACAGGAAGTATCCGTCTTCACTCGGGATTGAGTTACTGTGAGTTGGTTGGAAACGTACGAAGGAGCCTCCAAATTCTGGATCCAAGCATTAAGCTCAAACTTGCGTATCAGTACCCGCAGTGGATGGCTATAGATGACGGCGACGGTTCAACACCACAGTACATCACAGACGATCAAGAGGTTGAAGTCTTTATTCAGATGAGACGACACATTGAGGAGGTCAACCTCTGCGTCACGGTGTCAAAGAATATATCCGGAATTCCAACAGCGGTGGAAGTTGGAATCATCACGGAGCGAGAAGGGAATGATGGTGGAAACGACGAGGGCGCCGAAGCTAATACGGAGTGGTATGAGTTTGCAATGTCGGAAACACCAATGACCATGCCGTCACAAGCGCTAGGTTCCGTCAACCCCACGTGTCATCCACTCGCAGTTCCAAAGAGAAGACGACCAACATGCATTTCTATTCGTGAAGCAGAACCTATCATCCGCCTTGCAAGCCCTGCTGTATCCCGTGGTGACAAAGGGAAGGGTATTGCCGTTGAAGAGGTCACGGACTCCGACAGCGATGATGATGCAATCGTTCCTGTTCTACAAGCTGATCGGCAACAATCTGTTGGAGAAGTTGCGAGTTCTGGTGGCGTGGATGCAGGCGTTCCTGTTCTAGCAGCGGATCGTCCACCGTCTGTTATGGAAGGTGCGAGTTCAGGTGGCGTTCGACGCCGGCTATTTCCAGACGCCCATTCATGTGAAGATGCGGCTTCCGATTCTGATGAAGGAGGGGATGACATAGATGATGAGGTCCCTTTGGGAGAAAGACAAACGTGGGGACGTTTTGAAGAAGCCCTCCACCAGCTTTTAACTGATTTCAGTACGGAGGCATCGTTGTTTGGACGTGATGTGCCTCCAGTATTCGAGGCTGATTTGGATGGTAAGTGAGATAAACCACATTTTGAAAACATTGCAAGATAAATAAATATAGTATAGTATGCCTGCAACAGAGTATAGGCCTAATCCACTATATGCTTGTTATCTTGTAGATGTTGATTCCGCTTTGGCGGACGTCCCATACGAAGGGGACAAGCTCTACATTGGGAGGGTCTACAAATCAAAGACGGACTGCAAAATTAAGATTGCGATTCATGCCATAAACAGGAGGTTCCATTTCCGTACAACCCGGTCCATGCGTGAGTTCATGTTAATGCAGTGCGCCTCCCTCACCTGTGGTTGGCGGGTGTACACTGTCCTCTTGGACGGAAGTGGGAACTTCCAGATAAGATCCGCCAACCTCTTCCACACTTGCAATGTTGATGACAGGCGCAACTACCACCGCTTAGCTACAACCCAAGTGATAGGAGAGATCATGCAATCCAAATTTATCGGAATTAAGAGGGGTCCAACTCCAGCAGGCATAATGAAGGTCATGTTGGATGATTACCATGTCAACGTGTCATATTGGAAGGCATGGAGGTCGCGGGAAATTGCTATGGATACGGCACTTGGAACAATGGCGGGAAGCTACGCCCTATTGCCAGCTTACTTGGCTCTTCTACAAAATGCAAACCCTGGCACACAGTGTTATCTTGAGCATGAGGAGAATCCTGATGGTGGTAGAAGATTTAAATATTACTTTGTCGCATATGGCGCGTCTATTGCAGGATTTCCAGTGATGCGGAAAGTGATTGTCATCGATGGTACAAGTCTTTAAGGGCGTTATGGAGGGTGTTTGTTGTCTGCCTGCACACAAGACGCAAATTTTCAGATATTTACCCTCGCCTTTGGAGTCGTTGATAGTGAGAACGATGACTCTTGGATATGGTTTCTCAACAAACTTACAACATTTGTGGATGATTCTATTGATCTTGTCTTCGTCACGGACAGACATCAGAGCATATACACCGGCCTTGCTACCGTAAGTATTCAAATTTATAACATTCACTCAATTATTATACTAAACAAGTATATACTCAATATGAAGAAATGACAAATACAATTGTTGTTGCTTAATTAGGACCATAACTGTATGAGAAGGTAAAACTAGGTTTCAAAACATGAAAACATGTTTACCCGCAACTTATCAACAACTATGCTTTCTTTCAGGTGTACCCGCAAGCTCACCATGTAGCGTGCACGGTACATTTGTGGAGAAATGTGCGTGGGTCTTATAAGCCAAGGCGAATTGCTACAATCATGTCTGATGCCGCCAGACAGTTCAATGTTGAAGGTTTCAATAAGAAATTCATCGAAATACAAAAGCTCAACCCGGGATGTGCAGCGTACCTTGTGGACATAGGTATACATCTTGATACTGATATTATACTATTTTTGGTATTCATATACTATAATTGTCTAAACTCTGTAAATTACGATTCATATAGGGTTTGACCATTGGACCCGAGCTCATTGTAAAGGCCGCCGCTTCAACATCATGGACTCCAACATCGCGGAGTCGTGGAATGCAGTTGTCAAAGAAGCTCGGGAATATCCTTTGATATGTATGTTTGAGTACATTAGGACGTCCGTAATGAGTTGGTTTGCAATGCGTAGGGCAAAGGCTATGAAGAACGACGGCCTTCTATCTCCTCATGTGAAGAAGCTAATTGCCAAAAAATTTGAAGAGTCAACTGATCTCGCTGTTCGGATGATTAGTGAGTTCGAGTTCCAAATCTAAGAACAAAAAGGGGCATGCCACACTGTCAAGCTGCTTGACGGAACTTGCTCATGCATGGAGTTTCAGACCCTTGGTATTCCTTGCAAACACGCTATAGCCGCAGCTGGAGCAGCAGAGATGCCAACAGATTCTTTGTTTTCTGCTGCCTACTATGGAGAGACCTGGACTCTTGGGTTTACTGGGAAGATCTATCCAGTTCCATCTGTCGGGGGTGGTGAGATTGGGAGTACATTCCGAGGTGAACTTATGCCACCTTTGTGCAAGAGGCCTCCAGGCCGTCCGAAGAAGGTCCGGATTTTATCTCGTGGTGAATACAAGGTTAGCTTATTATCGTTACCCTTATTACCTATACAGAAGTTGGTCAGTTTGTCTGACCCAATAAAACGTCTCTTATTGTAAACAGAAACCGAAGAAGTCTGGAAAGCGATGCAGTCGTTGTCACCGTGAAGTTCACAACAAGGCGTCGTGCAAGAACCCTATATAAGTAGTTCTGGAGTGGTGGGGCTGTAAGAGGGTGTTGCTGAAGAACTTTTTTGGGCAACTGGCAACGTAAGGATTTCCACATCTCTGTCTTGATGTGAAGTGCTCGGCTAAGTTTTTTAAGGAAGTCATATCCAACTTAAATACAGGTGTATATTCACGGGCAGTGGATATATATCAGCGTATTTTTGTGCTATGTATAATTCTCTTCCTTTATTGTGTATTCGGTTAGCTAGAAATCTCACTAGTAATGTGCCATGTAAGAATCCTCTCTTTTGATGTTATATAAAAAATGCCCCTTATAATTACTGATATGCTTCTTAACCATCACTTCTGATTGTTGTGTACGAGGGTTATGTATCCCAGATTAACCTAACTCCAACGTTTAATATGTATACTGCCCAAACTATCTCCAAACATATCCTTATACTACCTCCACAGTTCAAATAACAGGGGCCAAGTTTATACAGTCACCGAAGGGCGGGCATATATATGATTCTAAACGAACATCAATACGAACGTCTACATTCGTACTCTGCATACTCGTCAACATTTAAACAAACATCAATAGCTTTTACAAGAAAGCCTATTAGGTGTTGAATAGATATACAAGGACAAACTAAGGAAACGCCGATGGTTGTAATCAACGGACAAACTTACTCCAACCAATTATGACAGCAAACCCAACACATACAACCACCATAGTCTGCTTCATTCGTGAATGAGACGCGGAGACCAATTTTTCAACCTTCCCTAGTAACTCTTCTTCAACTTTGGCTACCAAAGCTGCTTCTACTCGGGTTTCGAACTCCTGGCGGCCTTGTCCAATCCGCTGCAATTTCTCTTCCAAAGCGACAGTCCGGGCAACCAATGTCTCAATCTCATCTAAGCAAGCCTCCTCCACCCACTTGAAAATGTGTGGATCATTACTTAGCTACAACAAATATGGGAAGTCAGCAAAACCTGCAATATATATCATCCACCAAGATAAACCAACAATGCCGATAACCTTTTGTTCAACTGCAAAAGCACAACGGTAATATCTTCTGTACGGATTTGAGGTCGATTTGGAAATTAGCTCCATTATATGTTTGCCACACCAACATCGCTTTGGGACACCAACAAACCTTCGTCTATCTCTACCAATGGAAGAGGTATTGGAAGCTGTGGTTTCCATACTCATTCTGCGTTGGACAATGGATCTGACAACCCGAATCCCTTCACCTGAGTCCATCACATCAGGGACGGATTTGTGAGATTATAATAGGGTGTACCAACGATATAAGAGATTGGTAGGGAACTTACGATTTATGTGGCTCGGTGAACTGGGTTACAGAAAAACACAAATTCGGAATGGTCGCCGGATTGATAAATACTTGGGATATCCAGATGCCGGACTAAATAGCAAACTAAAAGGGAGGAGAAAACAATTGAGTTTTACCTGCGGTTATAAGCACTGCAACGTGTCCGTCGTCAGTTTCATTTGACAATTTACCAACTTGTGGTTGTCTTAAGGCAATTTGACTACCAAAGCAGTGGCAAAGATTTTATTTGGCTATCTATAGTACTCACCACACCGCCGACGTTGTTACCTTTGTGTTGGTTATCTATACTATAAAAGAGACAAACTATTCGAAATTTAAAAGTAAAGAGGGTAGCTAACATTGGCAAAGATAATTGAAACATTAGTAATGTAACGGCAGGGAACTGGAAATTTGAGAGAGAAGCTAATAAACCTCAGTATCACAAACATTTAGGAACTCATCATCCGCAATATAGAAGTTACAAGTATGACACACATTTAGTACCAGACATAATACATAAAGTCAGCTACTATTGTCTCGGTCAGAAAATCCAGGGAAATGGTATTTAGTACAACAAGATGCGAGCATAAGAATACATCGAAACTTCAGATCCTCCGACTGTTGAAGGTCTCCCAAACATTAATTGCATAGTTGACGGCAGCGCGTCGGAGGTGCGTCTCTTATATTGTCTCGCAATCCGGGCTCAGCTTCGCCGCATGCAGTTCCATAAGCAATAGTGAAGTTACACCTGAAAAAGCTGTAATAACAAAGATTAAATGAGATTTGGTGGCCACCCATACGCAGTTGCGGGATATTTAATGAAGCCGTTTGATATTAAGGGAACGACATATTGTACCTGGAACCTCACACATCACGCCAATGTCAACTCTAGCCGTAGACAAAGGAGGTAATGGTAACGACATTCCCTTCGGTGGACCCAACGCATTGCATATCAGAATCGGCATCATTTATGAGAGCGGTTGTAAATACAGCCGAAGCTCATGATCTGTAACGCATGCCATGTTACAATCGAGGACAAAAAGCTTCCACCTTTTGATATCCACAATAATCCCAACCCAGTGGTGTCCATTAACCTTGAATGGACAATATATACTCTCAAGTTCATGTGACAGAGGAGGACGGTTTGGTTGGGGAAGCGATGACGACGGCCGAAACGCATAACTATTCTTCTCTTTCGCCATTTTGAAATCCATAAACTCGGCCTTAAGGGACTCCATGAATTGGGGAGGTAGATAAACAACAGACCGCAAAGCTGAAACGTCATTTCTCTTTTGAATCCACTCAACAACTCCAACGACAGTCTGTTTGGTTAAAAAAATAGTATAGACAAGTTCAGCTATAGAAACTTAGGAAAGTGAAACAAAAAACACTAAACTTGGATGTTAAATATGCAAAATACCTTCTGCTCCAATACAACGGTCGGCTCGAAGATACTGGCTACCATTGCACTATCCAACTCCAAACCATTTCCTAGGTCGAGCTTCCTACAGAAAATTATATGTAAGCGTCGACGGTGACACAGATTCCGGATATCTTATCAAATGATTGGAAAACTAACCATGTTTCCGTTAGGGTGTTGCGAAAGGCTGTGACCTTCTCTTCTGGCGGCTGTTTGAAGGGTTTGAACCCTCCTGACACCTCAAACTCAGCTACGTCTCTGTAAGATACACTCACTGCTGCAGCTGGAATAGCTTTTTCTTGGCCGGTAGCAGACGAAACCTCCCGCTGCGGCTTACGGAGGTGCACCAGTAACAGTGAACTCTTTCGTTGACTTCGTTCCCCGTTTTTAAATAAACTGGAGAGAGGAAGGTCATCTTCCGTCAGAGTAGACGCAGATACTGTCCCACCACCCTGGAAGCAATAATGTAAGTTTCGGCGCCAAACGAAGAAGACCAAAATATAGAGGAAGTGGAACATATGTTACCTTGGCCGCAGAACCTCCATCTGTTTCGCCAATACGCTCTGACACCTCACTTAACGGTTTCCCAATCCCACATCCAGACGTATTGGCTACCACTGGAGGATGGGAATTACTCTGTCCAACATATAACATTGACGACAATGTTAAAACGAAACACCAGTAGTACTGTACATCTCATTTGGTGTATTTCCAACTGCCTCGAACCTGTGCCGGTGAGCTACGCGTATGCCGTTTCTTCGGAATGTTTGCTTCCACTTCTTTATCCGCATTGCCACCGCTGCTGACTTTGGTCCTCACGTGGAGCGGGCGTAAAACACGGCCAACTACGAGCAGCCATATGCGAAAAAACAAACAAATTATGAACATCATAATACAAACTAAAAGTTTGGGGTGACGACGCAAATCAAATGACGGACTTGATGGAGACATTGATGTTGGTTTTCTTCCACTAACTCTTCCACTTCTTGCCTTGGTTTGAAAGTTTTTCCCTTTTTGAGATTCACCTTCGCTTCGAACAGATGTTGGCGTCATATCACTTACGTCCACATTCGAAGTCTGTTGTAGGGTTTCATGTGGATGAACTCCAGCATGCAGCATCCGCTCCATGTCTGTCTTAAGGTTTTCAACAACTTTGTCTATATACCTTTTCAGTGTGTTCACATAGTTTGAAAACACTGTATTTGAACGATGCTCAACGGCCTCGGCCACACGAGAAATGATGTTCTCGATGTTCCCACATCCATCTGGAGAAATTGGGTCAGCGACGGGAGTATTGTTCCGCCGTTGCTTTCTGGCGGAATCCAAAGGCATATCATCGTCTTCCCCTTCATCTCCCTCCCCGCAGTCAGAAATGGACGTTTCTTTTGCCTCAGCTTCAGATGCCTTAACTCCACCGCTCCAACTATTCACTTCAAATGGGAAATCTTCATTAATTAAAGAGAGCAGATGCTCTACTTCCTCATCATATTGTTCGTCTTCAAATGTGATCTCATCAAGCCCGTCGTCACATCCACTACTTAGTATGGAGCGGATTGCAGCCTGAAAAAAACCAAATAAGAACACACTCATTTAATCGACAAGTAATATACGAAAATTTTTTAACAGCAGCAGCTATTGCGTGATAGTCAGAATCTGGACACTATGTCTATACTATAAAAATAATGTATGTCTATACTATCAAAAGTATTATATATACACTACATAACTTTTACCTGTCCCTGCTGGTCCAAATTTTTGGCCGTCACCATATTGACAGAACTCCACTGTGAAACAACATCACCAACCAACTCCTCAACAGTGGCACCACTTCGAACTAGAAATTCATCTTTCGAAGATGCTCGCACAAGATCTGGACAGCAAGCTGCTGTTACCAGAACAATAGCGTGTGCAAATCCCTGGACGGCGACACTTTCGTGAACCAAATGTTCTGCTTTTCGTGTCTTCGCACTATCCACAGTCAGCAGAAACGACTTTCTTCCCCACGGATATTGCAAGAAAGCTTCAACATCACTTACCATCTCGACAACCTTTGGATTCAAGTACATAGTACCACTAGTTGGACACAAAATTCCCTCCACTAGAAGAAGGAGAGCTAGGCGAAACCGCGTTAACGAGTCCTTATACTTTCTCCCCAATAACAACTTATCAAGCACCCACGCGGCTGTTGGTTTTTTGAAATCACCAAACAGTTCTGCCCACATTTTCCCAGTTCCCTTCACCGGCTTCTGGGTTCGTTTCGCGTCTTTATCCGCACCACGTTTCCTTTTCTTTGATGTTTCTTGCAGAGGAGGCTCATCACAATTTAGCCCAGTCACTAGAGCGAATTCATTAACTCCATACCGAATGGGCTTCCCAGCATACAGCCACCATAACTCAAACCTCTTGTTGGTAACTAACTGTCTAGACAACAGGTAATGCACAAAGCAGACGGAGAATGTGTGTTTACCCATTCCCATCAAAAGCCTGAACTGGGAGTTCTCAAGCTTCTCCAAATACTCTTTCTCCAAGGCGGGTTTAATACTTTCAACCCAGCGAAGTGTGAAGTAGGAATTAACGCGTTTCCTTCCTGTTGGCTCAAATCCAGTCTCGAACATTCTGCTTGGCAAGCCTTCCTCTTCCATGTTCAAACCTATGCCAACATAGATGCAATAGTTAGTCTAGTATGACTTAAGGCAGCACAAGTCTATTATATATGCAATATAATAGGGAAATCAATAGAAACTACAATAGATATCGTCCATAACCGAAGTTTCAACACCGATCCGCCAATTAACAGTGCCATAGGCGCAATTCATATTCCGAGATTAAGGCTATATTTCCCTATTTAAGAATATCGCCCACAAAATCAAAAATCGGCAGTCTATACTAAACGAGATAAATAGTCAACTCAATTTACGAGACACTAGATCTCGTATCTAAGATTTGTTTCAATTCACAGAACAAGACGAACGAATCCGATGTCTTCCTACAACGTCATAAAAACCCTAATCAGCGCCGTCGATTTAAACCCAACTATCCGAATCTAACATCAACCCAAGAAAAGTCAATTCCGGACCGTCGAAGTAAACCCAACTCTCATAATCCACCCATATAATACAAATCGAAAGGCAAGTACCATAGATCTTCGAAATAATTTATAGTAGCTGGACTTACGATTACAGCGGCGGCGATAGATGTCGGCGGTCTGACGATCCAACTCTTCACGCTTCAGAGTGAAGACGACGTTTAGTAAGCAGCAATCGACAGAGATGAAGTTTAAAGTTTGGGCCTAACGCAGGCTGCTGAAATATTCCCGAGTTCGCCACCGGCTCTTCTAATTTTCTCTGCGGAATGAATAATGATGAATCTCACCGACGGAGGCGTAAACCCTGATCGAAAAGTGCCCTAAATTTTGAAAGTTTAAATTTCTCTCTCCTCCAAGGGGTTTTTTGTATATATTGCAGTAAATACAAAGAATATCGTAGCCATCATTTTGCGATAGTTAGATTCTCAATTACACCTCCAAATATAGTTATCTACTGCAATTTCGCTTTTTTTTTTCAGTTGCTTTTAATGCTATCAATTTTTTTTTCTCAAACGCTAACGCTTTTGCAGTGAACACAATAAACTTGTGTTTTTTTTTTTTTTTTTGTCAAAAATAAACTTGTGGTTATTAGACGATAATATAAGGTAAACTTGTGGTAAGGGTTACAAAGCCAAATCTAAAATCTAATTTGTTAGTATTTCGAAAAAAAATGTATCTGAAAACATTTTTAAAAAAATCGTGGAAGTTAAGTACCACTTACCATTTTTATTTGTAAATCTGAAATAAAAAAAAGTATAATAATTTACAGATTTTGAAAGAAAAAAAAAACTGAATTAAAATTCTGTAAATTATTATACATTTTATTACTTTTAAAATATATGTAATCCTCAATAATAAATTTTCTCATTCCTTAATTTTACATATTTTCAAAACTTACAAAATATATATATATGAAGTTTTAATAAATGGTTAAATTATTATTAACATCACTTTTGATCGATACAAATTATATATCATTTTTCTATGTGATGTTTTTCATATTTATAATAAGTTAATAATTGATAGTAATCTATATTTTTATATCAATTATTTTGAAGTGATGTAAATTATGTAAATTTGTATCAATTATATAGAAATGATATCAAACAGATCCAAAACTGAATCGATTATTATAAGTGATGTTAAACTATACACTTTATCATTTATTAATAAGTAACACAACTTGCTATTTTTTAAATTTTGTGATGTTATTTAAGTGATGCAACACATCTACTATTTTGTAGTGACATTCATCGCCGGAAGACTTCGAACAACCATCTCCGCTCCCGTTCCCCGTAAGATCATATCCGTCGCGTCAATCGCAGCCGGAGTCCAGTTCGTATGGGCTCTACAACTTTCTCTCTCCGGACTCCTTCAGTCAAGTTTCTCGGGATCCATCACAAGTGGTCCTCATTAATATGTCTATGTGGTTCCATCTTCGGCATATTGTACAACCAAATTTTGGTTACTATAGTGACATATGCACCTCCTCGTATTATTCCAAGATATTGAGCATTATCTTCAACTTCATCATCAATATTATAACAATTACAAATTATTCTAAATTTTGAATTTTTAATGTATTTTATTGCTAGAACTAAGATTTTTATAAACCAATTATATAGTCTTCTTAGTCTCAAACATATGATTTTTAAAAGGAGAATATATATTAACAAAATATGATAATATTGTCATATATATTATGATTTACTTATATTTTACTTATATTTTGCATATAATTTGCTTAGTTCATACTAATTTTTGTGTATTTTTCTGACAATCATCACTAATGTCTTAAAAAGCTCAATCGAAAGTATTTAGGAAATGCATGCATTGCACTTTGTATTAGAGCATCAAAAAAAAAATCCAATACAAAATTATTCTCTCACCCATTTATCATGATTAGATATGCACTTAAATGGTTAAGCTAAAATTAGCTAACCCAAACCCAATCAAACCGAGGCATAAAGAGATAGTATTAAATGTACATGTGATTCAAAACATAACCTTTATGACTAATTGAATTACTTCCTCCATTTCAACTGTCGTTTTGAAAAAATATATCTGTAATGTATATAGATATATTAAACTCAAAACACATCCAGATTCATCTCATGTTCTGCGCTTTCTCCGATTAGCCGCCCCAAAATTTGGATTTGGATCGTAACCGAGGCGATTTCCATAAATCGGTGCTACTGTTTGGTCAACTGTGAATTGATCAAGTAAACCAGGAAATTAACAAAATGGTTGGTTTATTGTAAAAATTGTTTGGGCCAAAATGTGAAGGTTTGGTAAACTGTGGCCCAACTTCGTTGATATTTATTCTCTATAAAAAAATTATCCGGCAAGGCCCCAACTATAATGGGTAGTCCAAATCGATTTTAATCAATAAACTTTGTAGTGAAAATACCGGCAAGGCCCCAACAAAATGGTTGGTTTATTGTTGTTGTTACACATATATGCAAACACATGTGTACGGTTAACAATTTGTGATTGCATAAGTTTGATACTAATCAAAAAAATCGTTACACAGTTTCATGCAGTACTAAAAAGGTCTAAATTAAATGATCACAAAACAAATCCTCTAAATTGAGTTTGTACACCATATATGTTGGTTTGGTTCCCACGAATGCGTATATATTTCGTCTTCGTACCAGTGGAGGCTCATCTGCAATGGCGGATGGTAATGGACTAATGGAGTTATGTGAAAACAAAATATTAAGTTACATTTTCATTCGTTACACTAACATCAAAATTCAAAAAACCAGACCAAAATTTAATCAGAATAATTTCTAGAATAAGCAAAAGATAACACGGAAAGATTGGTGCTATTTGTGTGACGCAGAAAACCCGAAAAAATACTAGTAAATGTCAAAAGAGAGAACAGACAAGAAAGTATAAAGAATGTGAGCGGAAAAAATATTGATAAAAAGACCCAAATAATCGTTGTTGTTTGCAGAAGTCTCACCAAAGAACCTTGCATGATATTCAAAAACACACAATCGATCAGCGAAGAAAAATATAAAATCTGTAGTTTCTGGAAGAGATGATGCATCTCCTTCCTTCTCCGCCAATCGTCTCTTTTCCCGCCAATCCAAGTCTACTGCTGGTCTCACTCTCACCACCGTCTTGTCCGCCGCCTAAAAGGAGCTCCGCCGTCGTTTCCGCTATCTCCAGAGATGTAGATAGCTTCACCAGTAAATCCGGTTACCTATTCAGTCTCAGCGCCGATGAGTCCGATTCCTTGTCGGAGTACAATTTTTCCAGAATCGATGGGATGTATAAGAAGAAGCCTCTGATTCTGCTCCGCCGATTGGCTCAGATCGGGACTACGTTTGGTTTCTGGTTTGGGCTTCGCTTAGCCGATGAGGCTCTTAATCGCTCTGAGCAGATGTTCAAGGTCTCTTTCTCTAATCCAGCTCCCTCGAACTCGAAATTCAATGACGCCTTAAATCAATTGGTTCTCATGTTTCGTTTTCGTATTACGACTGGCTCTAATTAGGTACGAGCGGCGGAGCTAAGGAAATTACTGGTGGAGCTAGGTCCGGTATGGTTTCTCTCTGAAGCTTTAATATCAAATTGCTCAATGCGAGTGTTCTTCTCTCTTCCGGTGCTCAGATTTAATGGTTTTTTTCATGTTTCAGGCGTACGTCAAAATCGCTCAGGCCGTTTCGTCTCGTCCGGTAAGCTTACCGTTTTATGTATTCTTCAGGCTTTCTTAACATTTGTTGACTCTCATTTCCTCGAGGATTGTGATTGTTATTTGGTATTAAGATATGGTTTAATCATCAATTAGGATTTGATACCTCCTATATACTTGGATGAGCTCTCGCTGCTACAAGATCAAATCACTCCGTTTTCGACGGAAGTTGCTTTCAGTATGATAGAGGATGAACTTGGCCGTCCTATAGATGAGATTTTCTCTGAGATTTCTCCAGAGCCTGTAGCTGCAGCATCTCTTGGACAGGTACTTGTTGGGAAGAATGTTCTTGATGGTCTAGAGCTTATCCTAATGATAGTATCTCCTTCCCGTTTTATATCTGGTCCACATTTCAGGTATATAAAGCTAGGCTCCGTAGAACTGGAGATGTTGTTGCAGTTAAAGTGCAGCGGCCTGGTGTACGAGCTGCTATTGCTTTGGACACGCTGATTCTGCGATATATAGCGGGTTTGATTAAAAAGGCTGGGAGATTCAACTCAGATCTCCAGGTGACGTGAAACTTGTATATGTCTTCCTTTGAGTTTTCCTTACTCTAGTAATCATTTTAGAGGGGTCATGTTGAAAAAAAGTTCGATACTTTGGATGATTCTGATTCTGATTCTCGCTTGTATTTTAGTTAGAGTGTATTGGTAAAACGTTCCAATGATGAAGTGTGAATTCCATTTGCAGGCAGTTGTTGATGAATGGGCAACAAGTCTGTTTAAGGTAAAGGATCCACCCTTATCACAAGTCGTTTTCTATGTTTTGCGTAGACATTTTTACTCCGATTCATTAAGTATATTTTGATTAAAATAAAAGGGGTAAGTTCTTGATGCTTTCTCTTCTCTGTTCTCCGTCACTGAGGATAAAGAGTGTCAGAGTGTTTAAAATGATTAACGATTTAAGGTGCTGGAAAGGATAAATTCCATATGTGAAAATTGGATAGATGCTAACAATTTCGTTAATGTTTTAGTTGTTGCCTTTAAATTTTTTTTGTTCGGGGAATATCTTAGAGCTTTATATTGAATACAGGTAAATCACCTTGAATGCAGGAGATGGATTACTTAAAAGAAGCTCAAAACGGAATACAATTTAGGTAAAGCTAATGTTCGAGTCTTGTCAAACCTTTTTGTTATCTCCTATATGTTATGGCTATGATCAACATTGTAGTACATTGTATATTATTGGTCTGAGCTACAAATCATGTGGTTTTTTTGTTTAGCTGTGGTACACTGATACTTGAACAAACATGATATTTATGTCTACAACATTATTAGCTCATCTAATGGTTAATTCTTCGATAAGGATTCCCTAAAGTAGCATTCTGTATTCCTGAATAGGAAGTTGTATGGTAGCATCAAAGATGTCTTGGTTCCAAAGATGTACACAGACTATAGTACCAGCAAAGTTCTTGTAATGGAGTGGGTGGAGGTATGAAGCCAAACGTTTGCAATTAAAGAAATCATTTTTTTCTGGTTTTCATCAAAGAGTTGTATATGTTTCTTATGGCTTTAGGCCAATTTTATAGTTCTTAATTCCGTCTAGTCTACTTTCTGTATCACTGCAGGGTCAGAAGCTTGCTGAAGTAAATGATCTTTATTTAGTTGAGGTTGGCGTTTACTGTTCGTTTAACCAACTTCTGGAGTATGGATTTTACCATGCCGATCCCCACCCTGGGAATTTTCTTCGCACATATGATGGGCAACTTGCATACTTAGGTATTTCTCATCTCAATGCTAACTTTAAAGTCTTATGTCTACAAACTAAAGGCATAAGTATCCTGTGCTTATAACTTATTGAACTTTTAGTTTGTTTTGCTGCTAGATTTTGGTATGATGGGGGATTTTAGGCCAGAATTACGTGATGGATTCATGGAAGCATGTCTTCATCTCGTAAATCGTGACTTCAAAGCGCTGGCTAAGGACTTTGTAACTCTGGGGTACTCTGGTCATTTGTCCATCTGAATCTGAAACTTTCAACTGGTGACGTTTGCTAATCTTATCTGCACAACTTCTATAGGCTTCTACCACCAACAGCTGAAAAGGGCGCTGTGACAAAGGCTTTAACAGGTCCGTTCTTTCTTTCGGATTGGAAAAGAGTGTTAGCATTGAAACTTTTGGTTGTGTCCTGAAACAATTGCCTCCTTTCTCTACAGATGTTTTTCAAGGTGCAATTTCCAGAGGAGTTCGCAATATAAGTTTCGGTGACCTGGCTGGCGACTTAGGAATAACAATGTACTAACACTTTTACTTTAACTAATACATGCTAAACAATTTTATAAGTCTTACCAATATATCGCTGGGGGATGGACATTTGAAGAGCTTTACTTATATTTTACGGCTACTTATTAGATGCTGGTATTCATTTGTCAAACTTTCAGGTACAAATTCAAATTCAGAATACCCCCTTATTTTTCTCTCGTTATCCGCAGGTACTTTATCTATCTCTTTTGCTTCATAGGCGTACTTTGCTTGTATGATAACATTCTTGTTTTGAACTCTCTGAGATTTTTCAGACTTTTAAGTCTTAGCTTTTGTACAATATTGTAGGTCCAACTGGTCTATGCGTTAAATGATTAATTCAGTTTATCCTACATTTATTCTCAACTACGGCTTATGTGTGATTAGTCTTTCTCTGTCTGAGAAAGCATTCACATAATTTCTGGTTTCTCATCTTTGATTCCCCAGCCTTGCTGTTTTGGAAGGCATTGCCATTGGCATAAGCCCAAACTACAAGGTTTTGGGCAGTACATACCCTTGGATTGCAAGAAAAATTCTAACTGACAGCTCTCCACAGCTGAAAAGCTCTCTTCAGTCTCTTTTGTATGAGGTATTAAACAATCTTGTGACAAGATTCTTTTCTAACCAGATTGGAAATCCTCATTTTGCATTCTGTTTCTTTCTTGAACGTGATTTTATTTATGCGTGTCTCTGCCAGGATGGTGTTTTTCGAATTGACCGTCTTGAATCTTTGATTGCTGAGGTGAGACTGAACATAATCCCTTTTTGTTGTTTGACTATTGCAGAATGTACGAAAGTGTTTTCGTTGTACATTAGTGCGTCAGTTTCCTTGTTGTTTGTTATTTGGTTGGGGACTGTGTATTTAAGGTTACATTGGTCAGGTCTACGTGGTGTTTGATGGTAATATAGTCAGTAAACAGCTGAATAATCATACAACTAGACGGCCTAAGAGCCAACTAAAGACTGTGAAATCTGCAGGATGATTTGGGCTAAAACTATACACGATATTAACAAAAATCTCTTACTCTCAGGAAAGTCCATTGCAGTGGGAAATGAATAACTTGGAAATTTGCTGTTTAAATAACAAAGAATAGCATTTAGTGTCTTATCCATTTCTACTTTCTTCAGTCTCTTAGGACAGAGACGGCATTAGTACAGAAACCGGTCGAGGGAGGAACAGACTCTAAGATCGTCATGAAGCAAATATTTGCTTTTACTTTCACGGAACAGGTATAGATAAGCAGTAATTTTACTAATCCCTACTTATGAAACAAATGTTACAACTACTTAAATCTTGAAACATTAAACAGGGTTCTTTTGTAAGAGAGATCCTTCTTCGAGAACTTGCTAAGGTGAGCATTTTAAATGTCTTTTCAGCTAAAGCTATTCGATAAGAGAAAAACAGTTCAGTCTTTATGTGATAATAATCGAAATCCCTTACACAATTTGCGTGAAAATATCCTATTCTTTGTTAATCATAAGGATTTATTATCCTTTGTTGCTTACAATTAGTATTCAACAGGGTCTTGATGCATTGGGATTGGCAACTTTTGACTCTTTCCCATCTATGCCATTTTCTGGTTCAAGACCATCCACTTCCTTGACAGAAGAAGACATAACAAACCTTAGAACCTTCTATCGACTTATCTCATTGTTCTCAGGGATGCAAAAGGAAGAAAACGTAAGCACGGTAAGTTTTGGAAAAGTAAGTCAAATGTTGTTTTTAGCTGTTTTTGTTCTTGAATGTGTTTGCGCATCAAACTTATTGCAGCAAGTAAACGCGGTTACTAAGTATGGTGAGACAAACACGCCTCTGCCTGAAGCATCACTCGTCATGTATCAACTTCCATCGGCTCAAGAGATGATACCGATTCTCTCCATCTTAAACGAAGTAACATTCTGTTAAACACTTTCAGTTGTTGCAAATCAGTACTCTGTTTGACTATTCTCTCTACGTTTTTTGTTTATTTAATTTATGATTGGAATGAATGTTGTAGCTTCCACAAGAGTCGCAACAGAGGTTGCTTCAGTTGCCAGGTGACTTGGTTGGAAGATTGGTGTCTCGAGCTTTCGCTAGAACCATTCGTAGGATGTTTCTTCAATGATTGTCCGATTATATGAAACGCTTGCAGATTTATGACTGCTAATAATTTATTCATCAAACGCAATACTGTAAAACTTTAGTCTCCATTGCTGTAGGAGTTGTATTGTTTTAAATTTTTATTATGAGAATCAGTAAATTCGCCGTTTTAACTTTTAACCCCAAACTTTGAACAAGATTGTTTGTTGATTTTGCCGAAACAGTATGTGTAAGCTTAATCGTAACACTTGTATTGTGAAGAACTAAAATGTTTATTCAATTGAGTACTAAAATCTTCACCAATGACCAAACGGTTCACAGAATAAAAACGAACGAAGCAGTTTACTTAAACCAGAAGAACATAAATAGAAAAAAAAAAAAAAAAAAAAAAAAGATAGAGATAGAGAGAGAGGACACAGTTGTTTTTAGGCTTTGAACATGTAACTTTCTTTTTTTCATTTTTATATTTCGATGGCTGGATAGTTCTTCTATAAGACAAATAAATGCTACACTAATAGTACAATCACCTCACGCACGCAGCCTGACAAAAAACAATGCACATCCTCAACCTCAATGCTATGAAGGCTGCTGCATCATGTGGTCTTGCTTGAGCGCTTGTTGCAGCTTTAAGACTTCTTGCTGTTGCTCTGGAGTCAGCATCCTTAACTGTTCCGGCGTCAGGTTCATTACTTGCTGGAGCAGTGTTGACTGAACATCGGGTGTGAGTTGTGTCTGCAGCAAAGAGAATCAATCAATCAGAGAGAGCTCTTTGTGTACTTGATGTGAACGATTTCTCATCCACTTAAGCTTTCATTGATAATAAATACCTGAGGCGTTTTCTCCTGTAACTGTACTTGATTTGGTAGCATTGAGTTAGACGCAGGACCACCTCCGGGGAATGAAGCGATTCTCCTATCGTCCACTTTCATCATCTTCGTTGGTCTGTTTAATGACTGATGAGGTCCCTCGTTTATCCTTTTGCCATAATTTAGTAATACTGCTTGCCCACTCTGCTGTAAAGTATATAAATACAGACGTGAAGTAATCTTTAGAGAAAACCCAGAAAAAGCAAATAAGAGAAACAAAGTGGCTAAAGCAAGTAAACTAGTCCACACTATCTTTTCTTTAGACCACTCACTAGCAGCTTATAGGCCTCTCAGTGAATGACTAGTAAATGATGGTAACTAAACCAGAACATTCCTTTCGTATGTGTACTAGTAACACCACATTTGAATACTATGGTGCTAAACTATGTAAAGATTGAACTGAATTTGTATCACCATGGAAACAAAGGTATTGTAGAAACTCACCTGCATCACCGAGTTTGATAATGCTGGGCGAGGTACTTGAGATGGCTGGATAGCATTATTCGGAACTGAAGTCTGACTACTATAGCTTACGCTGCTGGAACCTGGAACGATTTGTTTTTGGCGTTGGAACGGAGCGATTTCGGTTTTAACTTGGGATCTAGGAAGAGGATTCACAGAAGAAGGACCTTGTTGTGCTACTAGTTGTTGTGGAATCTGACTAAAAGGTTGTTTAGAAGGCTGTTGAACGGGAAACTGACTATGGGGAGTGGGAGTTCGACTTAGCTGCTGCGGCCTTTGTGCCAGTGGCGGCAGAACGTTTTGACTAGATAGTTGTGTGTCTTGAATTGAAGACCCTGTCATATGATTTGGGGCCTGAATAATATTTGGCGTTTGCAACTGCAGAATTCAACAACAGATATAGTCCTCTTAAGACAGAGATAGAGAAGGAAGAAACACACAGAACTGTTCGTTTAAGATGGAAAACTTACGACTTGTGGACTCACAATCCCAAGCAGTATCTGTGCCTGCAACAGTAGATGAAGTAATGGTTGAAAAGATGGTGCAAGAATCATAATAATGAAAAAAATGAGAGACCATAAAACAGTAAAACACCCTGGAAGATACATTAATCAAACGAGTAAAATGAAGTATCGTATACATATTTCAAGAGCACACTTTCTACATAGGAACTAATACAGATTGTTCCCTCCTAGTTCCCATGAATCACCAGCAACCAACTTATAAGAACACCAGCAAGAGTACACTAGAGTAGAATGATTTGCAGAGACAGGGGATGGGTAAGCAAGTACCAGGAAAACAGCTTTAAGCAACTGAGGTTTTGAAACCAACAACTGTCGAGTTTGTTCCTTATTCTGTGTAGCCATTAACTGAAAATTGAGGAAAACACAATCACATTACACCACTTGTTTACACCACAATGCATCAAAGAAAATAAGAAAGGACACTACCAATGCCTGAGATCCACACACCTTAACGGAAGATATAATTTCAGTGAGCTGAGTTTTAGTCATCTTGGCAAGATGAAGAGTCAGGGGATCGCTAGGTGGAACCTGCAGCGAACCTTGAGGAAACTGCGAACCGACCTGTGGACCACCTAGCGCACCCGCCATAACTGATGCAGCGTTCATAGCTAGGTTGACACCAACCGGCTGATGCATAGTCGAATCTACAGGCCCTCCTACTTGCTTCTGAGATTCTGTCATCGAACAAACACAATGATAAGTTTTTGCTTCTCTAAACACAATTGTGGTCACTGAAGTTGAAAACAAAAGCATACCGTTAGCAGCAGGCAAACCAGGTCCTCCTTGACCCTAAAACCCAAAATTACCATCTTTAGTCATAACTTATTGAGATGAAAGCTTTCTAAGTCGTTTGAAATCGGAGAAGAAGAAGTAAGTAACCTGATCGCGAGTTTTCTCAGTTCCTTTGTCATTCTCGGCGAAATCAACTCTTAATTGACGGCCATTGATTTCGTAACTCTGGAGATTGCGACGAGCGCTCAATGCTGTTTCTTCGTCTTTATACTCGCAAAATCCGTAGCCTTTTGGCTTACCGGTTTCTCTATCGGTAACTAATCTGAAATTAGGAAGAAAACAAACAGCAAGAGATTTTCGAAATTGTTCAAAGGTGCTTAATTTAACAAATTGACTCCGAATTGAATAAGAACCCTAGAAGAGAACTGACCTAAAGGAGACAACAGGTCCAACCTCGCCGCAAATTTCTCTGAGTTGTTCTTCGGTAGCGTCGTAAGGAATGTTCCCAACTAAAATCGACAATTTTTAGAATCCAATTCGAAGAGAGAGTGATAAGGTGAAGAAGAAGATGTGAAAGGAGAGAGTGAGGTTACCAAAAACGCAGCGACGTTGGGATGAAGAAGCCATTTAAATTCAACAGAAGATGACGGAGAAGAAGGTGAAGCGCCGCTTCATCTTCTTCCTCCAGCAAACGCTTACTCGAATTGAGAACGAGTTCAATGAGGGATTTTCGAAACCGCGAGTTTTGGGAAATTTTCTCAGAGATGTTTCGTATTTCGTCAATGGGACTTGCAATTAAATTTTGTTTTGGTTATGATAATAGAATTAAGACGAATGAAATTATCATTAATGTTTTATGTCTCTCTGTAAACTTAAGAAAAAATGGAAACTTTATTTTTCTTTGTGACGGTCAAAAGAAAATTTAATTGCGATGAAATTGGATATTGGGTGTTAATGTGACTATGGTTTATGATTTGTGTTGTGCAGTGAATTTGTTCTATTAGTGTTCTCGTCGTCGCATGAAATTAATCTAAAGTTTAATTATCACGTCTATTAGTATCTTCAACCCAACTTTCCTTTTGACATTAAAATGAGTAAATACTATTTTTTCTATTATTTATAGTGTAAACTCATTTCTCCGATTATTTTTGATGTGATTTTTTCAATTTGTATAATGATCTTTCAAATTTAGATCTTTTATTTCTAATTCAAGTAAATTATAAAATTTATTTTTGTTTTCTTTTCTTTCACTAGAAGTAATCATAAAATATTCTTATAGAAAATGACATAATTTATATTATACAAATTATTAGAATTAAATTTTATTTATTATAAAGTAAATTAAGGCTCCGCGTATACGCGAAATTTATAAAAATATATAACTATTTTTAAATATAACTAAAATAGTATGGAAAAGCCCATTAAAAATCTGTTAATAACATAATATTCATCAATTCTGTTGTATAATAAACAGTTTGGACCTGTTGTATTAGAACATGCGTAGTATTAGGATTTCTAACTTCTCACTTTCGAATAATATATGCTATAGTATTACGATAATTTGATTTAGATCTATATGATTTAGAGTCAAATAATCTTCATTGCTTTCTTGAAATTTGGAAGACATAATTTTTTATTCTAGAAAAAGATGGAATCACGCAATTAGAAATAAGAGGAAAAAAAATAAAAGCACACAATTAAATTTAAATTTGAAAGGTTATATACCTTATTATATAGGGCTTGGTGAGATATAGAATATATTTATTTTTATTTGTTTCCGTTAGAATATTAAATCTTTTTATTTTAGAATATAAAACCTGCAAAAATAATTTGTCCTTTTTCCGTTAGAATATGAAAAATATTCTTTTTTTCTTGGCTAAGTAAGACATAGAAGATACTTTTTTTTATTATTTTTTGTGTAAAAATATGGATCATATTTATCTTAAAATATAAAGTTTGCAAAAATATTTTTTCCTTTTTCCATTAGAATATGGAACCTTCCAACTTTTTCAATTTTTTTCTCGCAAAACTAAACATGCTATATAGTTCTTAACACATGTGTCACGATCTTAACGGACATGATCTTAAAAGTGACACATGTCCCGATCCTAAATTTTATAAAAATCCTACGTGTCACAACCACGTCGTGCGCATCCAGCTTTATATAATAAGATAGTAGATAATCCTAAAAATTACATAATTCAAAAATTAATGAATTTTTTATGTATTTCTATTATTTCTAATAGTTTAATTTAAATAATATACTAATTTATGGAACTTTTATAAAAAATAAAATAAACAGGGTTACTTGTAAAACTTATAAATAAAAGGGTTTTGCAATAAAAAAGGGGTTTTGCAATAAATTTGAATTTAGAATATACCTAGAATATTTATTTTTTAGTATTAAAAATAAGAGAATACATTGAAGAGAAACACAACATCATTATAAGAAAACACTAAAATGATGGATAAAATAGTGAAATACATTCGAGATAGTCTTACCACGTGTGATCCATGTTATGTGTTATATCCTCAATTTTTTTTTTTTTTTTGGTAGAACTATATCCTCAAACTTGGCATATCTCATATTTTCACTACAAATTCAAGATTCATGAAATAATTCAAAACCAAAGGAAAACAGTAAAAAAAACTGTATCCGAAGAAAAAAAATTTAACCTATTTCAAATTAATATCGATAACAGAAACAACAAAACTAAAAGAAAGATGAAATACCAAATTTTTTTATTTTATCAGATTATCTTTTTTAGTTTGATACAATAATATTGTACTTTTTATTGATTTAATAAGAAAATAAAACTGAAACTAAGGTAATTCTTCTGGTTTAGGTCCATCCGGTAAACAGTAAAAGCTAGTATACCGCTAATCGCTGTCGCGATTGCTGTCGCCAAAAAAAGAGCATCAAATTATCCACCTCCAGCAGATACAATCAGCTGTGGTATGACGAACGCTAAGTTCAGAACTCCTAGCAAAATACATGTATTCCAGAAATATCTTCAATTTTCTTGATTCACATGGCTATTAATTTTTTAATCCAAAATTTTCCGTTCTCTTTCTATTCATTTTATTTCCCAGTCTCTTAAGGGAATACTTGGTTTGATTTGGTTGGAAACATATTTGGTTTGGTTTCCCAAACATATTTGACTACGGAGAGATGCAACCAATATTAATAATCATAAAATATTCTAAATTTCGAATTTTTAACATGTATTAGGCTTTCATAAAGATAGGTCATTAAACTAATAACACACATTTTGTTGCTAGCTGTAAGATTTTTAGTTATGTAAAAAAAAAAAGAAATTTTTATAAACCAATCATATAGTCCTCTCAATGTCAAGCATATGACTTTTAAAAAGAAAATATATATTAGCAAGATATGATAATATTGTCATATTTATTATGTTTTGCTTATATTTTACTTATATTTTGCATAAAAATTGCTTATCCCATATTTTCACTACAAAGTTCAAGATTCATAAAATAACTCAAAACCAATGGAAAACAGTAAGAAACGGTAAGGGAAGGGGAAAAAAACCTATTTCAAATTAATATCGGTAACAGAAACAACAAAACTAAAAGAAATATGAAATACCAAGATTAATTTATTTTATCAAATTGTCTTTTTTGTTTAATAGAATAATAGAGTACTTTTATTGATTTAATAAGAAAATAAATTTGAAACAAAGGTAATTCTTCAAGCTTTCCTTCGTCCAGTAAAACAGTAAAAGCTAGAATGCCGCTAATCGCCGCAGTGATTGCTCCAAAGATAAAACAGGTAGGTTACCGCCACCAAAAAATGTATCAAATGGTCCAGCTCCAACCAATACTATCAACTGCGGTATCACGATCGCTAGGTTCAGAACTCCTAACGAAATACCTGTAAAACAAAAACAAAAAACAAAAAAACATGTTCTTATTAATTTTCAAATTCTTCTATTTTTGTTATTTCCCAATCTCCTAAGGAAATACTTGGTTTTGTTTGAAACATATTTGACTGAGCAAAGACGCAACCAATATTAATAATCATAAACTATTCTAAATTTTGTATGTTTAACATGTATTAGTTTTTTTTATAAAGATAGGTCATTAAAATAATAACACACATTTTGTTGCTAGATGTAAGATTTTTTGTTATAAAAAAAAGTAAGATTTTTATAAACCAATCATATAGTCCTCTGAGTGTCAAGCATATGATTTTTAAAAAGAGAATCTATATTAGCAAGATATAATAATATTGTCCTATTTCTTATGTTTTACTTATATTTTGCATATATTTTACATAGAAATTGCTTAGGTTATACTAAATTTTGTGAATACTTTTTGACAATTATCTTGACAATCATGATTAATGTCTAGAAAAGCTCAATCGAAAGTTTTTAGGAAATCCATGCATTGCAACCATCTCCTCTCCGTAAGATCATATCAGTCGCGTCAATCGCCTCCGGTATACAGTTCGGGTGGGCGATCCAACTTTCCCTCCTAACGCCCTACGTACAGCTGCTCGGCATCCATCACAGGTGGTCATTTCCCATATTATTGTTCATTTTAATCCAAAAAAAAGAAATGCATGCATTGCACTTTGTATTAGAGCCAAAGGTGGACCTATATGTAGAGATAATAGTTCATTTGACACCCCTAAATAAGATAAATTTTTGATTTGTAAGTAAAATTTATATAAATACAACAGCTTAATTGGTAAAAATTCTTATTGACACCCAATAACACGAGTTCAAGTGTCTCCAATGAATTTTATCTTATTGGTTCGAGGTTAGGATGATCAAGAAAGATTCGTAATTATCTCGTTTATTAGCCTTTTCTTGTTCAAATGTGAAGTCTCTGTGCCGTTTCATGATATTGTTACATTTCGTTTTTATTCATTCATTAACTATGTCAAATGATACCATGATTCACTGCGTCTGTTATCTTATACTTTTGGAGAATTTCAAACATTTCCAAACATGCGACTTTTTTAAAACCGCATTAGTCAGAGAAAAAAACACTTAACCAAGTAAGAGGCATCCACACAAAGACACTCGTAGAAACGTTTAAAATCAAACAGGAAGTAGATCGGAGACATGAAATGTTGTTATTACATAAAAGGTGATGATGGGATGAGAGTACCACTATCAGGTGTCTGGTAATCTCATCTGTACAATCTCAGCTGGTGGACGTAATGTGCAAACCATTTCTCTCGTCTTCCCAAAGTAAACCTGCATTTTTTTTCACCAAACACACAACCACTGAGACTGAGAATGCATATTAGAAAGAGACTGTGGAAATTGGTACAGTGATTTGGAGGTAAAACCTGATCAAGTGAGTTCCTAAGTTTGCCTTCCAATTCTTCAATCATTCTCCCCATATTGCACAGATGTCCCTCTGCTACTGCCAGCTCCATTTTCATCTGATTCCAACAGTCAGAATAATGTGAGATTGGTTAAATCTCTGAAGAGATAGGTTAATATATAGAAGCTAAAAACTTACTTGTCTTCTGATTGATCCGGATAAGCCGAATTTGCCTGAGGACTCATCATCAGTGGTTAGAGAGAGCATGATGGTGCTTGTTAAGCAATACTGTGCCATTTCCTCTTCCTCTGGACCAACCTAGGTTTGAGAAAGAAGCATAATATGAAGTCATGAAAAAGCTGTAGTTGTGGTGTATGGCTATGTTAAGAGAGTCACCTGTATAACATGTATGGCATCCCAAGCTCCTTCTTCCAGGCATCCCCTCCTACCATGACCTGACTTTGACCCATCTTGGACAAACAAAAACCACAACAGCTAAGGTTAAGAGCTTTAAATTGCGGAATGATTTAACTTTACAGAGAGAAAATACCTTTCTTGATGAGGAAACATGCCACAAAGCCTTCATTATCATCCTCCCACATGTAGACCGAAGATATTCCACCTTCATAATACCTAAGAAAACAAAACCTTGATCAAAACAGGAACGAGTAGGCAAGGATTTGGCAGATCAAATGCTAACTATGTCTTATAAAACTGAATCGCTTATCAAATGAGATTAGCTACAAAGACTCTAAAGTTAAACGAGGTAGGCAAAGAACCTCACTGGTCACGGTAGATTGCAAAGATATCATTGGCTTCAACTTCAAGCTTTCTTAACTCTGACGACGGGTAAAGAGCATCCTCTAGCGAAGGATGGTACTTATTCGACCACGGAGACCTGCAAAAGGTAAAAATCACAAGTACAACAAACAGCAATTTAGCTATAATCATCATAATCACATAGCTTCTACAGTCTACACAATGAAAATAGAGCCAAAACGTACCTGTACGAATCTGCATCTCTATTGTACTCGCACAAGATGAAATCTTTCCTACTCTCACCGTCACGTAACACCTGTTGCAATACTCTTCTCCGTCATCAACGATTACAGAGAAATTGCATTTCCTTTCACGCATTATACAGACTAACTAGGAAGCAATTGAATTAGATGCTCATTCACACTACCATACACATAATCAAACCGAGCTAAACCAATCATATCATCCTCCTCACTGAAATCAAATTAACCAAGGCCTAAGGAAACAGTGTAATCGGGAGATAAACCTGACACCGGCGAAAAAAAATCACATTTTCAAATCTCGATAGAGAGAGAGAAGTATACCTGGAGAGGGAGATCGACTTGAGAGAGGAGATCGGAAGAATGTTGAGGCAAAAGGCTGAGAAGAGCAGAGAGAGCCGTTTCCGATTGCTTCGGCGGCATTCTCCTGAGCAGTCCCAAAGCTGCTTCCATTTTTTTCAATCTCTGTCGCCGGAGAAATCTATCTCCGATGGATGCGAAAAGACGCGACCGGATACAACTTAAATGGTAATATAACTGCATAATATAAACCACCCTTAAGGCCCATAATGAGGCCCAAAATAAACATAACCATTTTACTTACTCAAAAACGTCGTCGTCTGTAGACAGAATATTTTTGTTTTTGCTATCATTTTTCATCGGACCGGCGAATTGTTTAGTCATGTCAACGGAAGCGATGACGGAGAGAGATCCACAGCAAGAGATTGAAGAAGAGTCTACTCCGTTGCTCGATGATGATTCACAACCCGACGGTGAACTGAGGTCGCGGAAATCGACGACGGCGAAGGTGCCGGAGGTGGAGATCCATCTGTACAAGTTAGGAAAAGGTCCGATCGATGTGTTCAAGTCGAATCTCGGAGGTTGGGAGCAGGATCAGCTCGAGGTTCGAACTATTCTCGATAAATACGGATTGAAATCCATCTTCGCCTTCAACGCCCAGAAAGGTCGCGCCGCTCCGATCCGATTCAACCCTAGGAATGGCCGGTCGATGCTTCCTTACCGGGACGGTGCCGTCATTTACATCGACGGTGAACCTCAGGTGAGCTTAATCTTCCTCTCTACTTCCTTCGGATTCTTCTGATTGTTTCGATTTTGAGCTCTGACTTTAGATTCTGTGTTGTTCAACCTTACTTCAGCTCTAGTTCTCCACTGATCATTGATTGAATTATCTGAAATTTGTGGTGAATTTCGTTCTATAAGCATACAGTGATGTAGATTATATCTGAATTTCTGGTGAATTTTGTTCTATAAGCATACAGTGATGTAAAATTATATCTGAATTTCTGGTGAATTTTGTTATTTAAGTAAAGAGTGTTGCAATTTACAAGTCCAATGCTTCTCAGTGTTATATGATATAAGCTCTGCTTCTGCTGTATAAGCTATGTTGTATCATATCTAGTGTGGTGTCTCCTTTACCTGTTCTTCATCATCGTCTTGAATAGTAGAATTGCTCAAGATTAGCTTTCTGTATCCATATCTGTCTATTGTGCCGGTGAAACCACTTACATCTCATCAATAGTCTAGCTTTGTACGCTTATTTACTCTTCACAATGATCTGAAATTTCACTTCACAAGGACTCTATGTCTCGTAGAACCTTAACATAGGTCAAATAATATATCGTTGCTGAAAGAAACTTACTGAGACGCATGTAGAAACTAGAAAGGATGACACTTTACTCTGTTTTCTTTATGGTTTTAAGAAGAGAAAAACGTTGAAGCATGCAGCTTTTAAACCACACCAAAGGGTTCTAAGAAGTTACATTTTAACAGGGTGATTTTATCTAATGGCATTTTTTCTTTGTTTTTCTTTTCAGGATTCGTTGCTTAAACCCATCACAAGAATCGTGCTCGGAATTGTGATGGTGATGCTGCTAATAACGTTTCTAATGAAAGACCCTCCAGCGTGGATCAAGAACTACATCTCCTTTGGAAACTTTCCTCCGTGGGTGCTCGCGTGCGTGGTAATTGTATTCACCCGAGCTAGGAAGAGAACCAGAGACTTCTTCAGGAAGTATGGCTGGTGATATCACCAGACTCGCTTGAAATGTGGTCGAAATTTGTAGTCCTTTTCATCGACCATATATGTAGAGAGGTTTCTCTTGACTCTTGTCTTTAACTCAACAAGTTCATTTCCTTGGTAAACACTCTTTGTATTTGCTTGCTTTCAGAAACTAAGAGAAAGCAATCATTTTCTTCATTTGCATCTTGTTGAAGTTTATAGTTTTATTCATTTTCATGTGTATGCGATGTGGTTTTTGCCATTTTTATGGAAACTGATGCTTTTCTTCTGAAACCCAAAGTTTGGTACTACAGGCCTGTTCATATTTAATTTTCTCGTTACTACTGGAGAATTATATTTTTCTGATAATTAAGTTACAACCCTGACAATATTTTAATGGAGAATGGAATTTGTTGGACCTTGGAATGTATGAGACCTTATTGTCATATCATGCACACATTTGGTTAACATACTAGATAATGATTGTGAAATTTCCAAAAGGCTATGCAGGAATTTAACATGAACTTTCAGTTGTTTGTTTTTTATTCAGATTTTGAAAGTATATACATGGGTGTCAAGAACCTCAAAGTCAATAGAATTTTAATTACGTACTATTACTAACATAGAAAGAAACAAAATGTCAATTGTATAATTTGATTTGAATTGACCGTAATAATGCCTTATGTGAATTAATTTACATATTTGAAATGAGATCCCCATTGAATGTTTAAGAGAAAGTTATTAACTTAACATAAATCAGGTTTGAAGATTGCATATAGTACATGTTTTTTCTTAACAAAATCATTGATCCTACATTAAGTGCCTAAAAAAGACTTTGAACAAGATTTTCGTAAATGCTAGAGGAAGACTTTATCCGAATCCAAAGCATTCAAATCATAAACATCGCAAAAACAGGATATTAATTTGATTTGGTTAAATTCATAAACTCTCGTGTTATTACCAGTTCTTAAAAAAGATGCAGAATTGCACAAAAAACGGCGACAAAAAGTGAGTAAAAAAAAAAAAAAGAATCTCCATCGAAAAAGACCAAACTCTAAAACACGTGGCACTCACACATACGTCCTATCCTCAGTTTATCACGGGGCAAGTACGAAAAAGCCTGGTCAAATATCTGAAGAGCCACGTCACAGTCGAACTTCCGATTCGTAGGGACCGATTCGTTAAGCGAATGTATAAATACCCACACACATCCTCCAACTCTCTTTACTCCTCTCGTTTCTCCGGAGTTTAACCAAAAAAGGAAAAAAAATCAAATACCCCAAAATAAAAAAAGATCTCTCCACACACAAAAAATTTCTCAGAAACCAAAGATTAAATCTTTTTGGAAAACACACACAAACAGAATCTTCTCTTACACAAACCCACACACGCAGAAAAAAAACCTAGAAATCAGCGCTATGGCGGCGGCGGTTGCTTCTGGAATTGCCCCGACCGCGATGGTTGATCAAGTCCCTAATCAACCTCCGGTTCCGGTCGCGGTTGCTCCTCCTCCTCATTCAACCCCGTTCCCTGCTGTTTCTCAAGTCGCAGCGGTGGCTGCCGCCGCCGCTGCCGCCGAGGCCTTACAGTCCCACCCAAACTCCTCTCTCTACGTCGGAGATTTAGACCAGACCGTCAATGAGGCTCATCTCCTCGATCTCTTCAACCAAGTCGCTCCTGTCCAGACCGTTAGGGTTTGTCGCGATCTCACTCGCCGATCTCTCGGTTACGCTTACGTCAATTTCGCTAATCCTGATGATGGTATGCAAATTAATTAATTAAATATCAAATTTTTATCGGAATGATTAAAAAATTATTTCATGAAATTCGTCTTTTTGTGTTCTAATTAAAAAAAATGTGATTTTTTGGTTTGTTTGATTAGCGATGAGAGCGATGGATAGTCTCAACTACACACCGATCAGAGACAGACCGATAAGGATCATGCTCTCGAACCGTGACCCGAGCACGAGGCTTAGCGGGAAAGGAAACGTGTTCATCAAAAACCTCGACACAGCGATCGACAACAAGGCTCTCTACGAGACGTTCTCGACTTTCGGCGCGATTCTCTCTTGCAAGGTGGCGTCCGACGTGGCGGGTCGGTCCAAAGGCTACGGCTTTGTCCAGTTCGAGAAGGAGGAGACCGCTCAAGCCGCGATCGACAAGCTTAACGGGATGCTGATCAACGACAAGCAGGTCTTTGTCGGACACTTTGTCCGTCGTCAGGAGAGGGCTCGGTCTGAGAGCGGTGCGGTGCCGCGATTCACGAACGTTTACGTGAAGAATCTCCCGAAGGAGATTGGTGACGATGAGCTTAAGAAGACGTTTGGAAAGTACGGTGAGATCTCGAGCGCGGTTGTGATGAAGGATCAGAGTGGGGTTTCGAGGTGTTTCGGGTTTGTGAACTTCGAGAGCCCTGAAGCGGCTGCGGTGGCCGTTGAGAAGATGAATGGGATTAGCCTCGGGGAGGATGTGTTGTTCGTTGGGAGGGCGCAGAAGAAGTCTGAGAGGGAAGAGGAGCTGAGGAGGAAGTTTGAGCAGGAGAGGATTAGTAGGTTTGAGAAGCTGCAAGGTTCGAATCTGTATTTGAAGAACCTTGATGATAGTGTGAATGATGAGAAGCTTAATGAGATGTTCTCTGAGTATGGGAATGTGACCTCTTGCAAGGTTTGTTTGTTCTTCATTTTAATACACATTTTCAAACGAATCATTAGCATTAGGCTACGTAGATTGAATTAAAATGATTTGTTTATGGTCTTGTCTTTAGGTTATGATTAACTCTCAAGGTTTGAGCAGAGGGTTTGGTTTTGTTGCTTATTCCAACCCTGAAGAAGCTTTAAGAGCTGTAAGTTTCAATCAAATTCACAATCGTTCACAATCAAATTCACAACCATACTTAATCATACTGAATGTTCATTTGAGATGAGATGATGATTATGCAGTTGAATGAAATGAATGGGAAGATGATTGGAAGGAAACCTCTTTACATTGCTTTGGCTCAACGCAAGGAAGAGAGAAGGAATCATCTTCAGGTTCTTGAAACTTAAACTACACCAAAAAATGACTTGTGTTGTTACTTACACTGATTCTCAAACTCTCTTTATGTTTTAACTTGTTGTAGGCTCTGTTTTCTCACATGAGACCAGCTGGTGGGGCAATGCCGCCAATTCCATCACCAATGAATGGGTTCCATCATCACCCACCAGGAGGTCCAATGGGAGGACCACACCATCCAATGTACGTTGGCCAGAACGGTCAAGGTCTGGTCCCGTCACAGCCTATGGGTTACGGATACCAACTTCAGTTCATGCCTGGTGTGCGTCCAGGTTCCGGTCCGGCTAACTTCATGATGCCTTACCCTCTCCAAAGGCAAAACCAGCCTGGTCCTCGTGTCGGATTCAGGCGTGGTGCTAATAACATGCAGCCGCACTTCCCACAACAACAAGTATGTTTAAAATCTTTTTAATCTTAATCTTCTCTTTTTGGCTATTAGTAAGTTTGTTTATCTTGGGGCTTTGTTTGTTATGTGGAAACTTGTAGATGATGCAGCAGAATGCAAACTCTGGAATGAGATACATGGGAGGCGCTGGTGACGGCAACGGCAACAGGAGGAATGGAATTGAAGCATCTCCTCCACAAGGCATCATGACGTTGCCGTTGGATGCTTCTGCTATCTCTCACAATGCTTCTCAAAGCCCACAGAAGCCTCCTCTTCTTCCCATTTCTAAGCTCACTTCTGCTTTAGCTCTCGCTAACCCCGACACTCACCCACAGGTTTGTCTCTCGTGTTCCTTCTTCTCTTAGCTCCACTGCTTTAGATTCGAAATCTGTGCTCAATTGTGAATTGATGATGATGGCAGATGCTTGGGGAGCAGCTTTACCCACTTGTGCACCAGCATGAGCCTGTCCATGCGGCTAAAGTTACTGGAATGTTGCTGGAGATGGACCAAGCAGAGATCTTGCATCTTCTTGAGTCGCCTGAAGCTCTCAAGGCGAAAGTCTCCGAGGCTTTGGATGTTCTAAGACTCTCTGCTAATCCTCCAGCTGTCTCTTCGGTTGATGACCAGTTTGCTCCTACCCCAGCCGAGTGAAGCAACATTTTCACTCAAGACAATTGTTACTTCTGGATTTTATTAGACAGTTTCTTCTAAAAAAACTCTTAAGGAATTCTACAACTAGTTTTTTATTTTTCTCTTTTGCAAACTTTGGTTTGTTTTGGGTCGACGCTAGTTTTTTTTTTCTTTTGAGACTTTTTACTCTTAGCACTAGTTTTTGTTTTGAGTCTTTGACTTATTTGGTTAAATCTTTTGAAACTTCTCTTAATAGTTTTGCATTTATCTTATAGTATGCAGTCTGGTTAAAACATAAATCACATAAAATCTGGATGTACCTCGTCCTCCACTATCTGCAAATTCGAATTTATCTCCATAATTGCTCTGTCCCATTCTCCAACATCATCATCCTTCAAGGCTCCTCTTCCACCAAATCGCGATGGTGCTTGGTGTTCTCCTTCGTCATCGAACAAGTAAGCGTCCCATTTTGAAGCAGACTTGGTAACTCTTCCTGACTCTACGTTCCTCTGTTCTGTGTCCTTCTTCATCATCATTACTCCATCTGCACATTCGAAGAATATCAATGAATGTGTACATTAAAAAACTTTACGGCTCTAAAACTGGCTTTATTCGAACTAGATTCTACAAATTTCTCCATGAATATGAAATCAGATAAGAAATTCTGATATATTTCCGAGTAAATGTAACAAAAATCCTCAATACCTGAATGAAAATCTGGCTTTTTGATGCTGCTTCTGGAGAAGGAAGGCTTGAACAGCTCATCACCATCTCTCTTCCCCAATCCTGTAGCTGATGATGATCCACCACCACCATTAGAATGTTTGTTCAGCTTCGGCTTTTTGAACATCTCCTTCGGCATCTCAGTCACAATCTTCAGATCTGAAACGAAAATCTCAATCTATTGGTCTCTCAAAATGCAAACAGAACAATCTAAATCCATAATTTTATAAAACGCAATTGAGATGCTTCCGATTTTAAAACCACTGATACCTTCTTCGCCGTCATCTTCTACGGTGAATCTCCGGCGATCATTAGGTAGATCGGAATCGAGGTACTCGCTCCAATCAGATCGTTTCTTCCCGCGAACAACTGAAATCTCCTCGTCAATTTCTCCGTCGGCGTCAACCTCCGGTAACGTATCCGCGACGGCTTGCTCCTCCTCGTCGGCAACTTTTCGGGACATGTTAAAGGACTGAACGAAGAAACGGAGCTCCTTAGCCTGGTAACCCTGAGCAAACACCTTCGTCACCGATTGCTTCTGATTGCAAACCACACAAACCCATTTGTTGCTGCTTTTCTTCTTCTGCTTCACCTACGAATACGATCCCCAAATCAATAATCAGAGATATGTAAAAAAAACTTCACCATACGCAGATCGAGAGACAGAGAGAGTTTTGACCTGCATAGTAGAGCATTCGAAGCATTGCAGAGCGACGAAGAGAATATTCGGCATCTTCTTCCGTCTTCTTCGCCTTCTTCTGTTCTCTAGGGATTTCGATTTTCTGTTTAAAATGAATTTTTCAATTTCGCGCTTTCAAATAATTTCAACTTTTAAGCGCCAATACTACGATTCGCAGAATCTTTTGTGACCCGTAAATCCAGACCCGTTATTATTATCTAACCGGGTCTGGTTAATTGCAGACTGTAAATAGCGTTTGTTTAAGCGCCAATCGCGTTTTTCTACACTCGCGATTAAAACCAAAATCCTAAAATCTCGTAGTGTTGTAGGGGACGATGTCGATTGAGAAGCACATAGAGAAGGTGCTTTTCAGCTCCAAAGTAATCGCTCAGCGGGTGGGTCAGATTGGATCCGAGATTACTTCCGATTTCTCCAGCGACTCAGAGTCGTCGTCGCCTGTCTTCGTCGGCGTAGCCACCGGTGCTTGCCTCTTCTTAGCTGATCTCGTCAGGCGAATCGACTTGCCCATCTCTATCGATTTCATCAGAGCTGATTCATACGGCTCTGGTACAGTTTCTAGTGGAACTCCCAGAATTTCATTTGACTTGAAGCTCGATGTTGCGAACAAGCACGTCGTCTTGGTAATCTCCGTCCGCTTCTTAGGTCCTGAGTTTCAAATACATATGGATTTCATGAAAAGTTTGAGTCTTTACAGATTGAAATTGCCTTGTGGTGGTTACTCAGAACTTAATTATGGAAGTTTATCGTTTGATGATGTCTTTTGCTAATCATTTTACATAAGCTTTGGAAATTTCAGTGGCTCTCTAGTTAATTTGACTATGGGTTTTATGGTTAAGGTCGAGGATATTGTGGATACTGGCAATACGCTCAATTGCTTGATTGAGCACCTGAAATTGAAAAAGGCGTCATCTGTTTCAGTCTGCACTCTACTCGACAAGCCATCGAGAAGAAAGGTTCATTTTAAGCTTGTTGGAAACGGGAAGTTCTACAGTGGTTTTGAAGTAAGCTGCTTCTTCTCTCTCTCTCTCTATTGATTTTGTAGATCACTATATATCTCTGTCTAAGGGCTCTGAAATTACAGTATATGGTTTAATAAATGTCTAAATTAGTTGAGACTTTCTTAAACCATTTACGCTATTATTTAGAGGGCATGATGCTTATTGGTCTTCTTTGTTCAGTTGTTGCAATGTTTATGCATATGCTTTTCTAAGTTATGGTATAGGAACTAGCCTGGCTTAAAAAATATACATTTTTTCATTGCATTGTGTTGAACATGTCTTATACTTTGTGAATATGTGCAGTGTCCAGATGAGTTTGTCGTGGGCTATGGCATGGACTTTGCAGAGAAATACCGCAACCTATCTTACATTGGTGTATTGAAGCCTGAATATTACATGTGACAATATTACATTATAGAAGCTACTGGGCAATCATGAGATCTCATATGTTGTTGTTCAAAGCAGTAAAAACCATTGTCTACTACACTTTTACAATGATTTTTATGCAAAATCTAATGAAATGCATGCAAGTGTGTGTTATTTTAATATGAATGTCTTTAGCATTAGCTTCAATACAATACCATATTCCCATAAATCAAAGCTTACATTACATTCCATTCCAAGAAATAGATACAAACAAACAAATGGTTTCAAAACCTCTTCCAAACGAAACAGAAGCTGGATAGTAACTAAGGTTTATGGATCTGAGCAGAGGAAGAGAGTTTTAGGACTGGTATTGTCAAAGTTGATTTATATGATGTTATTATCAATTGATATAAATTTGATGTCATCGATAAGAATATCAAGCCCCTTCCTAGACCGAGCCCAATGCAAATTAGTATTTGTGCTAAATCAAAATATCGTAGCTAATATGGAATTTAAAACGTATCTGACAGTGTTTATTGCTGAAAACCCGGAATAATTATTTTGGGATAGGACTAATTTTCTTTAAAAATATATTTTGCATCATCACTTCGTAGATACCTTGAAGCATCTCTACCAATAATTAATTTTTTTTCGCAACAACTATAGTGTACGCATGCATCAAAGGGACGACATTTATGACTAATACTTTGGAGATAACTATAAATCTACAATGTTTTAATTCATGGTTACTTTTACACGTCAATATACCACATATAACATGATGATAATCACAGAAATATATAGAAATGAAATCTTTCACCTACTCATAAGAAACTTTATAGGCTGTAATTAATATTTTTTTATTCTTTACTCCTTCACTATATATAACACAACACATTCACCAACTCAATACACACAACACAAACAAATAAGCAAAAAGAAAACAAAAGCAGCAAAAAAAATCAAATCCATCATGACGAGGAGTAAGGTGAAACTTGAGTTCATTTCCAACGATGCCTCGAGGAAAAACACCTTTAGAAAAAGAAACAAAGGTCTGCTGAAGAAAGTGAACGAGTTGTCGACTCTATGCGGTATCCCTGCATGCGCCATCATCTACAGTCCATACAACACCAACCCGACGTGTGGCCATCAAACGCCGGTGCGCACAGCGTTATTTCGGAGTTCCGGGCGTTGCCGGTGCTGGACCACAGAAGAAAATGTTGGACCAAGAGACATTCATCAGACAACGCATAGCCAAAGTGTCCGAGCAGCTTAGAAAGAGAAGAGGGAGAGCAGGGAGCGGGAGATGACTGAAGTCATGTTCCAATGTTTAGACGGTAACATGGGTATGTTTGACCTAAATATTGTAGATCTCAATGATTTAGTTATATTATTGACCAAAAGCTGAAAGATCTTCATCGGAGGATCGATGTTTTGGGGTATTCTGCTGCTATGGAGGTCGGTGAATCCTCCAATGCTGCTGCGGCTGCCGCTCCTTCCCAAGGGTCTGGAGCCACTCTAGCCGGTACGGTTCATGAGGTTGGTTCTTCCTCCTCATCGGCAGGTGCCGCTGCTTTGTTTAACTCTATTCAGCAGCAGCATTCTTCCTCCGGGGGCTCCAAATGTTGGACTCTATGAGCAACCTTGGAATCAGAGTCAGAATCAGTATCAACAGCAAAGCTTTGTGGAGATGATGAACCATCAGCATATGAGTCATGCCGGTGAGCAAATGGGGTTTCAGTTCATGGGTCATAACCACCACCACCCCCACCACCAACCGCAGCAGCAGCAGATCCCCGGTGATTCCTCCATCGCTCCGGTAGCCGCCAGCTCAAGCAGTACGAACCCCGTTACCGGGCCAAACCCCACCACCAACCACATTTGGTTCCCATAGGACTTTCGAGAGTTGATGTTCCTAAAGTGTTTCTTTTTGTTGTTTTTATGAGTTTGCATTGCAATTTCTTTTCTTGATTTATACATTGTTCTATTTCATTGTCAGATTATTTGTTCTTTTTAATGCTATGGATTTGTGATACTCTCACCTCTTTATTGTATGTCTTATGTTTTCGACTTGTTAGTTTATTTATTCTGGCCTTTTCCGTTTTATATTTAAGTGATCTATATAGGACACAACACACAAAACAAATAAAACAAATCTAAAGCCCCCAAAATAAAACAAATTCTGGTAATCTCCGTCCGCCTTCTTCCGATATTTGTATCTCTGATCCTGAGTTTCAGATTCATATGGATTTCATGAAAAGCTTGAGTCTTTACAGCTTGAAATTGCCTTGTGGTGGTTACTCAAAACTTTATAATACATATTGCTATAAATCAAAGCTTACATTATATTCCAAGAAATAGATACAAACAAACAAATGGTTTCAAAACAACTTCCAAACGAAACAGGAGCTAGATAGTAACTAAGGTTTTGAGCCTTTCTTAGGGATATATCTTCTTTCTTTTGTTTTTTTACTTCCATGTGAGCAGAGGAAGAGAGTTATTGGCCGGTGGAACAACAAGCCCATCGGCATCATACAAGATAACACCTGAGAAATCTGGGAGCTGGCACTTGCCTCCCATGAGAATGTTCTTCTGCCACAACGGACCTCTTCTCTGATCCCCACTCAGCAGCATGCTCGGTTCGCCATTGTATGGCTCGTAAGCACCACCATTGTTCATCATCATCATGCTATTCTGAAGATGTATAACAGGTTCATGATCTCGAGAGCCATAGCAGGCAGCCAAACGGCGAAACTTCCTCTTTGAATGAGAAGCGAACCCTGAGATTCCAACCAAAAGGAGGCTTGCTGCAGCTAAACCCATTTGAAAAACTCTATGCGGCTTCTTTTGAGATTGTGGAATGGTGTGAGCCATTATGTAGTCCTAAAGGCAAGATTTTGTGTTGTGGCTCGAGGATTTGTGGGTTGATCCTGTATTTGAGCTCCGGGGTTTATGTAGGAGTCTTGGTTTGCTTATAGTCAATGAAAATGGAGTGGTTCGCCATTTGGAGGGGTGAGTGAAAAGCTTTTGCCACTGGTTCAAGTGCTTTCATGGTTTAGTTGATTGTTTGACTTTAACTTTTCTCTTTTGACTTTTCTCCTAATGACGTAGCGTGATTCGTGGACCTCATGATCGGCCTAATTATGAGGCCCGTTAGGCCCAAATCATCTCTTCCTCTTCTCTTGCTATGCGATTGAAAGTTTTGAAGTTTGGACGATATTTCTTTGCTCACTTATCTGCGCCGCCGACTTTTAGAATCTCGGCGAAACCTAACCGGCGGATTCTTTTCAGAAACCATGCGAATTCATTCAGCAATTGCTCTCCGGAAGCTATTCACCAGAAACTCTCTCCGAATCCCTCGGAATCTAAGCATTATCTCTTCTCCGGTCTCCATAAACTCACTCGGCGATGTCTCCGGTAAAATCGGAGCTCAATCACCTTCTCCCTACTCGAATTCCTCTATCTCAGAAGCATCATTTAGCTCACTAATATTCCGGATCCCAAATTCTTCATCCAAACTCTTCAACGAGAATCAGAGGAGATTCGGCACCGACTCTGGTTCGCCGCCAGATGTGAACAAGGTGGTGGACGAGATCAATCTCAAGTTCGCAGAGGCGCGTGAGGAGATCGAAATGGCGATGGATGCGAAAGAGACGGTTTACTTCAACGAGGAGGCGGAGTGCGCGAGAACCGCCGTGACGGAGGTTCTGGAGATGTTTTCTGGTTTGCTCGAGAAGGTAACAGAGAAAGAGAAAGCCTCCCTGCAGCGATCCATGGGACTCAAGATCGAACAGCTCAAAGCTGAGCTAGAGCAGCTTAACGAATGATTGATCGATAATGTTGGTTAGCAAAAAACTTCCTCTTCAATTTGGTTACAGAGCCATTTGTTCAATAAATTTGCATTGCCTTTAGTCTCTATGTACTCTGAATTACAGAAGATAACATGAAACAATTTGATTCTAAAGTTTCTATTTTCAGTGAGCTTCGTCTTGTGTTTTGAAGAACATTTACTCATAATAACATATAATCCCAAAAATTCGAATACAGAAAGTGAACAAATTTTTGACTGCTACTTAGTATCCGCAATAGGTCTGAAAAGGTATCTAAGAAATATCAAATTTAGATATTTGTACCCTGTCGAAGTAAAGAACCATGGCATATATGTTTGGAATAGATTCCATTTTGAGAGTTATTGTACAAACATTTTGTGATTTGATCATCGACTCTCAAACTTGAACCAGTCCCAGTTAGCATAGATTTCTTCATCCTTGCCCTGAGGGAAACTACTTGTTATCGGAGGACGATCGGAGATCTCGCTAGTAGTCACCGGAGGCATCTTTTCTCTATATTTCTTCGCCATCTCTTCAGCTTCCATAAACACTTTCTGCATTGACAAAACCACAATATAACTTGTAGAGTAAGGCACATGAGGCAAGATTAGGTCCTTGTGAGTAAGGTCGATGAGAAATGTACCTCTTTGTCTAACATGAACAAACCAGGTTCGCTTTCAAGATCTGCAATGCTGTAGAACAGAGAAAATAACAGTAGAAGAAAGAGGTTTTAGTTTTGAGTCTTGTGATTTAAGGAGCTTTGCGTTTCTATTCAAGGTTTTTTTACCTGAGAGAGATCTTGTCTGGGAATAGAGATTTCACAACGAGAACCTTTAACCTTTCGTCCACCTGAAGCACATCGCTCACTGATCCAATTCTTCTACGAGTTATGTTTGAAATGTGTAGCAGTCCACTGTGGAAACACATGTATTGGCAAGCGAAATGAGTCACTAAGAAGAACAAAATAATTTATGGAAGCAATGGACCTGAAAACTAACCTTCTACTACTATCTCCAAGTTTGACTTGAGCTCCATAAGGTAAAATTTTGGCTACTGTTCCTTCCAAGAGTGTTCCTTCTCTAAGGTTCACCTTCTCCTGAAGCATTATGCGATACATCAAATTAGTCCCATCGTTGAACTTTTCTGACTAAGACAAGTCATAAAAGTAAAAAACCAACCCAAGCTGTTTTTTCACTCAGTATCAAGTCGTTCTTATCTTCGTTCAATCTCGTGATCTGCACAACGAGCTTACGACCCACCTGTAACACACACAATAAAAGCCTGAGCAAACACATAACTGTGAAGCCAAAAGCTTACTGCTGATTCAGCAACAAAATTGTTACAGCAGAAGAAGAAACTCTTGCTTTACATTTTCCTTCAACTCGGTGAAGCTATTGACTTTCTTCACAAGTTCCTGCTTTGGAATAAAAGCTCTCAAACCCTGAAATCAAACCAACACAAAAGCTATGAAATCTAAGCAAAATGGGAATCTCCAAAATCAAGATAATGAAAATTGTGGTACCTCAATTCTAGTGAGAAGCCCTCCTGTATTCCACTCTGTAATCTTAACTTCAATAGGCTCACCAATTTGCTTGATCTGCCAACAGAACAATTCATCAGCATCTCAAAGATGCACATTCATACTTCAAAACAGATTTTGAATCAAAAGGCACAAGAAGAACAAGAACCTGCCTCACTCGGTGCCAAGCGATTCTCCGGAAGTAACGTCTGGAAGAAAGCAGAGGTCTCCCACTCAACGTCCTCCCTAAAACCTCCGCGAAAACCACCGTCCCGATCTCAACCACCGGCCTCCCTTGCCGCGCGAATTCCGCAATCCCAACGCCGTCTTCTTCACCATCCTTCACAATCCCCATTTTGCCATTCACCAAAAACTCCTCGGCGTCGTACTTCAAATCACACAGCAGATAGTCCAATTCCTTATCGTACAGAGGAAGAATCTCCTTCGTCAGCATCGTCCCCAACATATCCGCGCCGATACTCACATCGAGCTTGTTCTCGTTACCCGAAACCACAACGCCAACCACGAATTCACCTGGTTTTGGGTCGTAATACTCCACGCCGACTCTATTAGTCGCCTCGGAAACTTCGGATTTGCCTTCTTCTCCCTCTTGATTGAAGAATTTCAGAAACGGCTCCAGAATCTCGTCGTCGTCTGCTTTCCCACGCTCGTTCTCGGAATCGTCTGATTTCGGTACAGGACTGGGCTTGTTCCGTAGCTCAAGCTCCTCCTCCTCCTCCTTCTCAACCAAAATTCCTCCGTTGTGAGCATCGGAAACGCCGTCTCGTGAGCAGAATCTGATCCCATTAGCTCCGCGAGCAGCAAAATCGCGACAGAGAGCGAAACTACGAAACGGAAAGGGGCTTAGGGTTCTACGAAATTGAAACTGAAAAACCTTCTCCGATGCTCTCAAATAGATACAGTCTCTTGCGTCAACGGAGCTACGAATCGACGACGGCGAGGAAGAAGAAGAAGCAGTGAGAAGAGATTTACATGGCTGACTGAGAAGCGTTTGCATTTTTTCTCTTATCCGCCGCGAAGATAAAAAAATCTTCAAACGGTTCTTTTTATCCATTTCCATTTTCGCCGGGTTTTCAAAAACACCCTTTATTTTAACAAAAACTTACCAAATCGGCAGGGAGTTTTAAATGTTACAATGGAACCCATTCTTCATTTCTTCTTAAATTAACAACCAGCTGCTCTAATAACGAACGACAGCCAACAGTAGGCCCAACATTGATGATGGACCAAATAAATAATTAGGTTATGTGTCAAATAAGAATGGACCCGTTTTTCTAAATGGACCGTCGCATTTATTAAGCCGATGATGTTAATAGCCTCTCTCCTAAATATAATGTGGTCGGCGATTTAGTCTAATGCATGCATAAACGTCTTCGACTCTAATAACCATTTGGTTTGATTTTTAAAAATTCAGTTTAGGCGGCCATATATAGGTGTTAGGCGACCGTAAAACGTTTACTTTTTTTAGGTATTATAATTATGCTTATTTATTAAATTTATTAGTTAAGAATTATGGCATTTCATATGTTATACATTGTGGTAAATCATTTACGTAAATAAAGGTGTACTGAACCAGGACAAACAAATTGCTCTCTACGGCTTAAACATCGTTTACGTCGGCCAATTAAAAAACATTATTCACATTACATGTATATTTCAATGAAAAATAATCTGGAACTAATTTCTAATAAATGAAAGAGAAGTTTTGTTCATATATAAAATTTGGATTGTATAGTTATAGTGACACTAATAGACACTGGACAGCGATTAGACAAGTACTGCATAATTACAAATCGTAAATTATTACAAAGATCGTCGATGAGATGATGATATTGCTTGTTTATGATGATCAAGTTCTAGCCTGACAACAACCCAACAGCACGCAAAATAATTAACTCTATTTGATTGACATAATATCCTGATTATCATGAAAACAAATAAAATTTAAACTCACCGATCGATTATGAAGAATCATCATTTTGCCACCTCTTCGAGATTAACTCATTAATTATTCACTTGAATGTTTAATTAATCAAAGAGTCAATGACTCATTGTCAATCATAAAAAAAAATACCTTATTAAAATTGTCAGGAATTCGTCGAAGACTACTTAAACCAATATTTTAGTGCTCGATCGCATCAGAACTCAATATTGATCCATCTTAGTACGATAATTTAATAGTTTCCTAGATTGAGACTAGTGGTTATATATTTATATGGAACCTGAATGTAGTAATTTGAGATTACCAAGCTTTTATAACATTTTACGGTAGACTTACGGGATGTCATATTTATTTTCAAACGTAAAATAATATCACATTAAAATTCGAGTTATAGTAGATGCAGTTTTATTTATTTTGGACGATCGAACATTCTGATAAACAAACATAATCTAGAATCAATGTAAGAAAATGTCTACACGTGTATCTTATATTGTTGCATGGCACTTTAATATTAATAATGAGGGTGTAATTATCGCTGTACAGATAACCTAGACAATGGAGTCTGATGCAAGACAAGTCCCAGCTTTTCCGATCCTATTCTTCTTCCGGTGATAAAAATACGTATATAAAATGTACATCAACTGACTTAATCAATTAAGGTTTTCAGTTTATTATAACTTTATACTAATTACAAACCTTACGGATTAACGACACGTACCGTAAAAGGCGACGAGATTTTACCAACGAATCAAAGTTTGCTCTTTTTTATTTTCGGTGATGAAGTCAAATGACATGTGCTAAGATGTACGTGCTTACACGAACCGGAGGTCCAATCGGCAACCGGTTGACGTTGGTTTCATCGTTTCCTCGCCGGTTAAAACAAGACATGTGACGACTTGGGTGATATTCTCGCGATATCAAAATCAGATAGAATCATAGAACACTATTATCGCTCAGTTTTTTTGTTTTTCTTACCAAGTTGACACTCACAAGGGGAAAGTTACAAAAGTGTTTCCAGCTTTCTGTGGCTACAAACAAAGATCATGATATTCAGAGAAATGTTTGTTTCCATGTAAACATAAGAAAAGAAGCTAGAAGTTTGGATTTGTTCTAAAGAGTTTCTAAAATTATTTAACTTGTCAGTAATGGAACGTAATTCAAAAACTAACTATTGTCTTTTAGACCATTTTACTTTGTTGTTTACTCTAGTTGGACCTCTATAGATCTTGTTCGTTGGATCTTGAAATGTGGGAAATCAACTTTTGACTTCCTGACCAACTTTTTTACTACTATATATGCACCTGTTTTAGAAAAAGAAAAGTAGTTTCGGTGATGTTCTGATAATACAAAAATAGAAGATGATATTCCCTAAACTTTTCCTTGATATATCGTTTTCGATAATCTGTTAATTTTGTCTTTTGCTCAAAGGATACAAAAAGACATGTCACCAAGAAAATAATTAGAGCCAGATATTAGGCAATAAGGCTAATAATAATATCATCTTGTGTGAAATGGTAGGACTATAAGAGACTAGAAATTATTGAAATTCCTAAAATTCGAGATCAAGAAAATCTTTATTTTTGCCAATCACATATAAAGCGTTACAGAACGAAAAACTTTATGAAAAGAACACGTGGCAGGATGATGTAGACTGAAAGATATATCTAATATTAAAATGATATTAATACGAGAATATAACCACAAATATAAATGGAGAAGCAAATGGTCGGAGCAAGAAAGAGTTTGTTTCGACCTTCCCAAAAAAAAAAGCTCACATTCACACTTGAAGAGTTGAAGTCTTGGAGACGACCCAAGAAGCATTAATTGCTTTCATTTTTTGTTGTTTTCGTCTTCTTCTTCTTCGATTCGTCATCTCCTCACAGTCAAGGTACTTGATGATCTGATCTCATTTTACATTTCTGATTTTTCTTTTGTTTATTTAGTTTTCAAACAGTGTTCTCCTTTGGAATTCTGAGTCTGACCATAAAATTCAAATTTAAGCAAACTACTGTAAGCTGAACAAACCAAAAGTGAAAAGTATTTAACAAGAATGATCTCTTACGAGAAGAAAAGCTCAAATTCAAGAACACTTTCTTCTCCGTATCCAATAAACATTACTGATCATTTGGTTATTGCTTCATTTTCTTCTATGTAACCAAAAAAACATTCGCCCTTTTTTTGTTGTCAACAATGGATATGGAATCTTTGTGTGAGCCTAATACGGTCTGAAAACAAGGAATAAAACAAGTAAACAGAAGAACAGTGAGTTACTGTGTTATTTGGGACCAATATATTCCCCAATAAAGGTAGATTTAGTCACTTGTATTGTACTTTGCTTGTATCAACACAATATCTAATACTATAATATAACTTGGTAGATAAGATTTCTGTATCATAAGTACATAACTAGCTATATAATGTGACTTGATTCCCAAAGGTGTTTTTTTTTTGTCTTCCTCCACTATAACAAAATAACAAAATCTTAAGCTATTTCTATTGTTCATGAGTCATGACATTACGTGTTTAGGCGAATTTATAGATTTCCAAGCCAATGTTTTAAAGAAAATATGGAGTTAAAAGTTATACTCAAGATAAAATTTAGAAGTCAAAATGAAGACAGTAGTTGTTGATAGGACCAGTATTTTGATCTTTCATGTCATTTTCAACATGACTGAGTTCCAATTCACGTAAAGCTGAGTTTAAAGTGGTATATACGTTCCCACTAGGCTAAAACGACAAAAAATGTCGTGGTATAAATAAAAAAATGTAAAAAAATTCGGCTTAACTAGACTATAAAAATACTTTGGTTACTTTGAACTTTAAAGATTCGGTATTTAGATAAATCTTCTACTTAAAACGTAATAATGGAATATTATTTTTAATTTAAAATTAGAGACAAAACAATCATTTAATACAACAAGTCTGACTTTTAGGTTTTGGTTTTTTTGGTTGACTTCAGTTTGATTGAAAAAATATAGAGCTAATTAATTTAGGAAAATTAGTTCGAGTACGGATAAGTAAACCTGATTAAGTTGAAACCACCTTATCTTTATATGATTGGTGTAGACATGTGTAACCAAAGTTTTGGCAAAAAAAATTGGGCGTCGACCATTGCCTATATTGTGGCTTGATGTGATCCCGAAAGGGACCAACCATGTTTTTTCTTTTCTTATGATCTATTTATCTCCATTCTCTATTATTTTGGTTTTTGTTTTCTTTTGCTCTGCTAATTCCTTCGTCGTTTCTTTAGCCACTGACCCATACTCGTCGCTATATTTTTGGAACTAATGCATCCAATTAAGATATTTTCTCTTTACGTATCTTTTTATTAAGCGGGGCAGAAGAAGCAATTGATACTTGTTTGAGATATTTTTGCCATTTTCATGCTGAGATAGACTGAATGACTGAATGACTGAATGACTGATAGTGATTTCAAATCAAAAATAGAAAATCTCTGTTTCGGTAGCAAACATTTTGTGGTTTTCAATTTCAGTTGTTAGGCATTATAAGGAAATTAATATAATGGCAATAAATTTGAATCTCACTGGCTAAAAATAATAATAAAAATAACTCCATTTTGTTAAACATCACCAATTATGAATTGAATGAGGCATGGAGGAGCTTCATGTGACTACCCTTATTGCTCCAACAATTAGGCAATGTGATGTTTTCCTAACGTCCATAATATCCACTTGTTTCAACAGATTAAATCTATATTATATAAATCCCTTTATGTTGGTATAAACTATAAAGAGGATATTCATGCAATTTTATGCATTCAATTATTAATTATTATAACTCTTTTTTATTCATTTTTATTTCAGGTGATAGTACAATTAGGATACAACTAGATGCTAAAAGGTAATTTCCATTCCTTCTTTTGAATTTACTCAGTTATGTTGATTCACATAATGTAAAGTCATTACACGAACAGAATTTACAAAATATACACGAATAAATGCAAATTGAAATTTTCTTAAAACTTAAAAGTATGTTTTTTACAATACGAAATACAATGACACATGATTTGAATATGTAACTTCATACATGTTATCAAATAGTACAAGTTAATGAATTATTTCTGGATTGAGATTGGATAAACATTTTAAAAAAATTAAGATATTTATTTAAAACACAAAAATACATAGAAACAAAATTAGAAATGATGTAGATGTATCGAAATTTGGACGGACGAACGGACCTACTGGATTTAAAATCTAACCAGCAAACCCAACAAATTTAATATTCTAATGATGTATAACGATGTTATCACCGTTATGTATAACGATGTTATCACCATTCATATTCTATTTGTCTATCACAAGCTAGTTCAAAGGAACTTGCCAAATTCTCACTTAGAAGTAGATTATCTTCCACTAACAATAAAAATAAAAATAGTACTCAGGATACTTTTTAGTTATTGTTTATTGAACTTAAGGCTTAAGCATATGGAATGAAATTTAAGTAATTTAATTGGTTGATTTAACACTGATTAGGTGAAAATTCCAAAGCTATGAAACAAATAGGTTGGGTACAACACAATCGTTGCATCGTTCGTAGACCAACTCTAGTTAAAAGCTGGTGGACCCAATAGAGTCCAACTCTTCGTTTAGGCTTCTTTTGTGGTCCGTGTATTTCACGGGTCCCACACCGCATCGCACCGACCCGAAACACACACGGACCTTATCCGTAAACCGGAACATAACCGGAAATCCGGACCGGATCTCTTATAGATTGCTTTTTACACCTTATCAACCCAATTTGGCGGCGCCATGTACTATGCTTATTTTTTTCCTTCTTTTGGTATTCCGAATATAAACTTTTGCTTTTTTAACATCTCCCTCACATTCGTACAAAAGAAATATAACCCTAATTAATATTCCTTGGCATGGTAAAAATTTCACGATTTACTGAGTGGGTCAATTTACATGATTATGTTTTACAATTAAAGTAAAGTTTTGCTGGTATAGTGGTATACGCATTATGCATACGAGTGAGTCACGTTACCACTCACCTTTGTCACCACTTCGGCCTTTTCTCGACTAATTTTCTATTTATTTATTTATCAAAACATGATTTAACACTAACCACGTTAATAATGTGAGTTTATTTATAGTTAACTAAGAACATATAACACATAAACTCAGTTTAATATACACTTATCGAAGCAGTTGAGTTGCGGTCCAAAAGTTAAAGTACAAATGGCTGACACAAGAAGTTTAACGTAGATATTTCAGATTATATAAAGTAGCATCCGTGGGAGTTGTTATACCAAGTCCAATATGTACCTAGTGTTATTAATTAATCATATTTAAAATTACTAACTTTAATTGGTTGGTTAAAATATACTTTGTGGTCATACAAAAGCCATCAAACACGATTGCTAATACGTTCATCCCTATTTCGTGGTCCAATTTGTGAAAAGTTCATCAGCTAATACGTTTACGGATCATAATTCGTCTTATTTTATTCTAATTTCAATCATAATTAATCATTATAAATACGATGAAGCATGAACAGTAAAGAATAACCGTTTTTCCCCCATAAAGTCTTGACGGTAGTATGGATTTTACTCGTTTTTTATATTTTTAAAGTAACCATGACGTGAAGGGAAATGTATTATTGTTACACGACATTATTATTATTATTAAAAAAAAAAATCGAAAAGTTTTCCTACATAAAATGATGAAAAGAAAGACGAGGACTACCTCACGCGTTTCCTAAACTCTCTCTTAAGTAATTTTGGATTTATGGTCTGGCAAAAAAATAATATCCAGATTTTATAAAGTTTCATCACTTTCCTTTTATTTTCTCTTTATTAAAAAAATATCTCTCTATCGTGAAATTACGATTTTGATGTCTTCAGTTGTTGAACCCGTCGGGATGTTGAAGAAAAGCTACCGTCGTCAGAAATCTCAGGTAAGCTATTTTGTCCTTATGATGCTTCTGTCTGAAAAAGCTGAAGATTTGTTTGGTCTGAACAAAAAAGGTATTTGAGTGTTGCAGAGATTATGGGCGAAGCTGGTGATGAGAAAGTGGTTGAACATAAGTGCTAGAGATCCTGAGTATGGTGCCGATGATACTGAAGACGAATCCGAAAACGACGACGTTAATGAGGAAAACGACGATTCTAGCTCCGATGAAGGTTTCTCTCTCCTCTTCAAAAACACCACCGGTTCTTAATTATTTTCCGGTTATCTAAAGCTGTTAAAACCGGTTTAACAGACGGTGGAGAATCGAACACGCGAGCAAAAGAACCATCCAAAGTTTGTGAGAACGCCGAGGACGCAATGGCCGCCGCTTCCGCCGCTGTCTCCGCCGCCGCAGCTGCCGCAGAGTTTATTAGTAATGGTAATGCGGAATTGCATAGGTAGTTCTGAGATTCACTGTGGGGGTTGATGAAATAATCTATTTTTGGAAATCCCTTTGCTGAATTTCAAAATCTAGTCAAGAACAAGATACAAGTTTACGAATCTTTAATTTTTTTTTTTTTTTTTAATGAAATAATCAGATGCTCCGTTGAAGCTAAGGAGAAGGAATTCAGAAACACTAAGAGCACAGTACATTAACAACAAAGAAATAAGGTACAATTTTTTGATGTTTTCTTTCAATTTAACTATTTTTTCTAGATATTTAATATTGCATTTTAATTTTTTTTCCTAATAGTAGACTAAGTACAATATAGATTCGGATGTAATTTTTTCAATTTTTGTTGGGTGAGAAGGAGACCTAACATGTCGGAATAATTGAAATAAACGAAAACTGTGTGTGTGCAGAGTATGTGTTGGTACGTGGAACGTAGGAGGAATATCACCGCCTTCTGATCTTGACATCGATGACTGGATCGAAATTAATCATCCAGCTGATATCTACGTTCTTGGGTAAACTAAATCTTGACTTTTCCTCCAAAGCGACATAGACAAAACCAACTCTGTTTAACATGTTCATGTTCTGTAAGATCATTTATTCATGTTATTTATGTTATGTTTTTTTTTTTTTTAGTTTACAAGAGATTGTACCGTTAAATGCCGGAAACATTCTTGGAGCGGAAGATAACCGACCGGTAGCGAAATGGGAAGAAGTGATCAGAGAAGCATTGAACAGAGTCAGACCAAAAAATTCGGCGGTTAAAAGTTACAGTGATCCACCATCTCCGGGGAGATTCAAACCTTTTGAGGAAACACATGACGTTATAGAGGAAGAAGTAGCTTACGAGAGTGACAGCGATATGGGCGTTGAGATTCACCCGATCGACGAGGACGACGAAGAAGAAAGCGAAAGACTCGGAGAGCTGAAGCACGACGGAAGTCTTGAAGAGTTAAAACATGACGGTGGAGTTATCGGCGAAGTCAACACTCTCATTGACCCGAATACCGGTTTACCGGTTATTAAGATTAAGAGACAATTCTCTTCTCCTAAGACGTTAGACAGACAAGGATGCTTACGTGTTGATAGCTTTGAGAAGAACAAGAACAACAACGAGGATTCATCTGAAACCGGTGTGAAGACGCTAAACCGGGGAGAAAGGATCGGTTTGAACAACGACGAGGATGCCACTGAAACCGCTATGAAAGCGCTATACCGGATGGTTAGTGGGAAAGAAAGGATCGGTTTGAGCTTTGAGAGGAGTAACATCAAGGAGGACGCCTCTGACACCGGTTTGCGAACGCTAAACCGGATGCTAAGTGGGAAAGAGCGGATCGGTTTGAGCTGGCCTGAGCCGCCTTTGAACATGTTAGGACCATCTTGCGTTCTTGAAAGACAACCGTCTATAAAGACGGCAAGATCATTGAGAACGGAAAAATCTTTCAAGGCTTACAGTTCGTTTAAGTCTTTGGCCGGAGGCAACCCTGGGATTCCGCCGGAAGTCTTGGCTCTAGCGGAAATGGACTTGAAGTTGCTGATGGAGAGGAAACGAAGACCGGCTTATGTGAGGCTGGTGAGTAAACAAATGGTTGGGATTCTTTTAACCATTTGGGTTAAACGAAGCTTGAGAAAACATATTCAAAACGTTAGAGTCTCTACGGTTGGTGTTGGCATCATGGGATATATTGGTAACAAGGTACTACTATATAAAAGATTAATATTTCATTATGCTATAATAATGTTTTCAAAATTGTTGAAGTGATTTGTGGTATTTGTAGGGAGCTGTGTCTGTGAGCATGTCGATAAACCAGACGTTCTTCTGTTTCATATGCACACATTTGACGGCAGGAGAAAGAGAAGTTGATCAGATCAAGAGAAATGCAGATGTTCATGAGATACATAAGAGAACAGTCTTTCACTCTGTCTCAGCTCTTGGACTTCCTAAGCTTATCTTTGATCATGAGTATGTTCTTTTTCTTTTCTCCTACATTTTTCACTAAAAAAATCACATTTTTAATTTCTATTTGTTTAACTTAACTCTGTTTTCACCTCTATGCAGAAGAATAATCTGGTTAGGTGATCTCAACTATCGGCTTAATCTATCGTATGAGAAAGCTAGAGACTTGATCTCAAAGAAAGAATGGGACCATTTGCTTGAATATGACCAGGTAAATAATTTCTGTTGTTACTATATTAGGACTTGGATCTCAAATCCCAAATATGTTAGATCAACTGGAAAAATAAAAGTACCTTAGGCAAAATTTAGTGGTTATAGGATCGAGTGACATTTGGGACGGAATTAATATTATAATGCAACAGTTCACCAATATGAGTTTATTCAACTTATACATTTTAGACTCATTTTTCTTTTTCCTTTTCATATCTTACAGCTTGTAAAGGAATACAAGAAAGGTAGAGCATTTGACGGATGGTCAGAAGGAACTTTACAGTTCCCGCCGACCTATAAGTACCAAGCGAATTCCGATGAGTACACCGGAGGCGATGGAAAGGCTATACGGACACCAGCTTGGTGTGACAGAATACTATCTTACGGGAAAGGATTGAGGTTGGTCCATTACAGAAGGACCGAGCAGAGATTCTCAGATCATCGTCCGGTTACAGCGATATACTTGGCTGAAGTCGAGGTGTTTTCTGCCAAGAAGCTTCAGCGAGCTTTGACATTTACGGACGCAGAGATTGAAAACGAGGACATTGTGGCCGTCGTCATTTAAAAGGATTGAGATTATTTGGTGCTTTGTTGATGTTTGAAATCTTGCATATGAAGTATTGGCGAAAGAGACATTCCTCTTTCGACGGATGAGTTTTAGTCTCATGTCGTTACTGATGCATCACACTTGGAAACGTTCACATTCTTATAGCTTTTTTCTTCTTTTTTACATTCTGGTTTGTGGTTGTAAATTTACTTGAAATATAATAAAATCAAGAACATTTTCATGTCAAGTAAAGAGAAAAAGAGAAATGAGAATCATCGTTGTTTCCTCTGTAAAGAAAAACAAAAAAAAAGAGAGAATTAAAAAAGAAAATGCACCAGCCGGGAATCGAACCCGGGTCTGTACCGTGGCAGGGTACTATTCTACCACTAGACCACTGGTGCTTCGTGTTTTTATTGTTTATCTTCACTTTGTAATAAAATAACTGGTTACTGCTTTGAAAGTTTACAAACCTCTATATACAAACTACAAAGGGAAGAAAAAACATGAACTGATGAAAGTAACAAAAGCAACGCAATCACCTAGAACTTTCATTTTTTTTGTTTTTCTCTTTAATATTGTTGCAAAACATTTATAAAATCCAGTTTGTATATATCGGCTTTCAATGTATATTTTTCTTCATTCCTTTAAGCTAAATCCAGAAGCAAGGGCTTTCTAAGCCAGTACTGTGCAAATCTCTGCCTTGCATATTCCATGTAATCGAACTCAATCTTGTTCACATGTCCCTGTTTTTGCATACACAGATTAGTACGAAATTTTCAATACTAGAGCTAAAACTATGTTTTAGGGGAAGAGAGAAGAGAACGAACCGAGATGATTCCCCATAAGCCCCAGAAGATATGGTTCGCTAAGGTGTAGCTCTCTACATCACTCAGTAACCTCTCCACTTCTCCCTCCCTCCTTGCATCCCCTGAAACAAAACAAAAAAAAAAAAGAGGAGAAAGTTTGATCATTAAGAGAAGAAGCTTCTTGAGGTGTGAAGAATGCTTCAGAGAGGACAAAAACCTGTAGAGCCAAGGTATGTGCTAATGAACCTTCTCCTTTCTTCTTCTCCTGTTTGTTTACCATTCATCACACACACATACACAATCAGACTCTTGAGCAAACGTAAGAAACATATGCTTATAGTTGCAGATCTAGACCTGGATAGAGAGTGTAGTCCAAAACATGAGGAGTGTCTGAATGGTAATTAGCAGCCATTTCACAGAAGTGGTTTGCGATGTCATAAGCAACCGGGTTGAAACTCGCATACTCATAGTCCTGCAATTCCAAAACTGATTAGAAACAGAGCATTTTCTTGAAGTAGAGGGAAGATTTCAGTTTCATAATATATACTAATAAAGCTTACGATGATGGTAATGGCGTTGGTTTCTTCGTCAATCATGACGTTCCCATACTGAAGATCATTGTGACAGAAACCAATCTCTTGATCGTCTCGAGTCAGTCTCTCCTCCAACAAGTTGATATCATCTTCCAAACCTTCCAAACGAAACTCATCAATCTCAATCGGTGAACACAAGTTCTTGGCGCTCTTAAGCCAAGTCCTGAAGAAAAATCCATAAGAGAGATTAGCAAGAAATGATGATTTTAAAAGAAAATGAAAAATTGTGTGTTCTTCTCTGTTTATTATTCACCTGAGTCTTTCCCAGAGGATAACATTCTTTGGACCTGGCATGTCAAGCTTGTGAAACTCCCTTAGCTTCGCAGCGATGAAATCAGATGTTTCCTCTACACGGAGATCATCTGCAGAAAGAGTCTGGTAAACGAACCAAACAAACAGATTTCTGTCATACACAATCTCTCTCACTAAATTTTTCCGATCATTGATTCTGAGATTCCGTGAAACGCAAACTATATACATAGCCTAAGACTCTGATTCGATTCGACTAAGCTAAACTATCTCCTCTGTTCCGATAACAAAATCAAATCTATTTTGAAAATGGAAAAGGGGAGAGAGAAGAAGAACAAGACGACGTACTCTCGCGTGGATGAATTCTTCGAGACGACCATCGGAGAAGCGGCCAAGGAGCTTGGGTCCATAGCCATGGTGAGACATACACTCGAAGGTTTTGATTTCGTCGTCTCTGTTGAAGAAGAGGTCAACGCCGTCACCGTAGATCCGAACGAGGACTCTCCGGTGAACGTCTCCGCCGTTTAAGGTAGGCCAATTAATCTGATAAACCTCGTTCGTCATAGCTCCTTTCAACGGAACAACCTCGAGACGCTCCAGATCTTCGACTACGTCTCCCCAGCTCAATCCCAGTGTCTGCAGAACGCGTTTCAGATCCTCCGGCGATGAGCAGCTCGGAATCAGACTGCTCTTCGTGTTGATCGCCATTTTCCGGGAGGAGATTGGATTCTGAGATTCGACTATTGGAGAAAAAGAGAACGAGAGAGAGAGAGATTTAAGATTTTAAGGTAGGAGATTCGTTTTGGCAGGGAAATAAAACCCAGAAAGAGGTTGAAGAATGAGATTCTGTGAGAGAGAAGATTATCCACAGAAATCTTGGGAATCTTTTATGGAAAGAAATAATCTGGGAAATTGAAATTTGAAACGCGACGAAATTACGTTTCTGGGTATTTTAATTATATAGAATAATTTGGAAAAGGTTGAATTAAAAAACCCAGAAAAGATGATAGAACGCCGTTCGTCGTCGTTTGTTCTCGTGCGTGATAAGAATTGGCTTTTCGAGTGACGGTGTTTTTAAAACGGTTATCGTCATTCGTCACCGACGGTTTTATCGGAGCAAATGAGAAATCAACACGTGGAGATTTGTGCGCGGTAAGTCAAAAGCGTAATGAAGCGTTCATTGTTAAGGTCAAAGTCAACGAAAGCAAATAGTCAATTTTTTTTTGTTTTTCTTTTATTGCTGCGAGTCTGACAGCAGTGAAATCCTGAGGATTAGATTTTAATGACAGGTCAGCCGTTTTCTCGCAGTGAATCTCCCGAGATTATTGGAGATGTTAAAAATTCAGTACTAAAGAGTAAAGAGTAATGATTTCATGCAGTCAAAAGATAAAAGAAAGGCGGTAAAAAAAATACTGCTTTCTAAATAAAGTAAGTTCGAAAATGGGAGAGAAAGAAATCCATGTCCATAAAAGTAATAAGAAAATCTAAACGAAAGCTATGTGTAACAGCTAAAATAGATTATCTACTTTAAAAGTCTTTTTTTTTCCTTAATTTATTTACGTTTGACTTTGAGATTTAAGATGTGAACGTATTTTAGTTGCCTTATAAAGCAAAACAAATTTCTTCAAACACTTAACCAGCTTTGAATTTTCTTCCTTATAAAGTTTTTAATGACATAATTTTGGCGACAATGTCGCACTCGTGATGTAACACAAGACATTTAATATCCACAACCCGAGACAGGGACGTGCCTTACCAACCAAACGTTGAAATAAGCTAAGATTTTGGTACACCCTGAGATAAGATCAAACACCAACACACGTAAGTACATCTCTATTTTCCAAGTATGACTCAAATAATTAAAATGGTATACAAAAATTACATATGAAAAAGGTAGGTGCTCGGATTTTGGTTTTGCTTATTAGAGTAACGTAAAGAGTCGTGTTATTAAAACCTATAGATCATACTGTTATTGATGACCTTCTAGAGGATTGTCTTTGCTTCCAGAGGTTAAATCTCATCCTTCTTTGCAACAAAAAACACAGGAACGCTACAACCACGACAAGCGCAAACGTGATTCCGTTATTCGTCTCTGCGAAAAACCGCGTTAGAAGCGGCTGACCGCAGCTGCTACAGTCACATATGCTTCTCCGTAGTTTGCCTCCGGAACTTGCTTCTGGAATGAGAATGAAATCAGCTGTAACGGCGTCGTTTTCACCTAACCAAACAGTCGTTGTTTTCGGTTTGTATCCAGGGGACGATGCTGTGACTGCACAAATCAGTAAAGGAAACTCAAAATGAGCTCATAACATCTCTGATATCAAACTCAAGTTTCTAAAATAGAGATTGCAAGTTACTAAATTCTTTACTTTGGTCCATGCATTAACTGCAATTTTATCAAACGTATTTTAAGCTGAATGAGGAAAGATCATCAAACCTTCATATTTTTGTCCAGGTGCAAGCAACCGGTGATAGTCTGCGTACGCTTGGTGAGCTTTTACCTGGAGAGCATAAGGATTTACAACGAGTACAAGACTTTTCAGACTTTGGAATAAGGAAATGTTTTAAGAAAACATTGTTATTATGTGTATTACCGTATAGTTAATCCCCTTGACCACAACAAGCCCAGGCAGTGGCTTTCCCTCGTCTACTGAAAAGATCCGCCCATGAACTCCTGTCTAAGGTAAAGAGAGACAATCTTTCATTACTTGATATAAGATAAGAAAAATGTAAATATAAAAGGATGTAAGCAAATGTCACACCAAACGCAATCTTCCATTAATGTAAAATGGTAGTACCTTCACTAAGCTTGCAACAAGATTCAGCATGCTCATTCTGTTGTACTCCCAAATGGTGGGAAGCTGAACAATAGATGCGAAGTCTATCAGCTAAATGCTAAACAACCATGTAAAGGAGAAACAGTTAATCACGTAAGAGGATAAGATTTGACCTCTGATGCAGGAGGCCACTTGTTGTCACTTATCTCCAGAGTCAATTCAAAGCATCCTCCATGTATGTAATTCCAGTCCTGCATACCACCATAAATTGGGTACCTGTAGATTGTTTTTGCTTAAAGCATTAACCAAGAAACTCATTTGTTGGAGAAGACAGAGGAAAAGCGGATCGGATGTGATACCAGGATGCTCCATTTGTGATTCCTTCCTCGAATTCTTTGCTCAAAGACATATTACGGTGAGATTTGCTATAAATTTTTGCCAAGAACCGGAATGTCTCATCATCAGGACATGGATAATAGTATTTTCTGCAGGAAGAATGCATAACGGCTATGAAATTTTTGCATTGCACAAGGGACCAAGCAAAGAGCTTTGCATTATGTACAAAATTATTTTGAATAGAAGCAAACACCTCTTGTCCTCTGTACCATCCCATGGAAAATTTGCTACCAGGGCACCCTGTAACAAACCACGGTTTAACGAATATTTGATTCACATCAAATCATGATCTTCTTTTAAACCCCACGGATATTCTTGAAACAAAACTTCAAAAACTATATAGTAAAATTACCCCATGCAAAGTGGCCGATGCTGTGAATCGGTTCTCGCTCAGCCAAGTCATAATTGCCCTAGTTTCAGGTTGTCTCAAACCCAAGTTCTCATTAACCGGAAAGAACTGCAACATTAGGTATGGGTTAAGCAGGCCAAATGTGCCTATGAATAACCAAAACCAACAAATTTTAAAGGCCATTATGAAAATCAGGCATTCTAATTACTCAGAGCATCGATGAAAATACTACTTATGAGTGTGAAAAGCACCATTAAGTATGTATTAAGCAAGTCAAACGTGACTAGTGACTATGAATAACCAAAATCACAGCAGTCATGATTACTCCGAACATGGGTGAAAATACTACTTATGAAGTGCAAAAGCACCATCAGACAAGTCACCTGGTCAGGGAAGTCGCGGTTAAGATCCACATTGTTTGCATTGTTACGTTTCCTGGCTGTAAAGCCATCTGGATTCAGTGATGGCAATATATGAAGGTGAACATTTTCAACAATCATCTGAGCCTGCATATCCAAAACTGATAATATCAGTATGTGCTGAGAACCTTTTCTGATTAAAGATGAGTGTTCCATTTTCATGTGGCAATACAGATGCAAAAACCACTTACCAATGGATCCTTCTCATAGTTATCACAAATCCAGTTTGCAAGACGTAATAAGAGCTCACGCCCTACAGGTTCATCTCCATGTACATTCCCTACGTACTGCGACACCAGTTATTCAACTATTAATCAAATATCTCAACGGTTGCATTTATAGGCATAGATAAATTAATCAGATCTTTAACCTTGAATGCAGGTTCAGCCTCTAACACTCCAGGCTTGTCTGAAATCTCTATGACCCACTAAAAAGGCAAAGCAAGAAACAAACGAAACGAAGGCATTATCAATATTGATCTTAAGACGCACTTTGTAATACAAGAAGATATGCTTTTGATAGCTAAGATTGCATTACCAAAGGAAATCCATTGACACTCTTGCCGATGCTGAAACCACGTTCCAGAAAACCCTCAAAGAGAGAAATAAATAACAAAATCAACAACACCATATAAAATCGAAACTAAATCAAGACTATCTAGTGATTTTTCCACCTATCCGCAGTGGCACATTAGTATTTCTTCTTCATAAGAGTGCCAGCCAAGTAATTACCTGTATAGTCTCGAAATCTTGCTGCATCTTTTGGTAAAATCTTTCATTGCTTTCTCAAGATCACCGTTCGTCATGTACCCTCGAGTTAATTCCAAACTTGGAACAATGAAAACACAGTTATCATTACGCAGACAGTAAGAAAAATTCCAGTAAAATCTAGAAACCCCAAACGACATTACCTCGGTCGAGGCTCTTCCTGAGAAAATAAGTGTCTCGCAGTACCATAAAGACTAGAATTTCCATCACCTAAAACTGAATACACAAATTCCACAGTAACCTTAAAATCCAGATTAACCAAATAGCTGAATGTTCAGAAGAAAGAACAATGCAGTTACCAATAAACCTCTACTAGTATCTGAATAGCAAATGTGATTTTCGAGGAGATGATAGATAAAAGTTCATATTAAATTACGTCTCAAATAGTTTATCTTCTAAAATTCGTGCATTTGCCAATTCAGATCAAGCGCAATTCAATGAATGAAGTAATCAATCTGTAAGATAGAAACTAGAGATTTGTGCCGGCGGACCTGCGTGGATATAGTCGGAGTGGCCGCCTCTAGCGGCGATCGGAGGAAGAGAAAAGCAGATCGCCGTGGAAAATAGGAGACTGAGAACGAATCTGAGCTTGCTCATAGCTACAAAAAAACAACAGGTCTACCTCTCTCTCTCTCTTTCCTCTCACTTCCTTGACGATTGATTCGTTAAAGCAGAGCCGGGTTTTCGGAGCTCCACCATTGCTGGGATTATGAGAAAACAAAACAATTGGAGCGAAGAAGGAAAAGAGACATTAAACCGTTGACCCTGAAGTTTGAAGCAACGACTACCATAAATGGGCTTTACAAGGTTACAAATGGGCCCAATTTAAATTAACCTCTAATTTTCAGCCCGTCCAAATAAAATAGTCTTGCCAACTGTTCTTTGTAGCATGTGACATGATGTAGTTTTCAATAAGCATTTTTGACTTTTGATATGGTAAAATGGAGCCACATTCTGTCTTTATTCATCAGATAGTGTCAAGTCATTAGACAAACCACTAGTGCATGAACTAAAAAACAAAGTTAAGATCAAGCAATAATGCTCTTATTTATCAGATAGTCTTAGGCATTAGACAAACCACAAGTGCATGCACTAAAAAGACAAAGTTAAAGAAAATAAAAAAAAGTTGATATTTATGGATTTATTTAGATCATGGAAAGAGCTTCTTCGACTATGCCTGCTTCCAAAACAGACATGAAACTTTCGGTGTTTCTGGCTGAACAGTTAGAACGAATCTCTCCTTGTGTCCCCGTCAAGACACTCATCTGACCCATCTTGATCATCGCCACCGTGAAATGCTCAAAAAACAGCTGCTGGTCGATCGCAAAGCTCTCCACAATGCCACGTGTCCTCTTGTCAACGAACAGATCCTGGTCGGAAGTGAAGAGTCCTTGTCGGTTCATGAGATCAACGTAGTACTTGTTGTCGAAAACGTCCGGGCTCCTTATGTCTAACACTTGCGTGTTGCTCGAGTTCGCGGTGGGACACGTGCGTTTAAGGTTGTTGGCGAAGAACTTGTTCATGGTTGGGTCTTGGTTAGGGTAGAGCCGGTCTGTGAAAGACGGGCAATGCGCGATTCCGATGGTGTGACCACCGGAAAGTGCAACTAAGTCGGTGATGTTGAGGTTTCTAGAGGCGAAGTCGGCGATGAGCACGCTAGCGTTAGCGAACGGTGGTGGTAAGTTATTTAATGTAGTGTTTTGGCTAGCGAACGCCAGTGAGTCGCGTCGGCCAAGTGGCACATCATAGTCTGGCCCTCCTGACTACATATATGGACGCACAAAATAAAATTATTATCAGTTAGAATATATAGAGAGATAAGCCGGAAATTTTAGACTAATGTTTTATATATTAATGAGGAGTTTAATTAATATATAGTGTCAAGTGTGTGACTATTACGAGGACGACGGAGTCGCGGGCGGCTAGAGCGAGGATGTCAGAGCAAGAGACGACTTGACCGCACTGCCTCTGGACGAGGGCACGGAGGTTATTGATGACGACAAAGCCAGCTTGGCGCAGTGTCAGATTTGGGATCGATGACTGTTCTCCGGGTCCACTTGCAGATCCATCTAGTAGCACTGATGCTTCACATCCCTGATTTTTTAAAATATAAAAGGTCATATTTATTTATTTTATCATTTCTCTCATAATAATAAATGCAATAAACGAGTTTCAGAACTTTCCTCCAAATTTATTTATCTGATCCAATTAGGCCATCAATAATAGATGTTGCAGAGATTATATACAAGAGACAATTATGTATAGTTTTTTAAAGAAAAGTCACATAGATATCAAAATAATTGATACTGGTATAAAGGATTTAATTTGTTCGTTGATTTACGTCTTAAACTGTACCTATGTGATTTTATTTGTACCATTTGTACGTTGATTTGTTTGATATTTACGGTCCATAACAATAAATGAGACTCAACTAACCCACGAAAAGCGGGTGAATAATATTAATGCGACTGGTCCTGCATGCTGTATTCAAATCTATATATCCTAATGCATGAACAAAAAAATACAATAAATTAAACAATGATATTTCTAAGGAAACAATTTACACTTTACACTAAGAAAACCTTTGACAAAAAAGAGTACTACTATTCGTAATATCTTGACCATTTTTATTAGTCTTTATAACTTTAGAGATTACGCTTTACACTAAGAAAACCTTTGACAAAAAAAGAACACTGGAAAAAAAATCTTTTGAAAAGAAGTTAGTGACAATTCCGAGGCCATTTTATGTCTTTCTCTAGGTTACTTTGGTCGGACTTATTTCAGCACGTGACAACGATTTAATTTTGTTTTTGTTAAATACTCCACGATTTCTTTTGTGTGTGTGGGTATGAGTGCCTTTGGTTTCTTGCTACTTTCTTAAAGGCAACACAATGGTTTCTTATCTTCAAGGACATCAAGTTTGGTTGTCTAGTGATTTAAAGAGCATAAAGGATATTATTCGTTGATTTACGTCTTAAACTGTCTAACATGTAACTATCTTAGATTAAAAAAAACATGTTATCATCAACGACCCCAAATTGAAGAAAAAATTATGGAGCAGATGCCCCAAATTGCAAGGGTTTATAAAAGAACAAAGAATTGTTAAACACATACGTTCAGAGTAGGTTTAGAAAACATCAAATTTATGTTTCTCCTTAGGTTTAAATAATATATCAACGAAAAAGGAGAAAGGATAGACCTGAACGAAGCAATCATGGAAATGTATACGAAGGATGGCTGCGGCTAAACCAATATCCCTCTTGAAGACTTTCTTGAGCTCTTTTCTGATGATCTTTTCCACTTTCGGACATGCGTTCCGGTAAAAGCCCCATGAGAGACCTTTCACTAGAGGCACATCTCTCCTCGGCTTCTTCTGATTGATCTCTGCCTCTGCCGTAGACAGAAGGTTCAGTGCCACCGCTATTAACGAGATCAACATCAGAAACGTGAGAACACGTGTCGAATGACCCTTTGCCATTTTTCTCTCTTGTTGGTGTTTCTAAAAGTTTCTCTCCCTCTTTGCTTCTTGATGTTCTTGGGATATATAGAAGCTAGGACTTCGTTTTTATAAGCAAGTGTGGTCCATATGTTGGTCTTTAATATATATTTTCATTAGGAAAAAGTGAATATTACAGTCTTTTATTATTGTTACTTTTATTTGAAGGAATTTTTATTTATTCAAAAAGTAAAAAAATATACAAGTGAATTTAGCATTTTGTACGTAAAGACGGGAATCCGTAGATTTTGTTCACCGTGTAATGAATTATTTTCTTCGGTCTTCTTTTCGATATTCATGCTCTAGTTTCCATGTTTAGCTCGATCTCTTTCATTTTTGTTCCAAGATCACAAAACTCTCGAGCTGATAATCTCGCTAAGGCAGCGAAGAGTCAAGCCTCTCATGTATTTCCTTCCGGTTAATCCCAGTTTAGTTTATTGAATTAAGCAGTTGTTCAAAAAAAAAAAAAAAAAAAAAAAAAAGTTCACCGTGTAATGAACGTAGCACTTGTTAAGTTAATTAACAGAATCCTTCTTTTCATATGAACAAAAAAGTTATAGATTTTCTTTTTCCAAATATTTAAGCAGATAAATATATGTGAATCGTATTTATTTTCTTCCGCTGGCATTCAAATTTGTGACATTTGTTTGTTAAACACACCATTTATTCTTATCATGAAAATGTCTACTCCAAATATGTAACATTGGTCCACCTATTAAATCAAGAGTTTTAAATTTTAATAATCAACTTAACTATTATAAATGAAATGTAATTAAATCCTTAAAAATATATTAGTTCAGTGCTGTTTTCCTTTGTTAAAACGTTTATTTCATTGCTATTGAAACCGAGTTTGAATCCTGTGTGCTATGTTTAGATAAAGATATTTTAGGTCTTATGGTCTTTTCACAAATATTGTCAATGACTAGTATACGTATGCACCTAATTTGTCAAAGATTTCAAAATTTCCTAATTACGAACAAAACCAAATATCTATTAAACATATTTAAAAAAAAAATCAAATACGCATATATCGTGTTATAGTAACTTGAAACATAAAGTGTACTTAGTGTTGAAGTATACGAGTTAGTGGCATGCGATTTGGATTGTTCTGAATGTGACCACATAGAAAATAATGACCGATAAACTACGTGCCGCAGCGTAACAAAAGTCTATAGGTAGAATCCAAAGGCAAAATTTCATATCACCGACAAATAATATCACTCATCTTATTTTGTTAATGCGTCGTCATAAACATAAAACATAGTTTACTTGTAAAAATTAAATATATTATTAGTTTTATAGCATTGTTTTCTTAGTTAAGACAAATATAGAGATTTTACTGGTACTTTTTGTCGTAACTAATCAAAATTTCAATAAAAACACATATTTGATCCATTTTAGAAGACGAAAACAAACAAAAAAAGTTAAGCGTACGTCGATTGGATTTTTGAAGATAGTGGAAGAATCTCAAGACAGTCACGCGCGCTTCTGTTGGGATATTCGTTAAGTCAGTGGGATCATAAATGTTTTGTTGAAGATTGTGACTTCGCAGAAATTGTGGGACAATATGAAATAACCAAAAAAGGATCAAAGACTTTGAAACATCAAAGGCAAAGTGATTGTAGAGAGTAGACACGACCAAACAAGTATGTTTCTCAGAAGCTTACATCTGTTTTTGCTAGAGCCTCTTTTAGTTTATGTTCGCCACGTTCCTCTTCTCTCTCTCTCTCTGATCTCTCTCTTTCCTAATATTAATTAGATAGACGTTACACCCATAAAATTCGACATAAATTTTGCAAATAATTGACAAAACTACTACGTCTCCATAAATGCGCATGAACTATTGTGAAATTTTTCGGACGAATATAAGCTTTTTTTTTCTTCCTGTAACATACAGTTTTAATGAAGAAAAACTCACTTCAACCAAAATAGAAACATTTGTCTGGCTGCTTAAATTCTGCTAAAGAAAGGAGAGAGTAGTTGGATCTGAACATTAAATGACTTTGATATTCATAATTCTTTTCACCTAATCACCTTAAAGGGGATGATATAAGTGTGAACACACTCATGCAACTTTTTAGAACCGAACTTTTGATAAAACTTTATTTCAAGTTATTTAGATCATTTTACCTCTTTTTATTCGGACTAGATATCGTTTCTTAATTACTAGGGTTAAATCATACCTCCACATGAAATGTTCCTAAGTTTAAATCATTACCTTAGGAACAGATGGCTAAACTTTATAAGATTAGTGGTGGTCAGATTTGAGTTTGAGAGATAGTTGGGGTGGTTTCGTAAAGGGAAATTATAAGATATATCCATGGATAATAGGAAAATTAGATTAGGTTTTCTGACACCATTTTGTACAGTATTATGCCCAAGAAAATTACTATATACACCCTTTATTTTATTGAAGAAAAAAAAATGTATAGCACTAATTGATTTTGTGTCTTTTTAAGATCTAAACAACATGTTAATTGTATTAATTAACATGATAATTTCAGACTTTTATTATATGATAATTGGCTTAATTTTATATGTTAATTTAGTTAACATGATAATTGAATAATGTTACCATAGTAATTGAATAGTTAGCATAGTAACTGAACATATATTAATGATAATATATCAGTTAACACGTAATTGGAAAGTTTATCATAGTATATTTTAATTAGCATGGTAACTAAATAGTTACCACTAAAATGGAATAAAATCAGGTGAAAGAATAATTTCATATTTTATATTTTTAATATGATAATTGGCTTAACTCTGTATGTTAATTTAGTAAACATGATAATTGAATAGAGTTAGCATAGTAATTGGATAGATATTAATGATAATATATCAGTTAGCATAGTAATTGAAAAGTTATCATAATATTATTTTAGTTAGCATGCTAACTAAATAGTTATCACTAAAATCGCATAAAATCTGGTGATGAATAGTGTAACTAGTTTCCTAATGAACATTATACTTTGTGTGATTGATGAACAGTGTCGATGAATAATTATCAATGGCATTTTTCATAATTTATTTTAAAAGTAAAAGGCATTTTTGATTAAAAATAATTTCTCTCTCTGTATCAATCTAATTTATGGTTATTACACACCACATTCTTAATTTTGATGTTATCTATGTATATTGATTAAATTTACCCTTTCGTAAAACTGATATCACGTCCTTTCATTTGTTTATATAGTATATTGCAAACTACTTTTTACAAATATATCGTTTACAAAATTATATATTTTACGAAAAATGTAACTCTTAACAGCAACATCAAAAAAGTTACGTTAGGGGTAAGCACATAACGATTCATAATCTAAATAAACGGTGCACTTTACTATTTGTATTTGATATAATTATTTTTGAGTTTAGATATACAAATTTTAGATACCAAGCATTAAAATGTCAATTATACAGTCCTTTTCATATGAGTATTATTCCAACCGATTAAAAAAATAAATATAGTAAGGGTTTCGTGGAATATAAAAAGTGAAAACGAAATTTCAACTTTTGAATCGTTCTAATTTTGTGGAATGTCTCAAAAGGTTTTGGTGCAAAGTAATGACCAAAGATATAATGGCTCCATCGCATGCTAAATATTACTCCTTTTAGTTATATAAAAAAAAAGATCATCATGGTCTTGAGTTACATTTTATAACATGCACATAAAGCTGCGTCATTTTATCTTATACTGTAAACATTAGACATTGATTCCTACGCTATTCTCCAACGAAAAAAGCCCAAAGCAACTGTTTCAAATTTTCAATTATGCAAAAGAAGAACCCTCATCAAAAGAATTTCTTAGGGTCTAAATGGTAATCGCTAAATGTTGCTGAATGCGGAATCTGGCTGAATAAAATGATGACTTTTTGCGAAATCTGGCTGATTAGTTTGTAATCTGAATGGTAACAACTGAATGTTGCTGAATGCGGAATACAGAATAAATAGTTGAAAAATTATTGTGTAACAAAATAATAAAATATAAATTAATAATAAAAAATTGTGAAATATCTAAATCATGGGATTAATCAAGATAATTTATTTATGTAAGATTTTGGATTCATAAAATTTTATCAAACATCAAAGTTTAAAAAATAATAATAATAGACATTTAAAAATACAATATTTTTGATATTACCAATTCATTTATGAAAATTATCTCATATGTGTCTATTATTTTACTCCCGTATTTTTGTATTTATTTTAGACTAAAATAGTTATTATTTAAAACTAAGATAAGTATTACAATATCTAATTTATCATTTTATATATGAACATACTCCTCTAAATATTATTTGGATACTTCAAAAATTACAATTGCTTTTATTAAACTATTTATAATAATGATCAAACATATATAAGATAGATACAAATTGTTAAAGTAACAAAAATGTAAAATTGTAAAAGAAACAAGTATGAAATCAGTTCAGCAGGTTTTGTCTTTTAGTGGTCTCTCTTATTATTCAGCTGAATATACTTTTATTCAACTGGTAAAATAAACAAAAAAATTCAGCTGAATTCCTCTGCATTCAGCAATTCCTCATACACCAGTTAGGGCCTTAATAATTGCAAAATGTACAAATCAGCAGCCCACGTGCCAAATTGCAAAAGGTAATCTTATATATAATAGGAGAAGACTCTCTCCTCCTAGACTATCCACGTAGGCAAAATCACCCCTCTTAGTGGACCCCACTTCGAAATAATTAATCTAAATAATTGAATTTAATATTTGTCATCACACATATTAAAATTAACCTAAGAAATCTCAACATTTCATAGCACAAAACCCATTTAAATATACTCATATACAGTCCAACCCAAATCAAAGGTTCAAATTTTTCAACTGAATATCGCCGGAGTGAAACACATATTTAATTTTCTCGATATGGAATCGGAAAAATGGAGGAGGAATTGATTAGAGATGTCTTTTTTTTCTTTTTTTTGGGGAAACAACATTACAGATGTTTATTTCGGGA